AACCGGAGGCCTCAGCCTGGGTGGGCTGCCCAGAAGCAGATCCAGAGACTGATTCAGGGGGCACTAGTTTGTTTGGGAGGAAGCAGCTAGGAACCATCCACAGCCAAGCGAGGGATTGAATTGGGGGACGGAAGGTGGCCACGCAAGGTGCGTCGTCAAGCAGGTCACCACTGTGGGCCTCTGGGGAAGCGCACCTCAGGCTTCTCCCCTGTCTGTCTGGTCTGCCCTGCACGGGGGAGAGGGCCCTCAGGCTCCGAGATGGGGGCGCCCAGCAGCTGGAGGGGTGATGGCGTGCACCCCGGGGGTGAGGACCAAGGGACGTGGGTGGGGTCTGGAGAGCAGGTGCTGCCTGGTGCGCACGACAACGTGGTGAATGTGGAAGATGGGATGTCGAGTAAGAAAAGCAAGTTGCTGAAAGTGTGTCATTTACAGAAGCGTCGTAAACCCGCAGAACAGTGTTCTTTATCGCATGTCCGTTCACATAAGTGCATTAAATGGGCAAAGGGCATGTGTGGGAATGAGGAGTCCCATATCCAGGACGCGGGTGGAGGGGAGGGTGCCTTGCAGGAGGGCAGGTGCACAAGTGCCTCCCCTCTTTCTGCCATGATTCGTTCCTTCCTGATCCACATTGAGATTGATACTCACACGGTACATGTATGAAGTCACACAGGCAAGGCTTTGGATATGCATTGGCCTGCGGAACCGCCACTCAGATCAAGTAATAGAACATTTCCAGCACCTCCCAAGGCTTCCTCGTGCCCCTTCCCGGTCTGCATCTCCCCCATGTTTGATGAATTTCTTTCAAAAAACGGTGTAAAGCAAATTTGGGATAATGTTAAAGTTTGCTGAAGTGGAGTTTGTGGCCGTTGGTTGGATTTTTCTCTGTGCCTTTCTAAATCCTTCACCTGTTCCATCATCATTGTCAACAAAAGTAGAGGGGGACTTGGGCAGGTGTGGGGACAGGCAGCACGACGGCGCAGACACTGCCTGGACAGAGATGGCGGGGCCAGAGCGGAGTCTCAGGCAGCCCTGAGCATCCTGAGAATGGCCTCGTCTCTAAGGGAGGTTCCCAAGACAGAGCGGCTTTTGGCCGAGTGTTCCAGAGCTGTCAAGGCTTGGACCGAGTCGCCCCCAAGACTCCCTCTAACCACCCCGCCTGCACGGAGGGCATTGGCAGTGCCTGGAAAAGCTGATCGTGCCTTGGGCAGCGCAAGGGCTGGGCCCAGAGCCCCTGCCTAGCCATTCTTTCTGGGTCACGAGCTGCCCATTGTGCCCATCACGCAGGCCTGTTTGCCGCTCCTCTGTGGGTGGCCCGAGCCTCTCATTGTCCCAGCACAATAGCGGTAGCTTTGCTTGCTCCAAGAAACCAGGACAGGAAGCCCCAATCTAGGCCAGCACTCCCAGCTTCCTGCTGTCCCCAGCGGTGCTGGGCCAGCGGGCCTTTGTCTCCCTCCAGTCCCAGGAGGCTGGAGGCTGGCCTTCCCAGCAGCACTGCCCCTGCTGAAGCATCCTTAAGGAGCGCCTGTCCCCGGCCCCTGTGACCCTTTAATAGGAGAGGTCAGCAGGCTTCCAGCAGGCTCCTGCTGTGTGTCGGGCACATCCCACCCCTTCCTTTCATTGTTCAGTGCTTTCTGTATGCCAGCATACTGGGGTGCCTGGGGATGCAGCTGGGAACAAGAGAGGCAAGCCCCCTACCCTCGTGGAGCTTCCATTCCCTTTATCCTTTTGCGTTCTGAAAGGTAGGGAGGTATTGCTGTGATCCCCCTATTTGGGAATTACTAAACTGAGACTCAGAGAGGCTAATGCATTTTCCTGAGGTTACATAGCAGGAAAGAGGAGGATCTCTGCTTAAACACAAACTGTCCGTTTCCAAACCTGGTCTTTATTGTTGGATTGGGGTAAAGGTTTCATTCCAGCCATGCTCCCTTCTTATATTGGCCTTTCCCTTAGGAACTGATGAAGGTGGCCTAACCTCACTCTTTAATGGACTTTTAATGCAAGATGGGAAGGTGGGGAGTGTATGAAGAGAAGGAGGGCTTCCTGGAGGAGATGCCATTTGAGCTAAGGTCTGATGGATAAGAAGGAGCTGGCCCATAGTAGAGCTGGGAAACAATATCCTGCTACTAAGAGCAGCACGTGCAGATGTCCTGAGGCCCTGAGGCAGGAGTGTCTCCTGGCAGGTGGAAGAAATAGAATGATGGTGGGACTGAAGAGCATTGAGGTGTGGAGTGATAAAGTGCATGCTGGAAGGTGTGGGGAGAGGTTAACTAGGACAAGGTCATGGGGGCCTTATGGGCTGAGGGAGGATTTTTTTTTTTTTTTTTTTTTAAGCACAGTAGGAAGCCATCTGAGGATTTTAAGCTGTGGATTGACAGGCTCTGATTTACATATTTAATAAGATTCCTCTGGTTGTGTGTGGAGAAGGACTTTGGGGGCAATGAGGGGGAACAGGGAGGAGGTGATTGCGTTGGTCTAGGCAGGAGAAGGTGGTGCCTTGGACTGAGGCAGGGTGGCTATGGAGATGGAGAGAAGAGGTTGTATTTTTTTTTTTTTTAAGATTTTATTTATTTATTTGACAGAGATCACAAGTAGGCAGAGAGAGGAGGAAGCAGGCTCCCCGATGAGCAGAGAGCCCGATGTGGGGCTCGATCCCAAGACCCTGAGATCATGACCTGAGCTGAAGGCAGAGGCTTTAACCCACTGAACCACCCAGGCGCCCCAGATTTTTTTTTTTTTAAGAACTATTTATTTATTTGAGAGAGCTAGAGAAGGTGCACGCACACACAGGGGGAAGGGCAGAGGGAGAGGGAGACTCTTTAGGCAGATTCCTCACCCAGCATGGAGCCTGACGTGGGGCTCGATCCCACAACCCATGAGATCATGACCTGAGTGGAAACCAGCAGTTGGATGTCCAACCCACTGAGCCACGCAGGCGCCCCCAAGGTTGGATTTTTAATAGCTGTTGAAGGCGAAGCTGGTAGAATTTGCTGATGGATAGAAGTGGGGTACCAGAGAAAGAGAGGTGTGGAGGGTGACGGGGACAGCTGGGGGTTTTTGGCTGGAGCCCCCGGCAGGCAGCAGCGGCATCAGTCTGGCTGGGAAGAGCTTGGGTGGTTTGGGTTGGGAGGGACGATCAGGAGCTAGGATTGGATGCCCTCGGCGTCTGGGTGGGTGTGTGGAGTCTTCAGGGGAGAAGTCCAGGCTGGGGACTTAACTGTGGGCCAAGGCGACTGGCGGAGACTGCTCTGCCCAGCTCTGTGTCGTCGACTTTCCTCCCCATGACCCTATGTGAGGCTGCAGTGCACCACACCCAAGAGACCCGAGTCCTTGGCTGGCTGGCACCCTGTGACAGCCACCGACATCCTTGGCTGATGGAAAAGGATCTGACAGCCGTCTGTGGATGGTCAGCCTCCTCTTGGCCTGCCTGCCCCTGCTTTCCTCCATCCGGGCTGTCCCCTCCATCTCCCCGCCACTAGGAGATCTCCCCAGACAAGCATGGGCACAGAGACACACTTAATTAACCTGCATCTGGGCTCTGCAGCGGCGACCCCGTGCAGATCCGCGTTGCTATAATCAGCTGTGGCAGGGAGGGCACCCGACGGGCCACCGCAGCTCCTCATGGCCCTGTGGTTGTGACAGGACTGTGATGTCATTTTCACAGGGGATGGCCTATAGCTGATGCCAGGTCAGCCTGGGTCCAAGTCCTCGAGTGGGGACAGGCCAGGCAGAGTTTGCTGTGTGGGCCTCTGTCTCCCTCGGGTACATCTCCCATCCCCCTACCCGAGTCCCCGCATTCTTATCAGTAGTTTTTCCATCGCCAGCTCCATCCCTCCCACAGAAGGCCCAGGCCACCGTCATCTGTCATTTCTCATCAGCAAGGCTGCATCCCCCCATTCTGGTGCCCCCATCATGCTCGACCCCTAAAATCTGGTTCCTCACAAAAACCACCAATATTCTGCTGATATTTAAAAACTGGGGGACTTTGCGCAAAAGAAAAAAAAATCTTAATATCTGGCTTCTGTTGAGAAAACCAGAACACCTGGTGGCTCTGGGCCCGCCGCCTTCCCACCTGACCACGCTTGGAAGGGAGACTCGGCCATCCCCCTTCGATGGGACGTGCTGGCCAGCTCCCTGCGGTCCCCGGCACCCCCCTCCCTTCTTTGTCGTCTGCCACATCACAGAGGACAGAGATGACCTCTCTTCTGAGCCCCTGAAAAAAGTGGCACAACAGCTGGGGTCTGTCCATACAGCAGGATCCCGGGCAGCTGGAACAGAGAATGCGGGTGTTCCCTACGAAGGATGGATGGGGAGGATCTCTAAGCAGGATTAAGTGGGAAAAGCAGGTGCCGCGTGGCTTGGGTATGCTGCTGTGTTTTTGGTGTGTAAGAAAGGGGAAAAATAAGAACACAGGTGTGTATGTGTGTATAAGTATATATTTTCCCGTTTGTTATTTTTTGCATGAAGATTCTCTGGAAGGGGACCCGGACACGATCAGCTGTGGTTCCCCTGGGGAGTGGGGAGGGACTAGATGCTCTGGGGCCCGGGGTGCCGGAGAGAGGCTCTTTGTATTTTTGACTCTTTATGTTTTTGACTTTTGAAGCATGTGAATGAATATGTTATTATTTGTAAGTTACATTTTTGAAAAAGGAATTTAAAAAAGGAAGGGAAGTGAATTTTAACCTGAGAGAGTAAGGAGCACATGGGAGTGCGTCTCCCTGAGGGCGGGGCATTGCTGTGTCCCCCCAAACAGGGCCTGAGGTCACAGGGCCTGAGGTCAGAGATGCTCAATAAACATTTGTTGACTGAATGGGGTGAGGGATACTCCAGTGTGTTTAATGCAGAAGCTAGGTAGGTTTTACCTTATTCCTTGCCCACGTCCCTGGGCTGTGGTACCTCCCGTGTCCATTCTCGGTGGCACTGGAACTGTGGTCCTCCTTTCAGGCCATCCCCGGGAGATCAGAGGCCTGGATGCTCACCTCTCCTTGCTTCTCTTCCTCTAGGCCTTCCTGCATCGCATCCGGCAGAACGTGGCGGACTCAGTGGAGAAGGGCCTCACCGAGGAGAATGTCAAGGTGTGTATTGCTGGGCCAGCCCCTTGCAGACGGTCCTGCCGTGGTGTGCCTTGCTCCTCTAGGGGCGAAGCTCAGGGGAGAGAGTGGGAGGCCCCCCTCCCTGCTGGCAGCTGGCTTTGCCCTCCCACAGCCTGTGCTCCCTGCGGGCCCTGGGGGCTCTGCACTTGGTGGGCATCAGGAGGACTCAGCCAACTCGAGACTTTGTCTCCTTGCTCGTCATGGCCATCCTGTCTCCCAGCCTTCTCTGTGCCAGGCCCCCTGGCATGGAGCCAGTGGAAAATCCCTTCCCAAGCGCCCCTGGGAGCTTTGGCACCTCCAGCCACCCTCTTGGCAGCCCCGGCCTGTGCCCCTGCATTGGGCATTGAGTGGCGAGGCAGAGTGGTTGAGTAATTGGGTCCGGCCTTCGTCTTGGCTGCGGCTCTGGGGAGTTTCGGGAGGACATCAATAGGTCCTCTGTGTGCACGGCAGAGGCCCCTGCCCTGCCCGGGCCTGGCTTTCCAGCCTGATCTCACTCTCTGGGAAGCTGCCTTTAGTTCTTGGGGCTCCAGGGTCCCTGGTCCAGGGGGCGAGCGGGGGCAGCGTGGGGTGGGGGTCAGAGGTCCCTGACTTGCATTGCGCACAAAGGGCTTGATCCAGCAGGACATTCCCCCCACACATCTCGGTTAGTCTGGACAGGAACCCTATGGTGGGTAGTCCTGAGTCCAGGGTCTTGAGTAAGAAAGTTAAGGCTTTAGATGTAAAGAGAGCCGCTCAGGTCTCGCTGCGCGGCTGGTCTCTGACAGCGCTGGCATTTAAGTCTTTGACGCACACACACATTCTTCGTTCAGCAAATATTTACCGGGGACCTGCTGTTTATTATGTGTATTTCTCACAGTTGATTTCTTTATTGCAATGTAAAGATAACTAGAATTTTTGAATTGTAACTTAAGACAGTTTTTAAAAAAATTACTTTTTTTTTTTTTTTTAATGAGCTAAGACTCACATACAGGAAAGGGTGCATTGTGAGTGTCAGACGTGATGCAGTGTCACATACGGACATACCTGTGGACACGACTGCAGTGAGGACGGAGCATTTCCCGCCCCCGTGGGCTGCTCTGTGTCCCCCATCCCCCGCCCCGTAAATGCCCACTCCTCAAAGCCGAGCCACTGATGAGTTTTGCTTGTTCACGAACTTTATATAAAAGTGAGCTCTTTCACATCTAGTGCCTTTTGCTCACTGGTGTGCCTGTGTGTGTGTGTGTGTGTGTGTGACTTTTGCCTGTGTTGTCATGTGTGGCTGTGACTCGGTCTCTTTAATTGCTGGGTCGTAATCCATAGTACAAATGTCCCATGATTTATGGTCCATTCTCCTGTTGACGGATATTTGGGTTACTTCCAATTCTGGGCTTTTATGACCATTCTTATGTATGCCTTTTGGACGATACATGCTGTCGTTTCTTTTGGGAGACAAATATTTATTCTGAAATTTTGCCGCCGTTCCTTGAAGGACATCTGGCAGTAGGATCTATGCTGTCTGTCTTTAACAGAAGCTGATTTAACCGTGTAAACCGGAAAGGGTGAGAGAGAGAAACCGAACCAGACAGGGCAGGTGACTCCCCCCAACCCCCACCTCCCTGATGAGTGTCCCCCAGGGCGGGGCAGAGGAGGAAGACACTCGCTGGCCCTTTCACAGTGCCGCCTTTGTGGAATGGTCTCACCTCTCTGCCTTCCCTGCCCACCCACAGGCCAGCTCCCTCTGCAGACTTTCTGGTGCATTCCGAAGGTTGGTGGGGTCAGTCTTCATTCCTTGAGCTCTTGACTCCGATGTCACCTTCTCAGAGGGACTGTCCCTGGCCCTCTGCCCCTCCCTGGGACTCCCTTCCTGTTTTACTTTTGTCTTTAGTGCTTCTGACTTCCCAGAACATTCTATTTTAACTCTTTGTTTCTTGTCCGTCCCCTTCCATTAGAATGTCACCTCCGTGGGGGTATGCGCTTGTCTCTTCCCTGCTGGATCCCCCAGGGCCCCTAACAGTGCCTGGCACACAGCAGGTGCTCGGTCTGTATTTGCTGAACAAATGATGAAGGAACCCTAGAGGGAACCAGGAACCAGTAGTAACACCGGTTACCCCTGCTGTGAGCCCCAGTGGGATGGTTGGGGTGGGGGGCGGATCTCCTCACTGGATTCGCTGTACTGTGTTTTAGTTTTTGAACCACGTGGGTACCTTCTTCAAAATTAAATAAAAAAAAAAATGCACCTCTTTTTTAAGAAAAGAGGGGAAAAAAGAATTTATGCAGTTAAAAGGACCTTAAGTGAATAACCGAAAGTCTTCCTGGGTTTCTTTCCCAGTGGTCCCTGCAGTTACCATCTTGACTCTTCATTCGGACAGTCTGCTTTCGCCAGCCTAGGGAGAGGGATGGCCTTTTAAAAAATTTTTTTGAATTTAAATGTATTTTTTAAAAGATTTTATTTATCTGAGGTGGGGGGAGAGCAGGAGCTGAGGTGGGGCAGAGGGAAAGGGAGAAGCAGACTCCCCACTGAGCAGAGAGCCCAATATGGGGCTCCATCCCAGGACCCTGAGATCATGACCTGAGCCAAAGGCAGATCCTTAACTGACTGAGCCACCCAGGCGCCCCTGTCTTTTTTTTTTTTTTTTTTTTCCCTAAACGAACACAAATGGGTCCATGCTGGAATCTTGCTTGGCACCATGATCTGCACCCCCACACTTAATAATGTATATTGAAGACCATTCCAGGATTCCATATCTCTATCCACAGAGCTGCAGATTCTTTTTATAGGCTGCATAGCATCTCAGCATATAGAATTTATTTGATTCTAATCTGTCCAGTTTATTTAACTATTTGTTGAGTAGGAATCCCCCTTTGGACACTTGCCTTTTTCCCAGTTTTTTGCTTTTGCAAATAGGGCTGGAGTATGTCCTTGTCTGTTCCACTAGGCTCTTCACTGGGCATTATTAACACGTTGGTCTGGAGAATTCTTTGCTCTGGGGGCTGCCTGTGTTTTGTAGGGTGTTTAATAGCATCCCCAGCCTCTACGTAGGAAATCTGTGATTGTGGGGTACACAATTGTCCCTGCTCGGAGACTACTGACTGACAGGTAAATTCTACCATGTAGAATTGCTGGGTCAGATGGTACATGCATTTCAAAATTTGTAGATTCCTAGAGGGGAAAAGTCACTCCGGTATTGTGTGTGCAAGTTTACACAGCATATTTTGGACATCCTTCCCTATCCTCTTTTCTTCTGCCACATCATTTTAGTAGGTGTGTGGACGTACCCTCATCGTTTTAAAAATCAGCCTTTTGATGGGATGTGCTGCTGGTGGTCTGGCCACGATGAAAACTGTTAAATGTCTTCATATAAAATTCACTGCATGCTGAGTGTGAACCTCGGTTCTGCTGCTTACTGGACTGTGCGACCTTGAGAATGTTAATTTACTCTGGGTCCCTGCTCTTCATCTGTAAATGGGGAGTGACAGTCGTCTCTACATCGTGGGCCTGCAGTGAGCCCTGGGTGCCATAAATGCCTGTGAAGTTCTTAGCCCAGGATTAGGTATGAATCCTGCAGAATAAACGTTGACCATATTTTGGTTTAGCATTATAAAAATAATAAAAATTAGTGGTTAACTGGCTTCAGCCTATTGGAGTGCCTTTTGCATCATTATATCCTCGCCTGCACTGGGGGGGTTATGGTTTTTTTTTTTTTTTTTCCTTCTGTTTTTGCTTGATTTTGCCCTCCCTCTATGCCTCGATTAACATGGTCCTTGGGCCTCCCTCTCTTCCCTCACAGGTCCTGTTCTCAAACATCGAAGACATCTTAGAAGTTCATAAGGATTTCTTGGCTGCCTTGGAGTACTGTTTACATCCCGAGCCTCAGTCTCAGCATGAACTTGGGAACGTTTTCTTAAAATTTGTGAGTTCAATGGCCCAGCCACTGTCGTAGGCTGCAGCTTTGGGGAAGTGGGCTTTGTCCCCAGCTTCCTCGGCAGGCCTGTCTGGGAGGTGGAGGCAGGCCCAGCGTCTGCCCCCCGGGAGTGATGGGAAGCAGTTCGGGCCCAGCAGACTAGGTCTGTTCTTACTGGGTTCTCCCTCCCCTCAGTGGCACGTAGTGTGTGGCTCCCATTTCCTCAGGGCTCCCTGCTGAATGCCTGTGTCCTGGGGTTCCCCTGACCTCCTGGTCTGGCAGGGCCCTTCTGCTGCAGAGTGACCAACAGGGGTAGCCGGGGCCAAGAGGGTGGCCTTGGGTCACACAGATCTGAGTTGTGAGTCCCAACCTGGCCAGCCCATGACCCACGAGGGTGTCTTAGGGTCCCACTTCAGCTGCCAGTCAGAGAGGCTGAGGCTTTTCATAGGAGCCTCTGTCTTCCTGCAGGATTGCCAAGTTGCTTGGAATAGTGAGGGGATGGTTGGAGGAAGGGGGCCGTGGGCACCCTAAAACCCAACCACTAACTACCGAATTGATTGCACACTGACACAGACATTCTCTTTGCGCTGGGTGCTGTTCGCAGTGCTTTTACATATTTTCATTCATTCAGGCTTCACAACAGCCTTCAACAGTGTGTACTATCATTGTTCTCACTTTGGACACGGGGGAACCGAGGCCCAGAGAGGGTGAGTCCTAGTGTGACTTACACAGATCGTGAGAGCTAGAGCCCGGATTTGGAGCCATTGTAATCTGGCCCCAGGCTCATGTTGTCACCATCTTACATGAGAAGTGTCCTAAAATACATACGAAACACTTGCTGTGTCCCCGGCATTGTACTTGGGTCCGAGGATGCTGCCCTTTATGAGATGAGCTTGTGTTTGCTGCCCCTCCAGCTCGTGAGCTGGAGAAATGGAGGAGGTCATTTCAGATGGTGACACGGGCCATGAAGAATATAAAATATGGAGGTGACAAGGGCTGACTCTGCTCGAGGTTGTTTGAGATTGGGAAGTCGGGGACAGGGTTGCTAGACTGAGCAAACAAGAACACCCAGGACATCTAGTACATTTGGTAAATGACATAATTTTTTAGCGTATATATGTCTCATGCACTATTTGAGATATACTAAGAAATGATTTGTTTGTTCATCTGAAATTTTGAATTCAGCTCGGTGTCTTGTGTTTAGTCTGGCAACCCTGGCCGGGGCAGGGCTCTGAAATGCAGTGAAATGGGAAGATCTTGGGGAGAGACATTCTAGAGGCTGAGACAAGCAAGGGCAGAGGCCCCAGACTGGGAACAGGCATGTACGCAGGAGGAAGGCAGGCAGCCTGTTGTGGCCGGAGCAGAGTGAGTGATGGAGGGAGGGCAGGGATGCCATGGGGCAGATCCCAGAGGGATCTTATTCTAAGAGTTGTAGGTTTTTAGCAGGGAGGTTATGTGGTCTGCGCATCCTGAGCTGTGTGGATAGGCAGATGAGAAGGAAACCTTTGTGAAAGTGAGACCTGGAGCTCAGGCTCCCCTCCGCACTGGAGCAGATGTCTACATGGCCAGTTTCTTCCCTTTTCTGAGTCTCAGGCCTTTTAGGTGTGAAGTGAGTGGTTTGGAGCACATGGTCTCCGTGGAGTATGTGTCACTCTGTAGGTGACTGTGGACAGCGGCCATCACCTCTGACAATCCTTGAGCCCTCCCCTGGGGCTCACCCCTCTTCCCCAGATGTCCCCATCTGGCACCTGTCCACGTCTCCTCCTTCACAGCCCAAACCCACAGCCACACGTTCCCCACCCGCCACATCTGTGTGTGCATAACTGTTTGTCCGTTTCTTCTTGGCACGACAATCAAAACCCCATTTGGGGCCTCTAGGGGGAAATTGAACGCTTGGGCTCTTAGCTGTCAAAAGCAGCATTTCCATATCTGCAGGGTCTCAGGCTTGAGACATAGCTGGGATGGGGCTCAGTGAAAGGATGGGGGGGGATGGGGCTGGGCATGGTTTGAGGAGGGGGTGTTGCCATTTGCTAAATTTAACCACTCCAAGCCTCAAGCCTTTGGTCCCCTGCCCTTTTTTCAAGCTGAAGGAGAGGAGGACACTGCAGAGCATGTCAGAGAAGGGGCTCAGTGGATGAGGAATGACAAACCTGCAGCGACCTTATCACTCCCTTACTCTCCTATCCTGCAGCCATGGCAGACATTACTAATCAATCACAGCATTCTGCCTCCGGGCTCCCCAGGGCAGCTCCAGAATCCTTCTCACCAGTGTTCCAGCCAGTGCTATTCATTGATTGGGGTTGGCATGTGAGAACAAACAGATTTGCTTCTGCTTTCTGGCCCAACCTTTTCATCGTACAGATGGAGATGGACAGGGAGACCCTGTCACTTTGCCAGACTTGGGTCCAATTTTTCATTTTCCTTCCCCTTTCAGAGTGTGCATTTATTAGGACTGTCTTCATTGGAAGTGACAAAACTACCAATTCAAATAGGTTTAAACAAACGAAAAAGACTTTACAGTGCATATGGCACATACAAATGAAATACTCCAGTGAGTGGGCTTTAGGCATAGCTGGATCCAGGGCCTCATATGGTGTTTTCAGGACTTGGTCTGTATCTTTGGGCCCTAATTTCCTCTGTGTTGGCTTCATTCTTGAGGGCTGTGTTCGGGGGGTTACTTTATGCCCCACAGGGTGGGAGAGGTGACCCTCAGGAGTTTCAGGCTGACACTCTGCCTGCTACAGCAGGTACGGTTCAAAGGGAGCTTCTCTTCACGGTAATTCTGACATGAGTCTTTGAGGGTTGTCTTTGCCCAGCTTGGGTCACGTGGCCATGGCTGCCAGGACAGGGAGCTCTCTGGTTGGTTTGACTTGGGTCATATGCTCACTTGTGATGCCTGGGAGTGGAGTGGGGTCTGTGGGCTCCCAAGTGGAGGAGGTAGATCCCAGGGGAGAAACTGGGGGCCATGACTGGAATAGCGGGGAATGGCTGCTTGGGTAAAAGACAAGACACGGTCCCGCAAAGAGCCCGGGGCACGGTCCCGCAAAGAGCCCGGGGCACAGTCGCTATAGAGCAGGGTCATCTGGAAAAAGCGTGGGGCTGGCTGGAGGCCTGTTGGGCTCCTCTCAGTTCCTCCTCATGCTTTCTTGCTTTCATTCAGGGTGCCTGCAGTCCCCACTGGGGCTCCAGCAGAGACCCAGCAGATGCAAAGCCCGCCCCCATGGAGCTCACAGTGGCCCGGGGCGGGGCGGGGGGCGGGCGTGGGGTGGAGGGGTGGGAGATGGACAGTGTGCAGCTGAAGAGTAAGATGTCCTGGGGGTCTGGGCCTTCAGCGTTTCCTGGATTCAGCCCTGTCCTTTCCCTGCTGGCCTGTTCTCAGCCTGTGAGCCCACTCAGCTCCCTTCTACCCCACTCTGCCCGCCCCTTCTTCCGCCATCAGAACCGACCCGCTCCCTGTTCCACCATGTCATAGACCTGTTCACTGTGGGATAATGAACTTGCCAACGTCCTAATAGTGGTAGTAACAACAGCCCCAATAAGAACAGCTAATATTTAGTGAGCCCTCGCTGCATGCTGTTTTCAGCCTTTATGGTGTAGTCACCTGATAAGTCTCCACCTTATGGTGGAGACACTGTTGTTGTCTGTACCTTCTGGACAAGAATGCAGGGGCTCTGAAATGTGACAGACACAGAGCTGGCAGCCTGGGGAGCCGGACTCTGAATGTGGCTGGAGAACTTGCACTTGGGCTTACAAGGTTGATGCTGATAGAGCCCCGGAGGCTCCAATGGCTTATCTATGAACAGGACTGATAGCGGGGTCTGTGGCCCCAGGAAAGGTCAGGGTCTTCCGGCTGCAGAGCAGTTTTTTTCTAGAGCTCCTTACATACGGTTGGGATCTCCTGCTGTCATCCCTGTGCCTGCATTCAGAGCCCAGCCCTCGCTGTAAGGCCCTGTAGACCTTCTCTGCAGGAACAGGCTCCAGACATGCCACCACTTCCTGTCACCTTCACCATGAAAGGCCCTTTTCCCCCTTCTCCGCGGCCCACCTCACCGTGGTCGGCCCCTGGAGGCCTGGCTCCCCGTGTTTCTGGCAGCCCCCTGTCCACAACTTTTTATCCTTGTTTGGGTGAACCCCTGCAGTCCATTCTTGTCTGACCAGTCTCCACTGGCCTCAGTGGTCCCCTGGGCTCACTGGAGACAGTGGAAATGGAAAGAGGTCTGCTTGGGCAGTGTGGGGGATACTGGGGTCCCCTCTTTTCCTTCCCTGTCCTCATGGCTCTGTAGGCACCGGCCGAGGGAGGAGGTCATCGGGGACGTGTGTTTCTGTGTGTGTGCCAACGTGGGTCATGGTGTCTGGAGATGTTGCTCGTGGTCTTATGATGTTGTAGAGTGTTTGGCCACTCCTCGGAGTATGTGTCAGGGTGGCTTGTCCTGGATAGTTGTGACATTGTTTGTTTTGGTATTTTTCTCTAATTCATGTTTATTGGTTGTGTGTGTAGCCTAGACTTCTAAGGATTTTGAGATGTCCCATAGAGTCCACGTGTCCCCAGCACTGACCTCCTCATTCTCCGTGGATCATTTACCTCACCAGCTGCTCCAGTAGCGGGGGGCTGTCATGGTGTGTTTTGTGGATGAGGGAACCGAGGCAGACAGAGGTGAAGCATCTTGCCCAGGGCTCTCCACTACTCAGGGAGCACGGGGCTGGGCTTCTGACCAGGGGGTGTAGTTCTAGAGTCACTCTAAGCTTGTCCCCATTATCTCTAGCCCCTCTCTGAGCTTAGTTTGTGGATCTGTGGCTCGAGATTTGTCCGCTTTGGCCTTCCCCTCCCGTCCCCATCTTTTGCTGTGACCCGGAGCTGCGCATCAGCAAGGGGGCTCCAAGGGGTCAAGCCCCGGCACTCCCGCTTCACCAGGCTTGAGCCCTTGGGCCTGTGACTTGGCCTCGGTTTTCCCCTATGATAGTGGGGAGATAGTCATTTACCTGTCAGGTCTTGGTGAGGAGTGCCTGAGTGTCCCCGCATTCCAGGAGGGCAGAGTGTGGCAGGGACCAAGGGGTTAGCACACACTCCGCCGTGTTGGCCTTTGGCTGTGGCTGTGGGCCCTTCGCTGCGGAGCACGTCTGCTCAGGTTGTGCACTCACTGCCCCAAGAGCTGGGTTGGGGCGGGCTGGGGCAGCTGACTGATTCTGAAACCCATCCTCCCTCCTCTTTGGTTTGCTCTTTCCTGCAGCTGCTCCATTGGCAGGACGATGGGGGCTTTGTTTAGAAGCAACATGACTGGCTGGCTTTGCTGGACCACCTCTTCCTTCCTTAGCTTCTTGGGGTCTCCCGCCCAACCCTCAGCCCGAGGTGGAAGCCCTTCAGCCCTTCTTGTCCAGTGGTCTTACCCAGGACATCCTTATTTAGGGTTTGGCAGGTTGGGAGGTGGTGTTCTGTGAGCCCTTTGGAGCTGAGGATGCTCAGTGCAGAGCTTCCTGTGAGTGCCGGAAGCCCTGACTGATGGTTAGAGACCTGGTGACCCACAGGTGACCTCTAGATTGGACGGAGTCCAGCTTTGGGCTTAGGGGCATTTGGAGGTCAACAGAGCTATCCCCTTGCCTCAAGAGTGCCACTGCTGTGTGGCAGCGACCAGGGCTCTACTTCCCCCCAGATCCCCCAAATTCCTGAGCCTTCTTTAGATTTTTCAGGTTCCTATATACAGGGCATTGCACATAGTAGGTGTTTAAAGTCCAGCTGGTTAGCACGTGTTCACTGAGGCCCTACTGTGTGCCAGCCACTGTGCCAGAATCGGAGACTACCTCAGTGAACAAGACAGATGTGGTCACTGCCTTCAGGGAGCTGACTGCTGTGTGGGAATAGACAGATAAACAAATAATCTGAATCATTCCAGATTGCACCTGTCTGGCTGCTTTAGCTAGGGTCGCCCAGGTGTTGTTTGAGGAGGTGGAATCTGAGTTGGGGAGTAGCCAGGCTTGGGGGGAGAATGTTCTGGGTAGAGGGTATGGCAAGTGCAAAGGCCCTGAGGTAGGAATGGGCTGGCAAATTCAAGGAGTAGCTGGAAGCCCAGTGAGATGAGGTCAGAGAAAGGCAGGGTCACATTATCTGGCCCTTGAAATTCATAATCAAGTGTTGGGTTTCTTTCGTAGTGCAGTGGAATACCACTGGGGGGTTTTCAGCAGGGGTGTGACACAGCCTGACTTGCAGTTTAATGCAAAGGATGGACATTTATGGAGCACTTAGCATATGCCAAAGCCTTACGTTTTAACTCCTTTAATCTAACAACCCCATGAATTAACTGTGAACAACTCCGCCTTCCTGATGAGGTGGTGGAGGCACAGAGAGGCCAGGGAACTTGTCCGAGTTCATACTTAAATGCAGACCCAGGATTGCAAGCCCAGGCTGCTGGCTCTGAGTTTGTGCACTTGACCCTGGGCCGTGCTGCTTCCTGAAAGGTTACTCAGGCTGCTGGGTGCGGACTCAGGGCAGGAGTAGAGGCTGCGAGGCCCACAGTAAGTGGACGGCACCCTGCCTGAGGTCCCTCCTGCTCTGTCGTCGCTCAGGGTCCGGGGGTCCTCCCAGGCTGGCCCAGCCATGGGCGCATATCAGTGTGTCTGCTTTCCCGCCACGGGCTCTCTCCCACAGACTCTGTCCTTGTCTTGCAGAAGGACAAGTTCTGCGTGTATGAGGAGTACTGCAGCAACCACGAGAAGGCCCTGCGGTTGCTTGTGGAGCTCAACAAGATCCCCACTGTGCGAGCCTTCCTTTTGGTAAGTGTGCTTGTCACCTTCCCTTCCGCTCAGCCCAGGCTTGTGAATCTCTGGGCACAAGAGAGCTTCACGCCGACCCGTGTTGTGTTGCCTGGGTCAGCTGGTCGTAACAGCTGGGGTAACTCTGGGATCACCAAATGTTTTCTATACAGGGCCAGATTTTTGCCTTTTTGAATCACGCACTCTCTGTCACAGTGACTCTGTTTTGCCTTAGATCATATGCAAAGGAGTGAGCATGGCTGTGTTCCAGTAAAACCTTATTTACAAAACAGGCAGCGGGCTGGATCCAGCCCTAGGGCCACGTTTGCCAACTCCTGATCTAAAGTAATGATCCTAATAAGAGTGGCAGCAAATGGTAGTAATGATTGTATCCTTAGGATTATTTAATTATAAGCGAATGAAAACCCAGTTAAAATTGGCTTATGCCCCCAATTTTTTTTTAAAGATTTTATTTATTTATTTGACAGACAGAGATCACAAGTAGGCAGAGAGGCAGGCAGAGAGAGAGGGGGAAGCAGGCTCCCCGCTGAGCAGAGAGCCCGAGGTGGGGCTCGATCCCAGGACCCCAAGATCATGACCTGAACCGAAGGCAGAGGCTTAACCCACTGAGCCACCCAGGCACCCCCCCAATTTTTTTTTATGGGTTCCCTTTTCTGGGAAGTTTAAGACCCAAGAGGGCTTCAGGCACAGCAGAATCTAGGTGTTCAAATATGTCATCAGGGATGTGTTTCTTGGTTCTGCTTTTCTCTGCCTTGGCTCCATTTCCAGGGAGACTTCCCCACGTGGTGCCAGTGAGGCCTCATAGCAGAGCAACTTTGAGATAAGAAAGCTCCTCTTTCTCTGTAGATAACAGCAGAAATCCTGGGTCTAATGCTCATTGGTTCAGCTTGGCTCAAGACCTTATCCCTGAACCAATTGCTGTAGGAGGAGGGTTTGGTTGTTGCTCTGATTGGCCACTGCTGGAGCTGGGGGGCGGAGTCAACTCCACCCATACCACAGGCCCTAAGGGGGTGGAGCCCTAAAGGACAGTGGGTTTGCACTTGTGCGTGTAAGTTGGGAAGAGGCGTTGGTCAGGCCAGACAGCAGACATCCCGGACAGTCTTCTCTACAATTGCAGAGAGCTTCGCTTGTGTAGAAGGGTTCTCATCTGTGATTTCCTTCAAGTTTTACCAGCTACTGTATATTGTGTGTGAGTTAAGATACACATTTGTCTGCTCTGCTGACATCCCAAATAACAGTGGTTTAAACAAGGTACACGTTTATTTCTCTGTTGTGGTAACAGCGCGGATGTAGACAGCCTGAGGCTGGGATGGGAGCCCTAGTGTCTGGGGCCAGTTGCTTGGGCTGGGCACTCACCTCTGTGGTCTAAGTTGACCTCTCATGACTTCCACATTTGGGTAGTGGGGTGCAGGAAGGGGGTGGAAGGAGGGCCTGCCCTTCTCCTTTTAAGGGCACACAGGAAGCTGCCCATATCTCTTCTACTCATGTCCAGGACCTCACCACATAGCTACACCCGGCTGCAGGGGAGGCTGGGGCATGCAGCTGGGTGCCTAGATGAAAATTCTCTTGCCGTGGAAGAATACAGTAGGGGACACCGCGTGGCCCTTGCCAGCAGGTGATTTTGAGAACTCTAAAATTTGGAGTGACTTCCCAAAGCGAGCGTCTCATGGGTTCGAATCCTGATCTCTCACTTCTAGATCCCCAGCTCATTCCGTCAAAGACCAACACCACCACCCCCAAGCTCGGTTTTATTTCCCAGCAGCGCATAGAGAATAAAGCACAACAAGTAGAACAGCTATTTGACCCAGCACAAGGAGTGTTAGGCGTGTGTCCAGGGGGCCACACTGCACAATGAAATTCTTACCTGCACATCTCCCTCATGCACAGTCTCCAACAAAGAATTTCCAGAATTTGGATTCAGAATGTGTGTTTCCTTCACTAGTGTGTTCGTGTTGCTTGGTCCATTCCTGGGGAGCACCTGAGGAAGGGCAGATGGGTCTCGAGTGTCTTCACCTTCGGGACTGATGCTGTTGGCCACTCTTACCTGCATCCTCGCCGTTCCAGTTTTGTACTTACATTCGTCAAAGAGTCAGGGCCAAAAGCAAGGATAAAGTCCTGTAACACGGACCACGCACGGCCGTGCTTCTGTGATTGACCTGCTGATTCGAGTCCTGGAGTCCCTGCTGCCCAGGCTCCTGGCTCAGGGCCCCTCTTCCTGGGGGTGTCCCCTTGGGCTCCTCTGGGTTTTGAAAAGCAGGAAATGCCGGGATGGTGTGAGCAGGGGTGTGGGAAGGGAAGGGCCCCACTTCCTCTTTCCTTCCTTCTTCTCTCTCCTGTGGTCTTCCGGGTGGGCCCGGCTGCCATCTTCCTAGCAGCAGCTGAACAGGGCCGGATCGGGCAGGGGGAGGACACGGGCGGTGCCAGCCCATGCATCATCTTCCTCCCTCCCTGCTGGTGTCTCCAGCTTTTGGCCGCCAACAGAAGAGCTGTCTCGAGTCTTCCATGGGCTGTTAAGGCGTTGAGAACAGACGGGATCTGGCTTTCCAGTCAGGATATGTTGTGTGCTCGCTGAGAGATAGGATGGGGACCTTCTCATTCTGTGACTTAGTTTTCTTGTCTGTAAAATGGGGTAATTTGTTCATTCACTTATTTATTCATTCATTCATTCTAAGTCTTGGGGTACAACAGTGACCGAGGCAAGAAAAGGCCTTGCTCTCATGGAGCAGCCATTTTAGTGGGAGAAACTTACCTGCCGTGTCTTAGGGTGTTACATCCTGTGGAGGAAACACAGTAAGTTAAGGATGGCAGGATGTTTGGAGGGAATTAGGGTGGTGGCTGCTATTTGAGATTGGTCTGTGGGAAAATCCTGTCTTACATGATATTTAAGCAGAGACTTTGGTAAAGTAAGAGAGAGAGGCAAGGAATATTGGGAGGAAATCATTCCAGGGAGAGGAATTGGATGTCCCAAGGCCCTGAGGTAGGAGAGTGTTTGATGAATAGCAAGAAAGCCGGGGTAGTTGGATTGGAGAGTCTGAGAGGAAAGTGGGAGGAAGTGAGATCAGAAGAGAGAAGCTAGATAATGGAAGGAACCTTTAGGCAGTGGAAGGGATCTGAGATTCTCAAAAGGCTTTTCTTATAGAGGGAGGTAGGGACAGACACTGAATGCACTCATCGTGTGATCGCTCCCGTGATCAATCCTGTGAAGGAGCAGCATTTAAGGAGAGAATTTTCAAAGTTCTTCCCATCGTACCCAGAGCGTCATCTTGCTAGAACAGTGAATGGCAGCTCTGTGTGTGTTTGCTTTTTGCCCCCCCCCCCCCCCCCCAGTGAAAACAAAGTAAAACAAGAATTTGGAGTGTCTGGGAGAAGTGTGGTTGGCAGCTTTGACACTTATGTGAAAACCCCTTGATCCTGGACAAAGAGCCAGACCCTTCTCCCGCCGGGTCCTCGGGGCTTCTGGAAAGTGCTCCCCTACCCCCAGGCTCCCCTCTTTCTGCCCGAAGCTGACATCACCAGGGCAGCTTGTGGTGAGCCCTGGCTCGGAGGACAAAGGCCTGAGTGTGAGCAGTGTGGGGCCTGGCATCTCCCAGCTGCTGCAGCTCTGATCCCTCCTCTGTGCCCGGGGGAGGTGCGGGGCTCGGGGGCCGTGCAGCTCCTGCCAGAGCAGGGACCTGGACTCCCCGGGGTTCTGCTTCTCCAAGGAGAGGGCCCTCCAAGCTCCCTGCAAGGCAGTAGCTTTGGGTCTCGGACCCATCCTTTTGCTTCTGTGTGCCACTTTCCCGTCTGGAAGAGGGAGATAACGTCCCTGCGTATCCTGGGGCCGTGAAGATGACTTTACATGGTGGAGCACAAGGTACAGGGCCTGGCACGTGGTAGGCACAGGGCAAATGTTCTCTGGGCTTGTTTTCACTTGAGTATAAGCAAGGAATGTGTCTGCCTTGTTGGGCAGGTGCCCCAGTGCTTGGAACCGTGCCCAGCCCATAGTCCGCACACAGTATATATTCACAGAACGAATGAATGAGGGAGTGAACAAGTGATAGGATGAGAATTCTTTGCTGTGGGAGTTTCTGTGTCATTAGCAGTCTGCCCGCGCGGTGTCGGGAGGAAGACGGGGAATGTGGGCTGGGCTGGCAGGTCGCTTATTCCTTAGTGTGTCCCTTCTTCCTTCCTGCATGCATGTGAGCACACACGTGTGCCGTGGGCACATAGTAAGCCTGGGACAGGACGGCAAGGAGTTCACGGCTGGGGGGGGGACTCAGTTCACTTTCCAAATCCTGTTACCCTCCCTCTACAGAGGTAACCAGCCCCTGTTAGAATTTGGTTTATTTTTCCTCCATCCGTGTCTTTGTATTTGACGACAGATGTGTTCCCCACAAACAATGCCTAGTTTGGTTGTGTGTGTTTTTAAAAGCTTTGTATGAATGGGTTCGTAGCAGCCATATCCTTTAGTCTGTGTTGCTCCGAGTGGTGCCCGACCCCCTGTTTCCCACACCACGGACTGTGGCACTGTCTCGCCCGACAGGCATGTTTTTCCATCCTTCATTTGGTGGCTCTTTAGGTTGCTTTCCATTTTGTGCTGTCCCACACAAGGCAGGTCTGAATGTCCCTGTTCCCTGTCTCCTGGTGTGTCTCTGGAAGTTCCTGTAGTTCCTACATACCAGGACTTAGCACACTTTTTTATAAAAAGCCAGATAGTGGTGGACAGTTGAGGTGTTGGGACCATAGGCTGTCTGTTAAACTGCTCATTTGTGCCACACTTGCTTGGAAGCGAGCATGTGCAGGTACGTAAACAAAGGATGTGGCCGTGTTCTAGTGAGATCCTGCTTGCTGCAACAGGGATCGGTGGGATTTGGCCCAGGAGGTGGGGGGAGGGGGTGGGACAGGTTGCTAGGCCCTGATCTAGGCTTTGTGCTGGGTGACAGATGATGCATATTTCCATCTCCTCTTGGTGTTGCTAAATTACCTCCAAGGTCTGCAGTTGTGTTTTGAGAGTGCTTCCCCTGCGTATTTGAACGTGGCCAAATGCCTCTGCCGTCCTTGGTGGGTTGTAATGAAGGTCTTCTGTCCCTTTGCAGAGCTGCATGCTCCTGGGAGGCCGGAAGACCACGGACATCCCTCTGGAGGGCTACCTGCTGTCTCCGATTCAGAGGATCTGCAAATACCCGCTCCTTCTCAAGGTGAGACAGTCACCCGGCTCCTTTCCCTGGGTTTGAGGGACTGAAAGCCCAGCTCTGGCTTACGCAAAAAGCAAAACTTGTTAGTTAAGCAACTGAGACGTGCAGGGACCGTGTTGGGTTTGGGCCGGGCTGGAGCCTATCAGGACCCTGCCTCTTTGGGTTCAGTTCTGCTTTATATTTGTATATGGTAGCAGATGGCTGCGGTCCTCTGGCCGCACACCTCGTCAGGTTCAAGGGCAGCGGGAAAGCCTGAACCTCTCTTCTAGTAGCTCCGACTCAAGGCCCGAGAGTCACTCAGGCTTCGGCAGTCTGTGGCCAGAAGAATGTGATGTTCTGAATAGTTTGGGCCCGAGTCACGTGGTTTAATTTGGACCAATTACATGAAGCCTTTGCTTGTGCCATTTACCCATGTCCCACGTGCTTAGACTCACACTTAACCCCAGAGGCGAGGCACTGGGCTGTGCGGGGCTCTGATCGGTTGAGACGTGGTCTAGGCCGGTGCACTGGGTGGTGTTATGTTCTAATGGGCTGATACCAGGATCAAGTGCTCCCTGTGTGATCCAATCACACTGAGCAGATGAGCTCTAAACGGTGCTGACTTACGGCATGAGCTCTGACCTCTAAGCCTCACATGATCCACAGGCCCGTGGGTGGGGGATGCAGGACCTCCCCATCACAGTCCCAGCTGTTTGTGGAAGAGGCTGGGGGCTGCTGAGGGGGCCCAGTGCAAATAACCAGCCACCTGCTATCTTTATCTTTGATTTGGTCTCGGTGGGACAGACTGAGGGAAGGTTTGCTGCTTGTGTGGCAGCCCAAGAAGTCATAGTTCTCAGCTTTGGAGTCAGCGCCTGGGCAGATAGATCCTCTGCTGGGGGTATGGCTCTGCCACCAGCTGCTGCTCTCTGCCCAGGGTTTTCGGTGCTTGGAAATGGCATCTTATTGGCCCAAGCATCCCCTGGCTCCATCCCGAAGGCCTTGCATCTGACAGCTGTTCCTTGTGGTCCCCGCTGGGGGATTAATGTGGCTGGTGGCGCCTCATTCATGCACCTGTCACTCATGCATGGGGCCACATGCATCTTTGCTCCATGAACTGGAAGGCAGAGGGGAGGGGAGGATTACTAGGGCACTCTTGAACTTGACTTTCTGCTGGACAAGGTGGGTGACCCTTGAGTCTGTGAGCTGGACCAGACCCTCTCTGGGGCCATCAGCCCTGTCCATGACCACAGGCCTGTAATGTGTGCAGCCACGGTTGGTGGGACGAAGTTCTCTCTGGCCCTCCTCTAGCCTGCTGCTGTTTGTCTGTCCCCGGGATCTCAAGAGGACCGTCTGTGGTGGTTCTCGTAGTTGCTTTGACCCCAAATGTTTGAAATGCTGCGTGTGGCTGTAGCTGGCTCTTCACCTTGGTACAGGAAAAGCTCCTAGAACTTGCGAGTCGCTAGCCTGTGGATTGAATTGGACCTAAAATCTGCTTTGTTTGATCCTTTCGGTGTGTTCTCCAAACTCGAGTCGGTTGCCAGCCGTTAAGAGGTAGTACTCTGTGGTGGTTTAGGGCAGGGGTTGGCAAAGCGGTGGCCCGTGAGCCAGATCTAGCCCGTGGCCTGTTTTTGTACAACACAGGAGCTGAGAATGATGTTTACATTTTTTTAAAGCCTTGTTTAAAAAGAAAAGAAAACCCAAAAAACAAAGACGAGTATGTGACAGAGACCGGATGTAGCCAACAAAGCCTAAAATGTTTACTATTTGGCCGTTTACAGAAAAAGTCTATTGACCCCTGGATTAGTGCCAGGCTTTGTAGCCAGAGGCTGCTTGAGTTTGAATTCTAGCTCCGCCATTTACTAGCCGCCTGACCTTGGGCGAGTCACCTTTGCCGGCCTCAGTTACTCAGCTGTGGTACAGGGTTTGTGTTGGTACAGACAGGGCTGTTAGGATGGTTGAGCATTTCCCCCTTAATTCTGAGAACGATGTGATGAGGGAGGCACTGTGATTAGCCCCACTGGAGAGACTGAGGCACAGAGGAAGGGGCCTCTTCATGGTGAAGTAGTAGGAGCTGTGATTTGAGCCCATTCTAGAGGCCCGCCCTCTGACCACTAGGCCGTGCTGCTGGTTGAGCACTTTGGGGAGTCAGGCTCCCAAAGTCCTTGGGTTTTGGGAACGCTGACCCTCTCCATTCTCTAGGTGGGGGTCTGGGACGGTCGGTGGCCTTGTGTTTTGTGGCTTAGTGGCTGCTCCGTTCTTTTCTTCCCGGGGTTTCAAACCTGGAACCTCTGACCCATTAGAAGAAATGCCAGCTCCAGCCCCAGCGCCCAACCAAGGCCCCCTAGGTGTTAACTCTTTGGTTTCTGGATCTCAGAAAAGTCCAGGGTCTCAGCAGGTGCTTGGAGTGGTAGTTCCCATGACGTATTTTAACAACCAGCAGAGCTGGACCTGTGTGTGTGTGTGTGTGTGTGTGTGTGTGTGTGTGTGTGTGTGTGTAGACTCGGAGCTCACAACGGCAGGCTCAGGCATTTCTGAGGCCCGATTAGGCCCAGGGGCTTCCGTTCGGCTTGGTGGGATTCACAGGCTCTGGATTCCCGGGAGAGCAGACAGGGAGGAACGGCACTGGCTGGCAACCCGAGGGGGAGTGACTGCCCACAGGAAACGATGATGAAGCCAGGCTGTGGCCTTGCTCTCCTGACCAAATGGCTGTTTACTAGCCCCGTTTCCTCAGTCTCCAGCTGTGTTTATCTGGAGCTCCGATAGCACCGGGGGGACCCGCCAACAGGGCCTTCGAGTCCTCTGGGGACGTGCCATGCTCCCCGCCTGATGGGCTCGCTCAGTGTCCTGGCCTTTGGCACCCACAGCTGGAACATTCGCATCAGAACACAGCTGGGACTGAACGCAGTTCTTTATGCTCCTCCTGAGTTCCTCCTTCCTGTCACGTTTTCCAGAGGATTCTAAAAGACGATACCATGTGCCCAGTCCCTCAAGTGTCTCCACCTCTGGCCTCCGCATCTCTGACGCCCTTGCAGATGTTCCCGTGGCCCGCTGAGCCCCCTTGTTTGAGCTGAACTCTGAATCCAGCAGGCGATCAGGATTAGAGAGCCCGGGTGGGAAGAGAGAAGAGGCCGGAATGAAAGCCTCATTGGGAACAGCCCCAAAAAGCTGAACTTGAACATTGCCTAAGAATAGCCAGAACATTCTATCTCAGCCTCTGGCCCAGGCTCAGGATAGACAGTTGGCGTTTTTAGGCTTTGTTGAGTTTCCCGTCGATGTTTCCAGGGAAATGATTCAGGTTTGAGGTCATGCCCCTGGTGCTCAAATGACAGGTGCCTAAAGGGAGGCTGACTGTCACTGTCCCTTTGGGTTGTTTCCTGGTGATGCACAGATCTCATCGGGCCACTCACTGTGCCCCAGCTCGTGGTGTGGCTCAGGACCCACACTGGCGCCCCAGATAGCCTCTGTCCTCCAAGCTCCAGGCAGACGGGGCCCCACAAGGGCCTGGTACCTAATGGAAGCCCGTTGAGGCAGGTGGAAGCAAACTGATTGGGCACATCTGTCCAGAGGGGGCAGCTGCCACCCCAGCCCTTCTGTTCTTTGCTTCCTGCACCTGTGGCCACTTCCCTGCTGTCTCCTTTGCTGGCTCCACACCTTCTGGGTCTCTAAGCACAGGTGGACCCAGGGCTTAGTTCTGGGGCCTTTTGTCTCTAGACTTGCTCCCAGAGTGGACTCAGCTGCCTTGTGACCTTTAAAAAAAAATGTGTGTGTGTGTGTGTGTGTGTGTGTGTGTGTGTGTGTATGTATATTCAGAAGTTGTGCAACCCTCATCATAATAATTTTAGAATATCTTCATCACCATCAGGAGAAAGTCCAGACCCATCAGCAGTTCCCGGGCTTTTCCCTCCTGCCCCAGCCCCTGGTAGTTACTCATCCACTTCCTGTCCCTGGGGCTCAGGACCTTCTACATAGACGGGATCATCTAAGATGTAACCTTCAGTGTCTGGCTTCTTTCATTTAGCGCAGAGTTTTCCAGGCTCATCCACATGGTAGCCCAGATCAGAGCTTCATTCCTTTTTATGGCTGCATAATATTCCATTGTATGGAACCACATTTTGTTTATCCGTTCATTCCTTGACGAATGTTTGGGTTTTTTCCACTTTCTGGCTATTAGGAATAATGCTGCTATGAACAGCCGTGTGCCAGCTTCTTGTGGACACTCCCGTGGCTTTAAGCCGTGTCTCTGTGTCTGACCTGCAGCCTGGACCCGTCTCCCAAGCTCCAGGCTTGTTCTCCTGCCCACTCAGCTTCCCCACTTGGATGTCTGACAGGTATCTCCTGCCTAACAGGTCCAAAACTGAATGCTTGGCTCTCCTCTTTCCCCAGACCAGGCTCCCCTCCCTGTCACCCCCTTGTCCCCATTTCCATACATGGCCTTTCCTTTCTGATGGCTCAGGCCAAACTTGAGCTGTCTTTGGCTCAGCCTACATCTAGTCTCTTAGGAGGTCCTATTGGCTCTGGCTTCGGTTCTATCTTGAGTCTAGACTTTCTAGCTTCTTCTCTTCATCATGCTGCCAGGCCCTTGCTACAGCCCCCGCTGGGTCTTCCTGCCTCTGCCCTTGTCCTCCACAGTCTCTTCTCAGCCCAGCAGCTAAGCCCAAGCCAGTTCATGTCACTTCCTCACTCAAGACTGTCCAGCGGCTCCCTGTCACTCAGATTGAAATCCAGATTCCCCATCATTGTCACCTGTAAGGTGCTGCACATTGAAGTTATATTTTATTTTCTGCCCTCCCCTGCTTCTTCTCCCACACCCCTGGCTCTCCTCCAGCCACACTTGTCCCCTTGCCATTCTCTGAACACAACAAACATGTTCCTGCCCTAGGGTCTTTGCACTTGCTCCTTCTTCCGGGACATCATTACGGCAGATACCCTGAGGCTCACTCTCTAATATTCTCAGGCCTCTGTTGCTCAGTTGTCCCCTCCTCAGAGAGGCCTTGCCTGACCACCCAGCTGTAGCACAAGTGCCTCTGCCATTCTCTGTCCCCCACCCTGTTTTTATTTTTTCTTCACTGTCCCATTCTGTTTTCTAACTCATGGTGCACAGGTTGAGTTTCTGAATCCTCATTAGGCTGTCAGCAAAGCCAGGGCCAAGGTCTGGGCCTGTTCTGCTTGTTGCTATTCACCTAGAATGAGCCTGGCACATAGTAGCCCCCCCCCCCCATTGACGCACTGAACGACTATGGAAAATGCCACCCTAGTGTGACCCACCATTCCAAAATCCAGAAATTGGTACATTCAGGTCCCCGATAGCACCTGATTTCCAAATGTCAGCTTCGTTCAAAACTTGTCAAGTATTGCGGGGGCAAAACAGGGCGTGTCCTGGAAGCCGTCTGCTGGGGACAGCTACTTGAGCGGGCTTGTGGCAGGGGCGCTCTCTGCAGAGTGGCTGCTCAAGGTATAGCCTTGGGGCCCCACAGGGACTCCTATGTGTCTTGCACTTCCCACATCTGTCAGCGGGTGATGCAGCTGTCACCCTTGCTAGCATGGACACCTTGCCAATCAGTTGTTCCCTCCGTCTCCCTGGCCACTGGGGGTGTGGCACCCTGGGGGATGGACCATGGTCCATCACCGGGGAGGTGTTGGCATCAAGTGTTTGTGGAAGAGGATGGCTGGGGAGTGGCATGTTCCCCGGAGTGGGGACATGGACCACTCAGAGCCCTCCAGAAGGTGTTAGGTGGCCCATGGAAACCTTTCCGGGCGGTAAGTGGTGGGGGAGGGAGCCCTGGAAAGCGGTGCATCCTGTAGTGAGGTGTTCTTTTCTTAGCAAGTGCCTGTGTGTCTTCCTGAGTCCCTCCAGCAGAGTTATGGTCGGTGCCACAGGGTCAGGCGTTTGGGAGGCCGTTTTATTTACTCATCAAGGATTGTCGAGTAACTGTTATGTGTAAGGCATGGTCCCAGGTGCTGGAGATAAAAAGTGAACAAAATGGGCTAGAGCCTTGCCTCTGTGGGACTGGCATTCTGCTGGGGGAGATAGCGGAGGGATGGATAGGAAATGAATATACTTGCAGAGCTAGCAAGTGTGCTGTGGGGAAAATATCTCAGACCAAGAGGGTTAGTAAGGGCCAGGAGTGAGGAACTAAGAGGGTGACATTTGAGCAAACACCTGGAGGAGGTGAGGAAGGGGCCTACAGGTACCTGGAGGAAAAGTCTGAGGGAAGGGCCAGTGCAAAGGCCCTGTGGCAGGAGTGTGTCTGAGGAACAGTGAGGTGGCCAGAGGACAATCTGAGGGAGTGGGGGAGTGAGGCCAGAGAGGTGGTGAGGCCAGATTAGGCAGGTCCTTGTGGGCCACTGTGGGCTGTTTGTCTTCTCTGAGTGTTGTAAGTGCATCAGGAGGGTTCTAAGCAGGGGAGGGACAGGGTCTCACCTCATTCTGACAGGATCCCTCTGGCTGTGTGTGGAGAATGGACTGGGAGTGGGGAGTTGGGGTGGGGTCCAGGGAGTTGACTTCAGGGATCCCGGTGGCAGCTGGCTGGGCCAGGGGAGCGGGGGTGGGTTCGTGTTGAGATATGCCCCTTCACATTGTTTGCCATTTCCATTGAATACTTTGGGTCATGCCTCTGGAGTTCTTCTCTGACTCCGCTGTTATGAAATGAGCTCCTTATCTGCCGGGGATCTGGCATTGATTGTCACCAGCTTGCTGTGAAGGCACAGGAAGTCAGCATTCTCACTGCGGCTCCGGCCGCAGTGCCCACCCTCCCTCCTGCCTCTCGGGCTGAGTGCTGACACCTTGCCCACAGCTGCTCTGACACCCAGTGCCAGCTCAGGCTCTTTCCTGTGTGGAGAGCAGCGGTGGCCTCGGACGCTTCTGCAGGACGGGGCACCTGCTCTCACCTCTGTTTTTTATTTCAACTTTCAGGTCACACTCTCCTTCCCCTTCCTCTGTGGGAATGCCTCCTTTGTTGGAGGGAGGGCTCCATCTCCCCCTTCCTTGCTTCCCCTTTGCTGTGTCCCCAGAACGTGGCAGGTGCTCAGCAAACCCTCAGGGGCCTGACATCTCAGAACGTCTGGTCCGCGGGACCGTTAGGACTTGTCCTCCAGAAAAGAGGCTGTTGGTTTCCAGGCGGGGCAGAAATGACGTGAATGGAGAGGGGACGTTCTAGAGTTGGTTTTCTGTTCCGAGTGCTCCGAACAACGCACTGGCAGATGGCCCGGCGGCTGTCCCAGCTAGCACGTGTTGTCAGACGACAGACTGAGGATGGCTGGCATAGATCGGGTGCTCACCAGGTCCGTAGTTGACCGCAGAGGTCCTTTTCCTGGAGGATCAGATTCACCGTGCCCTTGAACCCACCCAGACGGTCAGGCTCACATCCAGCTGTGCCTGCATTTACTTTCTGGAGGCCTTGGGCTGTTCTGCGTTAATCTCCGTCACTGCTAAAGGGGATGACAACGGACCCTACCTCGTAAGCACAGAGTAAAGGCTGAGTGGGCTGTCATTGCTACCGCCCTCCTCCTCCTCCTGGCGGCCCTCCTCCTCCTCCCTGCAGCCCTCCTTCTCCCCTCAGCCCTCCTCCTCCTCTCACAGTGGCCCTCCTTGTCAGTGCTTTTCAGCATGGAGGGCGACTGGCCCAAGGTCACTCGGCTACAGAGGGGCAGAGCCAGCCCTGGCACCCACGTGTGACCCGTCAGAGCGCCACGTCTGTGATTTTCAAGGGAGCAGAGAGGTGGGGAGATACTGGAACCGTTGGGCACTTCTAGGTCAGATGGTTAAGGAGGCCTGTCCCTGCCGGCATGGCGCTGTCCGTTGAGTGATTCAGCTGGAAAATCTTCTCTACATCTTGAGGTCCTGCCAGCATCTCCCTCTTCTTTCTCTCGCTCATCTCATGTAGCGTGTGGCTGATGCCCTTTGATGACAAACCTGGCCTTCAGCACGGTTCAGGCCTGCCCTTGTGGTAGGGGTGGGAGGTGGCAGGGGGAGGGCCATGGAATAGGGCCCACCAGGAATGGCCAGTTGACAGGGTCTGTCCTGGTCCCTGTGAGGTGGGGTGTTTTTATACCCGCTCTCCCAGTGAAAAGACTGCACTTGGTTGGGCTCCGTATCTGTGGCCTCCTCTCTGACCTCCTGGTGTCTGTCTTGTCTCTCTTTTCCTTTTGGTCTTTCTCATTTACTCCTCTCCAGTCGCACTGTCTGCTTGCTGTTCCTCCTCCTAGCCCATCAGCGCTTCCACATCAGGTCTTTTGCATTTGCTCCGCGCTCTGCCCGGCACAGTCTTCCCCAAGATTTTTGCAGAACTCCCTCCCCTGCTTTACCCAGAGTCTCTGTTTAAATGTCACCTCCTCCGAGAGGCCTCCCCTGACCTCCCCATTTGAAAGAGCCCCTCCCGGGACCCCTGGGCGGCTCAGTTGGTGAAGCGTCTGCCTTCAGCTCAGGTCATGATCTTGGGGTCCTGGGATCGAGCACCACGTTGGACTTCCTCCTCAGTGGGGAGGCTGCTTCTCCCTCTGCCCATCCTCTGGCTTGTGCTCTCTCTCTCAAATAAAATAAAATAAAATAAAATAAAGAACAGCTCCCTTCCCAAAACCTTCTAGCCTGTCACTCTGATTTGTTTTCATAGTATTTATCACTGTCTGACATTGTACTGTGCACCTGATTTTTCTTTATTTTGGCCCATCTCCTTTACTAGATTGTAATACCCACCAGGTGAGGAATTTTTCTCTGTTTCATAGACAGATTTGTCTCCAGGCCCTAGAATACTGCTCCACCATGAAGAAGGTGCTCAGGGGACATTTACTGAATGAATGAGTGAGTGAATGAGTGACTGAGTCCGTGATGCTCCCCTCCCTCCCCCGCCGGAACACCCTGTCTGTACAGAGCAGAGCTGAGATCTGGCGTGGGGCCAGGTGACCTGGATGCCGTGTCTGGGGCCCTCGGAGTGGACGTTTCTCATTCCTGTCCTCCCCGGTCCCCTAGGAGCTGGCCAAGAGGACCCCTGGCAAGCACCCGGATCACCCCGCGGTCCAGAGCGCCCTGCAGGCCATGAAGACCGTGTGCTCCAACATCAACGAGACCAAGCGGCAGATGGAAAAGCTGGAGGCGCTGGAGCAGCTGCAGTCCCACATTGAGGGCTGGGAGGTGCGGCGGGGCGGGAGGAGCAGGGCCCCGGGCGTGCGCGGCTGCAGCTCTGTGCTGCGGTCTGGGCCCCAGGCTTCAGCCTGCCTGGTGCGTTTGGTTCGGCCTCCAAGGTGTTTGGGGAAAAAAAAAAAATTATTTAGTTATTTTTCAGTGGAGTCCACATGAAAGTCTGGAGTTCAAGTTTCTTTAGAAAAATGAGTAGCTCTGGGCCCTCACTTTCCACGACCACAGCCACGAGAGCTTCCGGTATTCCTCAGTCCCCAGCACCTCCCGTTCCTTCTGTCTCTCTCTTTCACGTGTTGCCTCACCTGCCTGGTGTCCATAGACCCTGGCGCTTTTGACACCGAGGTCCACGGTAGTGCTTATGGGTCTGGCCAGGACAGAATTCTGGCTCTGATGGCCCCTTGCTGGGTGACTCGAGGCAGATGTCTTAACTTCTCTGAACCTCCCGTTTCCTCTCTTCCTGGCACACGGTAGGTACTCAATAAATGGTAGGGGTTGCTATTATATTACTATCATCATGCTTATGGGGCTCTGGGATTCTTGAAATCTTCTCATGGTGCATGCGTTTAAACCTCCTTCCTTAGATTATCAGAGATTTCCTACAAATCTGTGGAAGGAAATGGGGAAATCTGAATAAATAAAAAAAAAAAACAATATCAGAGTTAGTGCAGCTGGAATGGGAGATCAAAAGCAAAGATGAAAGACTCTTAGATTACTCTCTGAATCATCTGCCTTTGGGTTTTCTGGCGCTTGCTACTTTTGGGATTTCCACTTGTCTTCCTGGTGTTCCGGAATCCTGAAGGTGACTCCGTCTCACTGCAGAGATAGAGAGTCTGGCTGTTGCGGGGGCCTGGGGAGTGCTTGCAGCGGGGAGGCGGGCAGTGTGGGTTAGCGCTGGCCACATACCCATCCTCTTCCTGCGGGGCCTTCCCATCCTGCCGGAGCTGGGGAATGGAGAGCCGCATTTCTCGGTCCCCCCAGTAGTTCAGGTTTGGGATGTGATTGGCCAAAATCAGATCCAGCTGCTGGGGATTTGGCCGATGGGGTGGGATATAGAGCATAGCCGTGGTCGTGTTTGGCTCTCTGTGGTAGCATCAGCAGAGGGGCCGGACTCCAGCTTCCTGGGTGTTCAGGGGCACAGGACATTTGCTTGTTGTTGATGGCATGTGTCGCGCAGGCAGGGGATGGCTCTGTAGCTGACCTGCAGATGACCTGCAGCGGCTGCCTCGGGCCTGGTTACGGCCTGGGTTGTGTTTTCCTGGAGTATCCGCTCGGGCCCGTGTGTGTGACGCTTTCTTTTCCCAGATGGGGCCGAGGCAGTGGCTCTGTGGGGGATGGGCCAGGTAGACAGTGTTGGTGGTTTTCTGGGAGCCCCAATGGTTTGGATTCCTGGCTCCCCTAGACCATCCGATAATTAAGTAACCCCCTTATTTCTTTCTGCTTAAAATACACGTAGCTTGGTTTCTGTTTCCTGTGACTGCAAATTGCTGAATGTCAGGTGTTGTTGGTTAGGGTGTGTTGTCTCAGGACTCATGTCAGCCCCAGGATGTCAGAGCTCCCCCTTTGTCTCTCGAGGTCCTCTTGGCCTCCCCTGCCCGGTCCCAAGAGAGCAGGAGCTCCAGGCATCACTTTGTGTTCCAGAATAGCCAGAGACAGAGGCGTGGCCAGGGCATGCGAGGGAGCTCTTCTCCTCACTGGAGGAAAACCTTACCCAGAAGCCCCGAAGACTTCCCCTTTCATCTCACTGACCAGTGGATCACACGGCCACTTTCAGCCACGCTTACCCAAAGAGCAAACAGAATGAAGGATGTGTTTAAGCCTGTTTGGGCTTTGAGCTTCCTGGCAGCCAAAGTGAAGAGAGCAGGAGACATAAGTTACTCAATATATATTTTCAAAAAAGGAAGACAGAGCAGTTCTTCTGGGAGACACAGAGTTTCCTGGAAACCAGCTGAGAAAGAAATCTCTCCCATGGGCCCCTGTGGAGAAGAGGATTGAGCAAGCCCTTTGGCAGCTGAAGCAGAAGTGTTTTCTAGATGCCTACTTCTGGGAAGGGCCTCGGGAAATAAGAACTAAGGATCTTTGGGGGCCCTTTTAGACCCTGAAAAACCTACAGTTGGAGAGTGACCCTGATTTTGGTCACTGTCCTGGGTGCTGTAGGAGTACACTGTGCCAGAATAAGAATTGCTGACAATGATTGAGCCCCTGTTACATGTCTCCAGGACAAAGGGACGGGTGCTCTTATGATCCCCCTTGGACAGCTGAGGAAACTGAGGCACGGGGACTTGGTCTGGGGGTCCAGCCCTGTAACTGACAGTCGGCCCTGCCTTAGGCAAGTTTGTCCCGCTCTCTTGGCCTCCATTTGCCTTCGTTTTCTATTCTGAGTAATAATATCTCTTGAAGGTATCTCCTAAAGCTATTCTTTTTTTTTTTTAAGATTTTATTTTATTTATTTGTCAGAGAGAGAAAGAATGCACAAGCAGGGGGATCGGCAGAGGGAGAAGTAGGCTCTCTGCTGAGCAAGGAGCCCCATGTGGGACTCGATCCCAGGACCCTGGGATCATGACCTGAGCCGAAGGCAGACGCTTCACCGACGGAGCCACCCAGGTATCCCTGTCCTGGTGTCATTCTGAGGATAAAGTGAAAACTGGAGTATGAATGCTTGTTGGAAAAAGTAAAATGGTTTTCTCTGCAGTAGAAAGGTTTCTTCTGAAAGTGTATTTATTGAAGTCATCTCTACTCCCCGTGTGGGGCTTGAACTCACAGCCCCGAAATCAAGAGTCACATGCTCCTCTGAGCCAGCCGGGTGCCCCTGGAGAAAGGTTTTTAAATGCAGTTTGATCCTTAAGGCGAGTTGTAAAAATAATGTGTCATAGCTAGAAACAATCCCGGGTGACAGTGAAGCTACTTGTAGTGTCTCCTGTTCCCTGTAGTTACACCCTTGGGGGACAGTGTGACTTGCATGTAGTTTGTGGTGAATGGCGGTGGTTACAGATCCTTGCTTCTGATAATCTTCCTAGTAATTACTGATCTTGCCATCTGACCTCTCGCCGGTCTGTTTAGATGGTGCCATCTAGCTCTTGGAATATGGCTGGCAAGGGACTCATTGTGGGAGGAGAGAGGGTCTCTTCCTTGGCTGCTTAGCGACTGTGGGCTTGGCCTTGCATCAGGAGTCTGATCTCCGATAGCTGCCTCCTCCCCCGCCCCCATCCTTCCTAAGCCGCGTGTCCTTTTTAGTCTGGAGACTGGTTTACTTAAAACCAGATAAGTGAAGCCATAAATTCACTTTATCGAGGGGGAGGAAATGGCAGGATGTCGCAATACCGTGGAAGTGAGTGAACGAGCCAGCTCTCTTTGCAGGGAGGGGTTCTTCATCCTCAGTTTCCCCATCTGAAAAGTCTGGGTGGTTGCAGCCCTCCTTCTTGGGTCCCTTGAGGATTCGGGAGGGAACGCACGTTCAGCACTTGGAACCAGGCTGCCTCCCTGGCTTGGAGTAAATGCTCTGTAAACTCTGAGAGGAGCTGTGGCCGCGGAGCAGGGTTTCACTCTTACTTTTTTTTTTTTTAAGATGAAAAAGCGTCATGCAGCTTTAGCTACAGCTCATACCCAGTGTGGGCTGACCCTCCTGCAGAGGGACACTCAGGAAGCAAGCTCCATAGACTTCTGTGTGAAGCTCACAGTAATAAAAAAAAATACATGTTCTTAATAAGAACGAAATGGGGCATACTCGTCTCGCTGGCTCTGGAAATGCTGGTTTGAGAGATCGTCAGTTGCCCACTCACCCACGAGGGGACAGAAAGAAATAGGAGCGAGGAAGCATAAAATTGTTATTAAAAAAAGAGAGAGAGAGAGAGAAGTTGTCATAGGCCCTTCCACCCTTCCTGGGATGCCTTGTGCTCCAGGGGGCTGTGGTCTCTCCCCTTTGGAGACCCCTGCTCTAGACCAGTCGTCTTGTTAAAAAGCCCTTCAGGTTGTCAGGTTACCTTCTAAGGGGCAGCCGTCTCTCCGCTGTCCCCAGGTGGGAGAGTGGTGCCATCCTGTCTGGGTTCACATCCCAGCTCGCTCACTGACCAGCTGTGTGACCTTGAACAAGTCACTTCTCTGCTCTGTGCTTCAGTTTCTTTGTCTGTAAAATGAGAGCCGTTGTCAGGATGAACTGGATTTGTGTAAAATACTTAGAACCGTGCGGGCGTGTGGTAAGCTTTTCCTGTCCCCTCTCCATGTTAATGCTCCAGTTCGAGCGAGTCTATGCTGTCCGCAAGTCTCTAGCCCTGGCTGGTGGACACCGCGGTGCTCAGCCTCTGATCCTAGATTACCTGGACCCAAGTTCAAGGATTCTGGGGAGACCGAGCCAGCTGGGCTTCTCAGCAGGGCTGGGGTGGACGGGGCATCCCCCTGCCATGTCCTTGGCAGTTCACGTGTATTTGCTAGGTGGTCTTTGGCCAAGGCTGGAGGGGCAGCTTCCCAGGCTGGGTTCACTGATCTCTGTGATCCCTGGACATTGACAGAGAGGTCAGGTGTAGTCCAACGTGACGTCAGGGTTTGGGGCCCTGCAGCCAGGCCAGGTGCCAGATCCACGTATAAGTGGCTAAAATCCCCCTTTGGAGGCTAGAAGACTGGAGCAGTGGGCACGAGTGAGGTGAGGGGACCAGGTGGGGAAGCAGGAGGCCTCTAGGAGCTGCTGAATGGCTTTTGCCCCAAGCCAGCCCATGGGCCATGGTTAGAGCCTCATCACCCCAAGAGTCATGCTCACCCTGCTGGCGAGGATACTGGGGGTCCATGGGGCTCCTTGTCACAAGAGCCCCGAGCCCTGGTGCAGCAGGCTCACTCCCTGGCTGGTGGCTGTGTGTGGAGTCTGGTCCCTCTCCGCAGCATATGGGCGTCTATGCTGTGATTTCTTTTAACGGGCACACGCTCCTGCCTGAGGCTGCTAGCCCTTGACCACAAAGAGCAGGTTTCCTGGGACCCCATCTGGGCCCCAGAGGCATCTCTGGCATTTTTGGGTAATGAGTTTGCTGTGTTCAGGGGACACAGCCTGAAACAGGGGAGACTGCAGTGGGCAGTTAACAGAAAGCCCGATTTCTGCATTTCTAGAACCAGTTCCCCTTCCTGGGTCTCAGAAATAACTGAGTCAGCGTCCGTCATCGGGGTATGACCTCCTCTTTGGTTCTGGGTGTCTCGTGTTTGGGGAAGGAGACTCTGTGCACACTTCTCCCTCCCTCTCTCAAGTTCATTTCACGTGTCATTCTTCCTCCTCTGTCATCTGCAGGTCAAACGAGCTTCCCTGAACCCCTCTTTTGTGTATTGTCCCTGGGGCCTAAATGTCAGAGACACCCCATTGTCCCCCTGTTGCTGGGCCTGGTGCTAATCCTGATGTGTGGCTTCGAGTACATGGTTGGCTGCTAAAGAGAGAGAGGATGGCATGAATGAGAGAGAAGTTGATTTTTCAGCAGCAGAACAGGCTGGGAGGGAGGGCGTGGCGGCTTCCTTCAGCCCCAGGTTCCTTCCAGCTTCTTGCTCCACTGTCGGCTACAATGTATGCCACCACTCCAGCTGGCGTCCAGCCTGTGACAAGAGGGAAGGGAGGGAGAGGAGAGGAAGCCATTTTCTTTCAAGGAAGTAGTGTAGAAATGGGGCGCATGGGCCTCACGTCAATCATGTGACCACACGGGCACAAGGGTTGCTGGGAAATGGAGTCTCTGGTTGGACGGCTGAGAGCCAGCTGAACTCCGCTCCCGCCACAGGGGAGGAGCCTGCCCTGCTGGCATCTAGGGCCTTCCTCGGTGTGTTTCCAGCCTCCTCTCCTGTAGCACTTAGAGAGCTCTGCGCCCCACCTTGGTCCTCCCTGAGCTCCAGACAGACCTCCAGGAGCCTTTTCTGACCCCCTCAGTGGGAACATCACCAGGTTCAGAGAACTCCACGACCGGCGAGCGTCCTGGCCGCCCCCGTCACTTAGCATGGATGGCCCCCTGGAGTTTGAGAACTGTTTCCATCTGTGTTCATGGCTGTAGCTAGAGGAGCTGCTCCAAGAATCCTGCCCTGATGGTGTGCACACTGTGTTTATCTCCTGCTCTACAGGCATTTACTGAGCACCTGCTGTGTGCCCTAGAGGGTGACAGGTGCTGGGGAGACCGTGGCAAATGCTTGATCATGCTCCATAACGCTTCCTGTGCTTATGGAAGTGGCATTCTAGCGGTGGCGACACCTTCACGAGTCAAGACATAAATGAGGAAGGGTAGGCAAAAACAAAACAAACATGAAAAACTCCAAATCCCAAGCAAAAACCGAACCAAAATAAAACGGATGCCAGCTCGGGCTGGGTGGGTCATTTCCCCTCCCCGAGCCCAGCTTTCTCTTCTATGAAATGGGCTTCCCCTTGTGCTCCTCCCGGCATGGTTCTGGCGTGCTCAATGGGCAGAAGCCACTGATGAGATTGTTGGGATTTTTCTGTCTGCTGACAGATTTCCTGCAGTGGCGCGTTTAGGTTTTGGGGGGCAAGTGAGGCAGTGGTAGGTTCTGTGTCTGGGAAGGAAGGGGATATCCCCGAGTGCTCTCCTGGATTTGTCAGCTCATTCCCTCTCCCGTCGTCACTCTCCCAGGGCTCCAACCTCACAGACATCTGCACCCAGCTCCTCCTCCAAGGGACTTTGTTAAAAATCTCCGCGGGCAACATCCAGGAGAGGGCCTTCTTCCTCTTTGATAACCTCCTTGTCTACTGCAAGCGGAAATCCAGGTGAGTTGCTGGGGCTGGGGCTGCCCAGGTGGGCCTGGAGGCAGGGATTCCGTGGGACCTTGACTGTCTCTCACAGTGACACCTTAGGCTTGTCACTTCCCTCTCTTGGCCTCCCTTTTCTCTTCTGAGTTGAGGGGTTCAGGGGATCAGCACTGCCTAATAGAAATATAATGCGAGCCTCACGTGTTATTTAACATTTTCTAGCAGCCACATTAAAAAAAATCAAAAAGAAACAGTCAAAGTGAATTTCAATAATGTCTTTTATTTTTACCAATGTATCTGTAAATGTTATTTAATGTCAACAACCAATGTACAATCGATTTTTTTGAAAATCATTAGGAAGGTATTTTGCGTTTTCTTTGTACACGAAGTCTTCAAAATCTGGTGCCTGTCTTACACTTTTAGCACATCTCACGTCAGCCTAGCCCTGTTTGAAGTTCGCAGCAGCCACAGCGGCTGTATTGGACAGTGCGGATCTAGATGGTCATAGAAATTAGGGGATTCTTTGTGATACTAACATCCTCTGATTCTAAGATCCAAAGGTGGGGGATTGAAGGGCACAGGGCTTTTTCACTGTTAAGCTTTTTGAGGGACAGGAGAGTATCTTTGTCACCTTTGTATTTTTCCCTGGAACTCCCTACACTTTGTAGAGTCAAGGAGGTGGATGGATAGGTGGGCGAGTGGTAGACACGTACAGACGCGTGCCTGACTGTGAGTGTGCATGTTGGGGTGTGTGGGCATATGGGAGGAGGGATGGGTGCATAGGTGGGGCTCGGAGGGTGAGTGGATGGTGGATGAAAAGGGGCGGGGAAGATTGTGGATGGATGTGTGAACCGATTTGCCTATGGACGAGTGAGTAGATGAAGGAGCAAGTGGGTGGGTGGTTGGGGGTGTAGGAGACGGCTGGATGGAGGGATGGACAGAAAATTGGGCGAATGTCTGGGTGTTTGGTAGTTGGAGAAGTGGATGAGGACGTGATGAGCTGGCAGAGGTGTGTTCAGATGTCATGGTGAGTTGGGGCCTTCTTGTATGATATTTAAATGAATGGGTTGGGGCAGGGATGGTCATAAAATGGTCATAAAATAGTAGATAGAAGATCAGTTGGGTGGATGGATGGATAGATGGTTGGTTGGTGGTTGTTGGGGTGATTGGATTCTGGGATGGAGGGTTGGGTATTGAATGACCAAGTGGGTGATGGGTGGGTGGATGGTTGGAGAGAGGGAGACTTGCGAGACAGAGGCGTAGGGGAACCAGTGGCTGGCTGGCTGGTTTGGCTGGGTGGATAGTGGACTGAGAGATCCCTGTCTTTCAGTTTTCTGAAGAAGCCCTTTTGAATCCTCTTTCCTGTTACCTTATTTTAGGGCTGAAACAGTGACTTTCCAGAGACTTCTTTACTCCTTTATCTAGGAAAAGCTAAGGGTGAGGGGAGGTCCAGACCCTGGGGCCTACTGTCAGCATTGCCTCCACCTTCCTCTGGGCTCTCAACACGTCACTTACTGTCCCTGAGCCTCCTTTTCCTTGTCTGTTTCTGCTCGGCTCTTCAGGTTGTCGTGAGGAACCTTTTCACGGGATGCAAGATGGCGTTCCTTGTGTGTGTGTGTGGGGGGGGGCTTTTCTTTCTCTTCCAGCCTGACCTCTCTGAGCCTCAGTTTTCTCTTCTGTAGAATAGGGATGATAAACCCCTTCTTACAGTAGAGTTTGATGTACAGCCAAGCTCCTTACAGTTCAGTCCCTGGTCGCACTTCTCTAGCTCTGACTTTGCCTTTCTTTCCTCCGTTCCCTTCTGTGCAGAGTCCGGCGATCATACGCCTCTCAGAGCGATTATGGGGAGCAGAGGTGTTGGGCGCGCCCGGTCTGTAGTTGAAGCTCACAGAGTCAGGGTTAGCTGCTATCCCCTTACTGCTAACTTGCCTCCATCGGTGTTGGGTTCCTGTTCGCGCACAGGTGCAGCCACAGGCCCCTTCCCCTCTGCCCTTCTTCCCTGTTCTGGGTTTGGTCCTTCTGGTTGAAGACCTTGGCCTCCCTCTTCTCCCATCTCCCAGAGCGTGTCTTCCTTATTTGATGCTTTATTCCTGCCCACTCGGTTAGGTCTCTCTGCGTCTGTCTCGTGTCCCCTCCAGCCCCACCCCTGAACACCCCGTTTTTCCTTCCTCCTTGCTTTCTGCCTGTTCTCGCTGGGTGCATCCTGGGAGTCCTCTGCCCCCACTGCCAGCTGCCCTGAGCTGTCTGAAGCAGGCACTTTTCTCAGAACACCAGGGGCTGTAGAAAACAGAATGTCCCTTCAGGCGTGTGTGAGCGGCTCCAGCTCCGGCTGGCTTTGCTCATCTGTCGGCTGCCGGCCCTTCCTCTGTCAGTGTGGTCGCAACTGTTGGAGCAGTTGCGGCCAGGGATGCTGCTGCTGCTGGATTCCACGTGGGCCTTCTGCGGCTGGCCCTTGGGCTGCCGTGAGCTCTTTGAAGGCCGTTCTCCGCGCCAGTTCTGTGCGTGAGCCAGGCTGGCTGGAGGGAAAGGGCACATCTGTCTCCTGAGAGAACGTGGCTGGCAGCCAGCGTTCCCGTCTCGGGATGGGGAGCCAGGGGGCCGGGCTCCAAGATGGGATGTCCCAGATGGATTGGGCAGGGGTGGATGGGGCTGCCGGCCTGACTGATGTGGTCACAGGAAATGCCTGTCACTGCTAGGTGTCTGCTGACTGGTTTGTCTTTGCCTGGGTCACGCGGGGCACCGCCCGTCCGGGACACGGGTCAGGGAAGGTCTCCGACTCAAAGTGTTTCTGGCCCAATTTGAAAGTAGAGGCTCCTTGGATATCAGAAGCGGAAGGAGTGTTTTAGGAGCCCACCTCCCCATTCTTCGGAATGTGAAATGGAGGCCCCCAAGAAGAGAATCCATGAAAAGCTCTGTCTCTAATACCTCGACTGCTTGTTTGTGTCTTAGAGGTCGCAGTACTTAGGGACACCAAGACCCTGCCACTCACTGGCCATGCGGCCTTGGGCAAGTTACATCAGCTTTTTGTGTCTCTGTTTTCTTGTCTGTTCAATGGGGATAAAAGTAGTCCCCATCCGAAAGGATAGTTCTTATAGATGAAGTACGATAAAACATGGAAATCAGTTAGAAGAAGGCCTGGGACGTGTACAGAAAGGAGAAGAATTACCACTCTCTGTCTCCCTCTGGGGGCTCTTGCATCCCACTCACACTTCAGTCGGGCCTAAAGCTAGACTCGTCATTTTCCTCACAACTCCTGTCCCAGATCTTTTCCTCGGAGTCTTCCTCATTCAGAGTGGAGGGCACCTTGGTTGACCTTGATGCTGACCTGCCTCACCCCACACCCACTTCTTCGGCAAGTCCTTTCCATTCCGTCCCCAAACTTTGGCCAAAACTTCAGTGTCATTCCAATAAGAACTCCAGGAGGGAGTTTTCATGTATGTATGTGTCAGTGGTTGTAAAATTTACCTGGAAACATGAACATGGCCTCTACCATTTTGAAAAAGGGCAAAGCTGGGGACCTCATGCTGCCGGAAGTCCGGCATACTCGCAGCCGAAGTGATTAAGACAACGTCGTATTGGTGCCGAACCAAAGAGTTTAGTGGACTAGAAGAGCTAGTTCAGCAGTAGACCCCCGTGAAAGTGATCATTTGAATTTCAACAGAGGTACCAATGCGTTCAATAAATGATGCTTGGTTCATTTGGTATCCCGTGGGGGAACATGAGTCTTGACTGTTAGCTCATACAATGCATAAAAAGCCAACTTCAGATGGATCATAGATTTAAATGTGCGGGGTAAAGCCATCAGGTTTCCAGGAGAAGGCATAGGAGACTATCTTCACGATCTGGCGGTAAGCAAAGATTTCTTAAATAGGACAAAAAGTGCCATTCTAAAGGAAAAATGGATTCATCAGATTATGTTAAAATTGAGAACTGCTCATCAAAAGACACTGTGACGAGAGTAAAAAGTCAGCTATGGACTAGGGATCTTTGCAATCCATATAACTGATAGGGGATTCACATCCAGAATGTATCAAGAAGTTCTAGAAGCCAAATTTGGCGCTCTGTCTCTTTTTATAAATAAAGATTTATTGGCACACGGCATGCCCATTTGTTTTGGTGTTGTCCGTGGATGCTTTCCTGTATCAAGGGCAGAGTAGAGTAGTTGACACAGAGACACGGAGCCCCCCAAAACTGAAAATGTGTACCCTCTATGTGGCCCTCTTCAGAAAACATTTGCTAACTCTTGCTAGAAATCATTAAGAAAAAGATAACCCAACAGAAAAATGCTCTAGGGGCAGTCCTTTCACAAAAGCCCATGGCCCACAGGACTAAATGGCCAGTACACATGAAAAGGTGCTCAGCCTCATTACTCACCAGGGACATGCAAATGGAATGTTTAATGAGCCGCTGCTCTGTGCCACCAGCATGGCCAACACGGAAATCAGCTACAGAAAATGGGGAGCCCCTGGAGCGTTGCTCCTCTTACCAGGGATGGAGAGAACTGGTGCAACTCCTTTGGGAAACAGCTTGGCATTCTCCGGGAAAGGTGGTCACGTGCATCCCTTGTAACTCAGCAGTTCAGCCCCTAGGTAGGTCCCCTGCAGAGATGTGCACGCGTGTTCTTCATAAGACACATGCAAAGACAGTCACGGCCGCGCCAAACAGGAAGCGACCGACATACCCGTCACCATCACCCGTGGTCATTCCACGTATGAGAAGTTCCAGAACACGCAGAGCGAAGCCATGGGGTCGTAGGTCAGGAGGGCTGTGACCGTTGTCGGGGGCGGGGAGGGACAGGGCAGGGGGTTAGTGACTGGGAAGGGGACACAGCGGGGGGCTTTCGGGGTGTTTACAGTGATAATAGAGGTGTGCTCACTCTTTGAAAGTTAAATGAGCCACATCTTTCTTTGGGTATTTTTTTTCCCCCGTATGGATTTTATACTTTCATGAAAAGTTCACAGAATGTTGTATACACACATGTACCCAAGTAGGCAAGCCTGGGGAGGCGGGCGCAAACCATTGCTCTGCTCAGTGGCTTCTAGTTCCCCCTACTTTCTGCTGGCCCCGCCTGCAGTCCCTTCTCCGCCACGGGGAGTCCTTTATAATCTAGATCAGATCGTGTTCTTCCGCTGCTCAGACCCTCTACGGCCCCCACCTCACACTGGCAGGAGGAGTCCATCTTTACCACGGTGCATAGGACCCCGCAGGATCTGGCCCGTGTGGCTGCTCTGACCCCTTGCCCACACTCGCCCTCACCCACTCACCTTCAGCCGCCAGCCAGCTCGCGGCTCCTTGCAGCATGGCATGGGGCTCGTGTCCTCTGCCTGGAATGCTCTTCCTCAGATACCCTCCTAGGTTCCTCCCTCACCTTTCCAGGGTCTTTGCTCCAAAGCCACCTCTTCAGGGAGGCCTCCCCTGACCAACTCTCCCTCCCCTGTCCCAGTTAAAATCATGTCTCCACCCTCCCTAACCATCGCCTTGCTTTATTACAATTGTTTTTACAAACTTTCAATATTTTAATTAAAAGCATATACATTGCATTTTTAAAACATTCTTTTCATCGAGAGCCGAGGTCTCTTCTTTGAGGATAAGTTCACCCTTTTTTAAAAAAAATCTTATTTTTAATTTTTAATTTTTATTTATTTATTTATTTATTCATTCATTCATGAGAGGCAGAGGGAGAAGCAGGCTCTGGGAGCCCCACGTGGGACTTGATCTCAGGAACCTGAGCAGAAGGCAGACGCTTAACCGACTGAGCCACCCAGGCACCCAAGAATAAATTCACTCTGAACACAAAAGCAACTTACCTTTATCAAGTCTTTCCAGAATAGTCACTTAATTTTCAGAGAGACAGCTCTTTCCAACATTCGTATGTCCTCACATAGAGTACACAGTTTGCCCAATTTCAGTGATAGGTGCACATCAGGCAAACAGATCTGAGAACATGACCCACTTGGCCAAGCAGACCAGAGTGGCCTTCAAGCCCTCAGACTTCATTCTCTGCTTTATTTTAACCACACATTTAGCAATCCTGATGTAACTTGGCTTTGACTTCTCTGCTTAGCATCTGTCTCTGTGCCCCCTGCCCCCTTGTATTGGATGATGAGTTCTCAGAGACTGTTTTTGTTTACTGTTGCAGACCCAGCGCCTAGTGCAGTGCCTGGCACTCAGTGGGTGTTCTTGGAAGTGCTTGTTGAATGCATGGATGTGTGACTCCTCTTGGCCCCAACTTGGCATCCTCTCCACAGGAAGGACTGGTCAGATGTTTGTTGAGTGACTGAGCGAGTGGCTGATTGACCTGGGTGAGGGCATGAATGGTGGGCAGGGGGATGTGGATGGTTGCGTGGACAGCCCACTCTGGGCACCCTTCTTCTCTGGTCTGATTTGATGCAATACCCTCTGTTAGACACTCTGAGAGCCCCTACCGACCTTATCGCCAAGAGGAATGAATTTCTGCTGCTTCTGGTTAGTTTTTCATCAATGTCAACTGTTAGCTGTGGCTCTGTGAGGTCAGCAAGGCCTATTTTCCAGATGGAGGAACTGCGTCTTGGAATGGGGAAGAGACTTGTTTAAGTCACTCAGCCACCAGCCGAAAACCCATGCTCCTGAGCCCGGTGCAGTGCTCCTGCCATCTCCGGGCGCCCTTCCAGACTACCGCTCTGCTTCCCTTTGCTCTTCCGAGACCCCTTAGGTGAGACATAGGGGTTGTTGATGTCCCCCTATCTTTCAGGGTCACCGGGAGCAAGAAATCCACCAAGAGGACCAAGTCCATCAATGGCTCCCTCTACATCTTCAGGGGTCGAATCAACACTGAGGTCATGGAGGTGGAGAATGTGGAAGACGGGACAGGTAGGCCCTTGCCCCAAGGCCCACCTGACCCCAATCCCACCTGCTCCGTGGCACAGTCTCTGTTTCAGTTTTTTCTTTACTCTTCTTTTCTTTTTTAGAGGTTGGGAGGGGCACAGGGAGAGAGAGAGAGACAATCGTAACAGGCTTATGTGCTGGGCTTGGAGCCCCATGTGGGGCTTGATCTCACGACACTGAAATCATAACCTGAGCTGAAATCTAGAGTCTGGTGTTTAACTGACTGAACCACCCAGGCGCCTCTTGGTTTTTTCTTTTATTTGAAATGTAACCTCCCTAAGAAAAGTATCTAAAACATATGCACATTGAGTGAACACCTGGATTGTCACCATTCAATCAAGTCAGTAAGTAGAACACTGCGTGCACCCCGAGAGCTCCTCACACACCCCTCTTTGGCCACAGCACCTCCTGCCCTCCAGAAGTAACTGTCCAAATTGTGTGATGACCATTTTCTTGCTTTTTTTTTTTTTTTTAAAGATTTTATTTATTTATTTGACAGACAGAGATCACAAGTAGGCAGAGAGGCGGGCAGAGAGAGCAGAAGGGAAGCAGGCTCCCTGCTGAGCAGAGAGCCCGATGCGGGACTCGATCCCAGGACCCTGAGATCATGACCTGAGCCGAAGGCAGTGGCTTAACCCACTGAGCCACCCAGGCGCCCCCATTTTCTTGCTTTTTAAAAAAACATTTTTATCTCCCAAGTATGCATTAGTAAACATCTTTTTTTTTTTTTTTTAAGATTTATTTATTTATTTGACAGAGAGAGAGATCACAAGTAGGCAGAGAGGCAGGCAGAGAGGGGGAAGCAGGCTCCTACCAAGCAGAGAGCCAGACATGGGGCTCGATCCCAGGACCCCGAGATCACGACCTGAGCCGAAGGCAGAGGCCTAACCCACTGAGCCACTCAGGTGCCCCTGCATTAGTAAACATCCTAATGAAAATTTGTTTCAAAACTTTCTTTAAATAGGTATATCATTATATGCATACTAAGTGGGTCTAAATAGGTACATGTAGTTACATAGATATTGTCTTATGTATCTATTTAAAGGGTGGTAAGATACCGTGTGTTCTTTTGCGTCTCGCTTTGTGCTTCTGCCTGGAGGGGTCTGCGGGGTGTTGGTTCCCTCTGCTGTGTAATGCTCTTATTCCTGCCTTTGGTGATAGACATTTGAGTCATTTCTGCTGTTGGCTATTATGAACAGTGAGGCGGTGAGCAGTCTTGTGTGAACCTCTTTGTGTATGTGCCCTTGAGTTTGGCGAGGGCAGAAGTTCCTAACTGGTTTTGAGACACAGACTTCTTGGGCAGTGTCACAAAACCTGTGGATCCCTCCTTGGATTTAGGGTATGGACAGCTTCCACTTTCCTGGAAAATGACAGCCCGTTTTCAAAGAGGTTGGCCAGTCCCCATCCCAGCCAGCAGTGTGTAAGGGCCCCGAACTTGGCATTGTTGGCCTTGCACTAGGTTTTAAGTAGCCCCAGTGTCCGGATGAGATGGACAGGGAGGCTGGGATGTATTCGCAGACTCCAGGACTCCTGCATTTGTACCCAGACTGTGGGGTCTTGAAGCCCCTGTAATTGGTGTGTGTGTGTGGGGGGGTGCCTTTGTTTGCAGGTCTTCTGTTCTTTGCAGAGTATAGAGAGGAGAGGGAGTGAGTGTTGGAAGAGTTGCGAGTTCAGCTCTCAGACCCTGATCCTGCTGATGCCCCTGCCCCCATGTTTTTCTGGAGTGAGATGTGCTGGTCCCATGACCTTACTTTCAAGCGAGTAGCGAGGAATGTTCAGAGTTTTAGGCTGAGTCTGGGCTGACCCACCTTTGCCTTCTGCCCCTGCCAGCGGACTACCACAGCAACGGCTACACTGTCACCAACGGCTGGAAGATTCACAACACGGCCAAAAACAAGTGGTTCGTCTGCATGGCCAAGACCGCGGAGGAGAAGCAGAAGTGGCTGGACGCCATCATCCGTGAGCGGGAGCAGCGCGAGAGTGAGTACGCCCTCTCCTGGGCCTCCAGCTCTGGGGGGCTGTCCTGGGATCCTGGGGTGTGTATGGCTTCCGCTAGGCTGGTCACTTCTGCCTAGGGAGGACTGTGCCCAGGGAAGGGGCCTAGGCTACAGGATGCGGGTCACTGAAGGGACAGAGAGCTCCGGGACTGTCTTAGAACTTGGTGGTATCTTGGGTCACCTGAGGGCATCTGGTAGTGCCCATTCAACAGATGGGGAGACTGAGACCCAGTGGAAGGGACTTGCCCAAGGGTCAGGGGTCATATGGTTGGTCACCCTGGTTCTTGGTACCCTTCACCCTTGTGGGCTGGTAGCTGAGACATTGTCTCCATGCCTCTCTCTCCCCCACCGGTCTGTTACCTTCAGCTGGGTTTCTTTGTGCTTAAGACTCGGAGTCTGCCTCTGGGAGGAGGCTCCTTGGGGGTTGCTTACTAACTGTGGTCCCAGATCTCTCTGGGCCTAGGCTCCCCGGGCCCAGAGCTTGCATAAGTCGTACGGGGCTGGGTATGGTAGGGACCTGGGTTGTTGTGCAGAGATCTGGGCAAAGGGAGCTGTGCTATGTCTGGGGGCAAATTACTTTAGTATCCCAGATCTCAGTGATGCTGTCTGATAAGTGGGGATAAAAGTTCCTACTGCACAGGGTTGTAATGGTGCTAAATGCAGTTTGGATTTGACCATCCTTGGGAAATTTGACACGTGATCCTAAAAACCCTGCCTACCCACCCCCCCACCTTTGCAAAGGAGGAAACTGAGGCACAGTTATCTCTGTATCTGCAGCCTTCTACTTGGGTGTGTCATAGGTCCCTCACACTTTCCCTGTCTAACCAGAACTCCTAATTTCCACCATCTCCCCCCTCCCAAAGCTGGAGGTTCCCCATCTTAGTACCTGGATCCTCCCTTTGCCTGATGCCTCAGTTTGCGACTCTTGGTCCCATTCCTGATTTCTGCCCACTCCCCAGATTCAGTATATGGAGTCCCTTTACTTCCGCCAAATCTGCCCACTTCCCTTTCCCCGCTACTTCCATCCGTGAGCAAGTCACCGCCGTCTCTCAGGAATATGGGCCCCGCAGGGCTGGATCCCTTGTTTTTCCTTTTCCCTAGAGAAGCTAGATTTTAAGTTTTCAGGTGATATTTCTTGATTTTAAATTTTGTATGAAAAATTATGCAGGTGGCTTTAAGCCAAGCTACTGAAACTGGCCCCTGGTCGGCAAGCTTGTGAGCTCTGAAACTGGTCAGGGCTGGGTGTGTGCTCAGGACGGGGTGGGGTCGGGTGGGGGGTGTGGGGGGAGTGGGGGGGTGTTCAGGGGTGTGGACTGGCCTGGGTGTGGCTGATCCGTGTCTCTGTGGTTAGATCAGGGGCCTGTGGTTGTGCAGGGTATATGTGGTCACGAGTAAGGTGTGGCCTCAGTGGGCCTCAGTCCTTAGAATCGGGTGTTGTCCAAACTGTGACCTCAGGGCTGGGTTTCCAGGGGTGGTGCGTGGATCATGAGCACAGATGTGGAGCCAAACTTTCTGGGTTGAAATCCTGGTTCTGCCACTTCTAGTTGGGTGAACTTAGACAGATAGCTTCATTCGTCTGGGCCTCCGTTTCTTTATTTGTGAAGGGGGGATAACTTGGCCTTACAGGTTTCTTGAGGATTAAGGGGCACATAGTAGGCGCTTCCAGCATTTTCTCTTGTTATTTGTCATTGCTGTTGTCAGGAGCGGACAGGGTCCAAGCAGAAAATGTAGACAGGGATCTGGTCAGGGTTCTCTGTATGTTGTCTAAAGAAATGGGCAAATTTTTATCCCTGGTTGGAAGGAAGAACTCAGTAGGCTTTCTGATAACCTCTGAATTTGGAAACCCACGCTCACATTGAAGGGTTGAATGAGCTTGACTGCCTATTACCCTGAAACTTAACCTCTCCGGGCTTTGGCTTTGCCGTCTGTGAAATGGGGGAGATCAGCCAGCCGCTCCTACAAGGTTGTACGGGGAGTCACTGGCCGGTGCCCGGAGCAGGGGCTGGCACTCTATGAGGGCTCTGTACGTGACCCCGGCGGGGGCTTCCAGGAGCCGCGGGCCTGCCCCCCTCTTCTCCCCAGGGCTGGTGCTCGCCTGGGTGCTGACTGTGCTCCCTCTGTAGGCCTAAAGCTGGGCATGGAGCGGGATGCCTACGTCATGATTGCGGAGAAGGGAGAGAAGCTTTATCACATGATGATGAACAAGAAGGTGAACCTGATCAAGGACCGTCGGAGAAAACTGAGCACCGTCCCCAAGTGCTTCCTCGGCAAGTGAGTGGTCCCAGCTGGGCCTCCGTGGGGCTCCCGCGCTGGTCCCGGGCAGCCGGTGCGCCAAAGTGTGCCCGCCTGGCTCTTCCCCAGGAGCCCGGGGGGCGGAGCCACTAAAGCACCCCAAGTCCTCGGTTAGCAGACCTCAGGAGCCAAGAAGAATTAGTGGGGGGCCCATATCGGGTCTTTCAAATGTTTCCTTCCAAACTCGCTGCAGAATGTGCATTTTATGTTGTCACCGATGCACGCATCCCCATAACCTATGACTGAAGCCAGTTTCACAGAACTTACCGTGCTGGGCACGCTCTGAAAGTATTTGTGTCTTTTCTGTTTTCTATTCTGCCTTGTCCTTTGCATGTTATTCATTTCTTCTAAGAAATGATGTGAAGCCAGACGGTGGCATTGATTTCACACACTCCTGATGGGTGGCCCGCCATGGATTGGGACGCTGCCCCCACACTTACAACCGGACCCACTATAGACAGCACAAGCAAAGAGGTTCTGAACACAGGGAGGGCACGTGGGAGTTGCCGGAAGCGCCGCAGAACAGACGTGGGTCTTGGCATGAGTCCGCGTGGGCTGCTGTCACCACGCATTGCACACTGAGCAGCCCAACAGAAACTAACTGCCTCGCAGGCCTGGAGACTGGAAGTCTGAGACCAGGGCGTGAGCAGGGCTGCTGTCCCGTGAGACCGTCCTGCCTGGGTGGGAGGGCGAAGCGGGGAGGCTCCTGGAAGCTTTCAGGATTTGAGGGCCTCTGACATCTCTGGGAAATACATTCCTTCCCAATAATAAAACATTTTACCCCCGCCTCCATTTTATAACCAAGGATCAAAGGGGTCAGAGCCCTGGTGTGTCTTAAACCCAGAGGCAGATTCAACGTCCCACCAAAATTGCCAGGCTCTGTGCTGCCCTGCCTTGAGCTCGACACGGTGGTGGACGCAGAGGGTGCCAACCTCACGGAGCCTGTGGAGCCTGTGGTTCTGCCGGGGAGAAGGAAGTTGGCCTGGGAGGCAGGGACTTTATTTGGAACGTATTGACTAATAACCCATCCACTTCCCAAAAGCTTTGAAGAGTCCTTGGATATAAGCGTGTGTGTTCTGATCTTGCCTCAGACCAGAGGAGAGGTGATTTAGACAAAGGCAGTCCCCATGGTAAAAGTGGGGGAAGTGGTTGCATTCTGGATCATTTTGAAAGTGACCGCATTTGCTGGTTGGGTGAGAAAAGAGTTGAGGATTGTGAGCCCTTGGAAGGCTGGAGTTGCCACTGCTGTGAAGGGGAAGGAGACGGATGGAGGAGCAGGTTTTGGGGGGTGGCTTCTCTAGGACGGGTGCCCTTGGGACTCTTAGACACCCGGATGGAGAGGTTGACTTGTTAGCTGGTTATAGATCTTGACTTGGGGAGAGAAGATTGGGTTAGAGAAGTAATTGCAGGGCATATATGCATTTTAATTTTTTTTTTAAGATTTTATTTATTTGACGGAGAGAGAGAGATCACAAGTAGGCAGAGAGGCAGGCGGTGGGGGGGAGTAGGCTCCCCGCTGAGCAGAGAACCCGATGTGGGGCTTGATACCAGGACCCTGAGATCATGATCTGAGCCGAAGGCAGAGGCTTAACCTACTAAGCTACCCAGGTACCCCTGTTTTTTTTTTAAGGCTTTATTCATTTATTTGAGAGACAGCACAAGCTGAGGGGAAAGACAGAGGGAGAGGGAGAAGCAGACTCCCTGCTGAATAGGGAGCCTGATGTGGGACTCAATCCCAGGACCCCAAGATCATCATGACCTGAGCTGAAGGCAGATGCTTCACTGACTGAACCACCCAGGTGCCATCAGAACATTTTGATGGTTTTTAAAGCCATAAGACTGAAATCTGCAAGGGGACATGTGGGGAGAGCTGAGGCAGGTACTGGACCTTGGGGCTGGCGTTGGGAGGAAGGAGCCTAAGAGGGAGCAAGCAGAGAGGCAGGAGGCACCTGGGGCGAGTGTGGCGTCCTGGAAGCTAGGCAAAGATGCAGACACAGGGCCCAGCGGCAGCCAGGTTTGGACAGCGAAGGTGGAAATGCCTGGAGGATGTTCAAGGGCCAGTGTTGACCTGCCTCTTCGGAGACCAGGTGTGGAGCCAGGGCTGAGCTCCTTGGTCACAGCCCGAGTCTTATGGTGGAAGGGGCAGCAGGCAGGAGATTTTGGGGGGTGGCTGGGCTCCTAAGCAGTGGCTGGGGGCCGCCCTGGATGGGGGGGGTGCCCTGTTGCCACCCTAGCTGCGAGCTCTAGGAGGGTGTATGGAGAGAAGTCTGGGCCCCAGACCTGCGGGAAGCGGGGCAGGGGCGGCTTGGCTCTTCTCCACCAGCTGGTCTTTAATCCCTGGGCAGAAAGGAGGTTTTTCTCTCTGGAGGAGGCTTACTTCCAGGCCCCTGGGTCAGACGACCTCTCCGCCTCCTGCCAAGCCCCTTGGGGAGCTCAGTGTGGCCGGATGGGATAACCTGCCCGTGATTAGAGTTTCAGCGGAGTGTTCTGTCTCCTCAGGAAGGATTAGGGAGATTTCTTTTACCGCCTCTTTGAAACAGGGCCAGGATTGAAGCTTGTTTTATAATCATCGGGGCCCTAAGGACCAGCTTCCTACAAAAGATTGTTCTAATGAAGCTCTTCTCTCCACATAGCTCTTTGCCCAGCCCCAGGGCCCATGACCTTCCTCCTTCCCCGCCAGGGCTCAGCTCCCAAGTCTCCTGCAGGAGCATCCTTGGTCCCTTCGGGTGGAAGAGACCTGTAGCCACCAAGACATAATTATCCACCTTTCCCCGCTCCAGACACTGGCAGGCGGCTAAGCCTTTTAACCCACATACAACAGTGTGGGGCAGGTCACTGCCATTATCCCCATTGTAAGGGTAAGAGAATTGAGGCACAGAGAGGGAAGAGGTCCTGTACAAGGTCACCCAGCCACAAGTGGGGGATCGGGATTTGAATCCAGGACTCTCTCCCACCACACTCTGCTGCACGTATCCATTTATATTTCTGTTCGGCACATTTTGTTTTTCCTTGGTAGTTCCTTTCTCCATATCCATCTGCACTACTAGAAGGGGAATCCATGAATACAAAACATGTCTGATTTATCTTTATAGCTTCCGAGGGTTGGGCTTGGGGTTGGGCTTGGACACAAGCCCTGGTTCCCCCACCTTCAAGCTGTGTGACTGTGGGCAAGTTTTTTAACCTCTCTGAGCTTCAGTAAAGGACCAGTTAATGGGGAAATAGTCAAATAGGCCTCACAGGATTATCAGAGGCTTCAGTGAGAAAAATGCATGTGACATGCTGGGCACAGTGCTGGCCAGAGTGACGGGAATGTGTGTCGGGGTGGCCTGTTTCTGCCCTGCTCAGAGACGGAGCTCACGAAGAAGATCAAGGAATAAAATCTGGGTGTTTGTGTGGAGGCATCATGGGAGGGACAAGGCGTTGGGCAGACAGAATCGCTTCATTCCTGCATTCATGCGTTTCATTCAGTGTTTCTTGAGCCCTTATGGTGTGCCAGCAGGAACAGGACAGATGAGCCCCCTTCCTCGTGGAGATGACTGTCTGGGGGGAACCAGAAAACACACAAGGAGACAAACAACAGCACAGAGGGGATTTTCGCCAGCCGGCGGATGTTGTAAGAAGTGAGTTAGGTCGATGTTAAGGAGGTGAGGTAACGGGGTGCTGTTTCAGCCAGGATGGTCAGGGAGAACTTCTCAGGGGAGGTGACGTTTTAACCAAGCTCTAGATGATAAGCAGGAGCTGATCATGAGAAGATCTGGAGGAACAGCATTCTTGGCAGAGGGAACAGCAGGTGCAAGAGCCCCACAGCTGGAATGAGCTCCAGTGTGGCTAGAGTGAGGGGGCCCAAGGGGCTCTATCAGGCAGGTAAGGGAGGTGGGGGGCTTGGGTTTTATTCTGGGTGCTCTGGGAAGCTGTTCAGAGTCTAAGCAGAAGGGTAGGAGGAGGATGAGCTCATCACACTGGCTCTGGGTGGAGGAACTGGCAGAGGTATGAGAACTCAGGGGATAAGTGTAATGGTGTGACTGGCAGGGGCAGTCAGGGAAGGCTTCCCGGAAGAAGAATGCTTTTAGCTTCCACCTTGTCTGAGGCTAGATGTTATTCATGGATTGGTGTCTGCTGTTACAGACGCTCTGAGGTGGGAGGGGCCTCACTGTCTCACCCACCTGCGTGCTCAGGTGCAGTGTGTCCGTGGGTAAGAGCTGGTCGGTCATGATTTGTCAGACATGGCTTCAGGAAGCTTCTACAGGAGTTTACAGGAAGCAACTTTAGGCAGTGGAGTTACAGGGACAGGCAGAAAACCTCCACTCCTGCCCTCATGGAGGAGACAGGTGAGAACAAGGGAACTGCCGGTGGTCAGTGGCACATTGGGCCTCAGCTCCGGGGACTGTCCTGGGGCGATGGCAAAGACCCCTGTGTATCCCCTGTGCCTAGCGTTGGGCCTGACCCGTGATAGTGATTCTGGGGGTCAGGAAGGAAGGAGGGCTGATGCTGGGCACATGCAAACTCAGCCAGTGCCCCCTTGCCTGAGTCCCAGACTCCCCACCAGCCTCGGCTGACCATCTCTCTCTCTCTCTCTGTCTTCAGCTCAGTGCTCCGAGTTACATCTCTGAAAGGCTGGATCTTGCCGCTCTTTGTACCCAACGTGCTGGTTGGGTGGATTGCAGATTGCTGGTTTCCTGACCCTTTTTCTCACTCAGGGCCTTTGTATGTGCTGAGCCCACTTCCTAGAACACCCTTCTTTGTTCCTCGGCAGAGGCAGACGGTGCCCCACTGACCTCGTGCAGTTCATGCATGTGTTTTATGGGGGCTACACGGGGCTTTCAGGAAATTTTGGACTATATGTCAACATTGAGCAATTGGGAGATTTCCCAGGAAGTGCTGAATTTCCAGCTTCTCTTGGAAAGTAGGATGCTTTAGTCTTCCCAGCTGTATGTTGGGGTGGCTGGCATCTTCAGGAGTGCCCCTGGCTAGTGCCACAGAGTCTCATCCTGGCCCCGCCTCCTCCTCCTTTTTTTTTTTTTTTTTTTTGGAAAGAGAGAGAGTGAGAGGGGGAAGGGAGGGGTAAAGGGAGAGGGAGAATCTTAAGCAGGTCCATGCCCCGCACACATCCCGTCACGGGGCTCGGTCTCACAGCCCTGAGATCATGACCGGAGCTGAAATCAAGAGTTGGATGCTTCACCAACTGAGCCACTCTGGTGCCTCCAACCTGACCCTTCTGTTCCTTTACAAGAGCTCGAGGGCCCTGCGTTACAGATGAGTTTTATCTGGTTTTGCACACTGGGTCCCTGCTTGAGATTTCATATGATATGAAGGTTTACGTGCCGAATCCAGAAGGCCCCTGAGTGAACCACTTGTCAGAATGGCCATACTGAGGCCCAGAGATGAACAGGGTCTTGCCCAAATTTGCCCAGCAAGCTGCGAACCTTCCTTGTTACTCTAAAAGGGGTTAAGATTCAGCTTGGGGCCGAAACTTGGGGTCACAGGTGTTGTTCTGTGGGGCTGCCTTCCTCTGCCCCTAGCAGAAGACACCGGGACACTGCCGGCCCCCCATCTGGCCATGGGGCTGCCGGTAGGTGCCAGAGGCGGCCCCCGATGGGACAGCTGGTGGGCAGCCGGAGGCCCAGTGTCCAGCTTCCGAGAGTGGGCGCTCAACATCTGTTTGCCTCCCTCTGCTGCTGGCAGCTTTCCCCTGTCTCTGATTTTGGGGAATTTGAGAATGAAATTGGGGGGGGGTGGAGGACCTAGAGCAATCTCTTCCCCACCTGGGGCTCCCTCATGCCCCCCCCCCCCCCCGCCGCTTGGGCTGCACCCGGGGCTCTCTCAATGCCTCAGCTCACCCACTACCTCCACACGGGCAGGCTTTGCTCCGCCAAACACCGGGAAGCTAAAAATAGTCTTGCCCCCTCTGGCCATGTAATTGGAGGCGGGACAGCTGGTTTCGATAAGCAGGAGAGCTCTGTGCTCTGGCCAGCTGCCACCTGCTTTCATTGAACACAGATTGCCTCCGTGGAAACAGCCCGGTTGCCGGCTCTCCCTTTTCCTGCTGACTTTGAGTGGGCTGAGCTCTGCACTGAGCCCGAGTTCGCCTCCAGGAGCAGGGCGGCGGGGTCTGGCTGAGCCTCTACCCCACCGGGTAGTCACGTTGGAGCTGCCTGATTTCATCTGGCTCGTGAGCCTTTCTTTCTCCCAGAGACATTCCTGCCGACCCTAGAACATTCCTTCTTGTTTGATGTTTTATTCTTTCATGTGTTCAAGAAGTGATTATTGAGGTCTACTGTGCTTTAGGCCCTCCTCTAGGTCTGGGGATAGGGCTGTGAATCAGACCGACAAAAGTCCGTGTCAGCGTGGAGATTACTTTCTGGTGGGGCAGAAGGCTGATAAACACGTACAGAAATCTGTAACAGTACAATTTCAGACAAGGATAAGTGCTCAAAAGAAAGCAAAACTGAGAGATGTACGGATTGTGTGGGGTGCTTGGTGAAAAGGAAGAACTTAACATGAAGGGCTGGGGGAGAGGTTTTCCAGGCAGAGGGAACAGCAAGTGCAAAGGCCCCGAGGTAGGTAGGAGTCTGATCTTTTTGAAGAAGCAGAAGAGGTGGGTATGTCTAAAACATAAGTGAAAGGTAGAGGAGATGAGATTGGTAAGGATGGCAATTCACGTGGGGCATTGCCATTATGAAAGCAGAGTTTGGATCTTTTTCTGAAAGTAAGGGGAAAGTCCCACTGGAGAGTTTGACTAGGAGAATGACATGATCTGATCACCATGAGCTCCCTTGACTCTTCACAGTCATCATTTTTGGCTCTTATTTCTTCCTGCCTGTTTTATTTTTTCTTTCCTTCTGCTCATCCCTTCATGTTGCCATCCATCATCTGTCTCCCCACTCATCTGCCCAGGTCTCTCTCCATTTAGTGTCTACCCATCCCCCCTATTCTCCCCTCCACCCACCTGCCCACTGGTCTTTCCAACTACCTACTCATTTGTCTATCAGGTCATCCATTCATCTACCTTCCTGTTCACTTACCTCCCCACTCATGGGTCCATCCACCCATCCTCCCTTACTAGCTCTTCCCTCCCTCCCATCCATCCATTGACCCTTCTTCCTTCCCTCTTATCCATCCATCCATCCATGCACCCATTCAGGGCACCTGAGTCAGGGCTGGGGGTCTGGTCACACCCACCCCTCTGCCACTGTTCCTAGGGAAAAGCACAGGGTCTCAGCACAACCCCCAGGGCTGTGGGCTCCCAAGCCTTGCTTTCCTGTGGGACGTTTTAGCGCTCCCTCGCAGGAGTGGGTAGGGCCAAGCTGGTTCCGTGCTGGTCTCTGTGTTCCCAAGCCTGGCAAGTTTTTCTCAACTGCATCTCATGTTCCTGGCAGTGAGTTTGTTGCCTGGCTTCTGGAAATTGGTGAAATCAGCAAGACTGAAGAAGGCGTGAACTTGGGCCAGGCCTTGTTGGAGAACGGTATAATCCACCATGGTGAGTGGGGGCTGGGCCCAGGTGGGCCGGGGAAGGGTGTGGGGTTGGGGGGTGGAGGGAGGCACAGGTCAGACCGCAGCAGTGCTGCGCTACCCCTGACTCAGGGGCTGTGGCTACCTGTCTCTGTATCTGCCCCGTTCCCCCGGGCACAGTGTAGCCTTGGGACGAAGATGCCTTTCTAAATCTGTTTATGGGGCTGGAGAGCCCTGTACTCACCTGGAGCACCGGCAAAGCAGGGACACCACAAGAAGTTCCTTCAAAAAAGAGCAAGAGCCATTTATGTTTTTGTCATTCAGTCAGTATTTACTGAGTGCTTCCTACATGCCAGGCACTGTGCACACAGCAGAGAACAGGCCAGAAGAAAATGTCTTTGTGGGGCCAATGTTCTAGTCAGAGGGGGTAGGTGGTAAAGAAAAGAAGTAAAACCTATGTATGCAGATGGCACTCAGTGCTGCACGAGGGGGAGTGGGGAAAGAGAGCAAGGGGGTGGTTGGACGGTCTCTCTGAGAAGGTGCCTGAGAGGTCAAGGAGCCGGAGAGCACTGGGGCTCTAGGCCAAGGGTCCAGCAGGTGCAGAGCCCCCCCCCCCCAGGAGAGGAAGCCTGTGTCCTGGGACCTGCCAGGTGGCTGGTGCTACCATGGGAGGGGGCGTGGGTGCTGCTAGGAGATGTGGGCAGGTATGGGGCTGGGCATTGTGTGGAAGGGGTGAAGTTCAGGACCGCCGAGGGACCGTGGGGTCTTTGGCTTTTGCTCGGAGCGCAGTCGGAAGCTGCTGCAGAGTGCCGAGGTGAGGGGAGCCATGCTGAGGCTCCGACCTGTGCAGGGTCCCTCTGGCTGCCACATCCGCAGTGGCCTCTTGTGCCAGGGACAGCAGTGGGGGGCCTGGCGGGGGGCCGTGATGTTCCAGACGGGAGATGACCCGATGGCTTGGAGCAGGGTGGGACGCAGAGTCAGACTGTTAATGTTTTGGAGGCAGAGCCTCCAGGATCTGCTAATGGATCCATGGTGGGAAGGGCCGGAAAGAAGCACCAGGGGCGCCCAAGGCCATCGTATAGAGAGGGTATCATAAATCCCCACTGTGTGGTCTCACACCCCAGCACCCACAGTCCCAACACATGCTTTGGTGACCAAGCACCAAGGAGGTGCTGGGCCAGGTGGGTCCCAACGCAGGCTGGGTCAGGGCATTTCTGGGCCTCTCAGGAGACCTGGTTTCTGCAGAGGAGCGAGGGTGGAGGGGTTCAGCGAAATCGCATGTGGCACAGAGCCTGGCCGAGTGCAGGGCGATGCAGGGCGGGGGTGGGCGGTGGGCCCAGCCTCACTGGCCCCCTGGGTCTCTCCAGTGTCTGACAAGCACCAGTTTAAGAATGAGCAGGTGATGTACCGCTTCCGTTATGACGACGGCACCTACAAGGCCCGGAGTGAGCTGGAGGACATCATGTCCAAGGTAGGGACGCCGCCTGACCCCACAGCCCTGACCCCACGGTCACTGCAGAGCAGGCCTGCACCCCAGTGGCCTGTGCTCTTCCTCCTCCCCCACCCGCCTGCTCTGTGCTGGGAGCCGTCTCTCCCGGCAGCCCAGACTTGGAGGCTCCTGAAGGGTGTGGCCTGATCCCAGACCCTGCCTTGTTCTCTTTCAGGGCGTGAGGCTTTACTGCCGCCTTCACAGCCTCTATACCCCCGTAATCAAGTAAGTTACTCTCCCGGCTTCAGTTTCACCTCTGCTTCTTCTCAGCTGTGTGGCCTTGGGCTAGTCACTGAACCTCTCTGAGCCTCAGTCTCCTTTTCCATCAAATGGGCTAATCGTTGCATCTACCCTCCATATTTGTCCTTAGGGCTGAGTGAGTCACGCTATGGGAGACGTTGCAGCGTGGTGGTGAAGGGTGTCCGTTCTGGGGCCAGTTTGAGTCTCAGCTGCTGGTGACCAGCTGTGTGACTTTGGGCAGAGTTACTAAGCCTCCTGGTGCCTCAACATTTTGCTTTGTGGAATGGGGATGATAACAAGATCCACTTCAGGGCCTTTGCACTTGCTGTTCCCTCTGCCTGGAGTGCTTTTCCGGTATCAATCTGCATATTTACAACCTCACTTCCTTCAAATGTCTCCAAATCTAAGGGGCCTCCCCTGCTCACTTCTCAAAGCCTCAGTGTCTGGTGTGCACTGTCCTCCTTCACTTTGGCCTTTCTTCTTGAAACTTAATAGTGGTTGACGTGTTATGTATTTATTCCTTATTGATTTGCTGTCTAATTCTTCCCCACTGGACTGTACACTCACCAAGGGCAGGAAGTCTGCTCGCTGCTGTGTCCCCAGACCTTTGGCCAGCCCCTAGAGCACTGCTGTCTTATAGCCCTTTCCACAGTGGTAACCAGGCCCATGTCTGTGGGGTCCAGTACAGTAGCTGTGAGTCATGTGTGGCTTTCAAACCCTTGAGATGGAGGAACGTGATTTTAGGTCTGATTTAATATTCACTGATGGATAAATGGGTACATATTGGAGAGTGCAGAGTAGCTCTCCGTGCATGTTTGTTGCGTGAATGTTGAGAGGTAATTAGCCTCTTTGGTCTCTGATTCTACCTCTGTGAAATGGGCATAAGAATAGCTCACACCTGGGCACCCAGGGGCTCAGTCAGTTGAGCATCTGCCTTCAGCTCAGGTCATGATCCCGGGGTCCTGGGATTGAGCCCCACGTCGGGCTCCCTGCTCAGCGGGGAGCCGGCTTCTCCTTCTCCCTCTGCCTGAGTCTTTACCTACTTGTGCTCTTTTTCTCTGACAAATTAAATAAATAAAATCTCAAAAAAAAAAGAAAAAAAAAAGAATAGCTCACACCTCTTGGGTTGCTATGAGGATTAAATTTGAGTGATGCCTGGCACATTGTGCGGGCTGTATAAATGCCAGCCATTGGTTCTTTTTTTTATTATGAAGCTTTATGGTTGTGGATGAAGGGACGGAGAGTGTGACCTCATTCTTTTTTTTTTTTAAGATTTTATTTATTTATTTGACAGAGATCACAAGTAGGCAGAGAGGCAAGCAGAGAGAGAGGGGGAAGCAGGCTCCCCACTGAGCAGAGAGCCCCATATGGGGCTCAAACCCAGGACCTTGAGATCATGACCTGAGCTAAAGGCAGAGGCTTAACCTACTGAGCCGCCCAGGTGCCCCGCAACCTCATTCTTACCAGCTGCAGTTTCCTCCCCCAGAGTCTTAACGGCTCTTGTCCACTCTTAGAGGAACGGAGGGGATTCCAGCATTTGCTAGCCTTGTCGGGGGTCAGGCCCTGGGAGCCCCTCACATCTGTAGACCAGCCCCTGCCTTCTCTGTGCCCTTGCGAGAAGGGCCTCCTGATCAGCCCCTAGAGAAGGAAGTGGCAGGGCCAGCACTTACTGGCACGCTGCCTGCCCGGCTCCCCCGTTCCTAAAGTCTAGAGAAACTCCCCAGCCAGACTTGGTCATCAGCCTGTGTGTGGCTGGCCACATAGACTCCTGTTTGCCAGCCTCAAGCCCCAGAAACGGTCAATTCACTGCAAGGTTAGCACGACCCTTTGTTTCAGGACTGGGGGGGGGGATTTTTTTTTTTAAGATTTTATTTATTCATTTGACAGAGAGAGATCACAAGTAGGCAGAGAGGCAGACAGAGAAAGGAGGAAGCAGGCTCCCCACTAAGCAGAGAGCCTGACGTGGGGCTCAATCCCAGGACCCCGGGACCATGACCCGAGTCGAAGGCAGAGGCTTTAACCCACTGAGCCACCCAGGTGCCCCTGGGGGAAATTTAGATGCCACACATCAGAGCTTGTGCCTGGGGAGAGCCCCAGGGACCTGTGCTGCCCGGTGCGCTCACATGTGTTCCCTTCTCCCGCAGAGACCGTGATTACCACCTGAAGACGTACAAGTCCGTGCTGCCTGGGAGCAAGCTCGTGGACTGGCTGCTGGCTCAGGTGAGCTGTCCCCCAGCCCATGGGAGCTGTTCCCCAACCTGTGGGACCTGTCCCCCCTGACCTGCGGGAGCAGCCTGCTCACTCTGCCCAGCACCGAGGAGCTGACCGGGCTGCTGGCCTTGAAGTTGCTTTAAACAGTTTTTTCTCTAGTTTTCACTTGTGTAAAATACACATCACACTTAACTGTCATAACCGTGGTTCAGCGTGCTGTTGGTGACCCGACGTCCAACCTCCCCTCACATCGCTGGGAGCTGTTCCCACCCTCCCTCTCCAGAGCTCTTCCATCTTGCAGAACTAAAAACCCTATCCCCGGTCAACACCAGCTCCCCTCTCGCCCCTCCCCGCGGCCCCTGGCAACCTCGCTTCTGCTTTCTGTCTCCAGGTGCTTGGCCACACTGGGTACCCCCGTGAGCAGGGTCACGCAGCCTTTGTCCTTCTGTGGCTGGCAGACGGCACTCAGCGTCATGCCCTCAGGGCCATCCACATGGTGGCCTGGGTCAGAATTGCCTTCCTTTGTGAAGCTGAATAATATTCCATCGCACAGATCGCCCACATTTGATTTATCTGTCATTTATTATTATCTATTAGTGTCTGCTTAATGGACGCTTGGTTGCTGCCACTGGAGGCTTCCAGTTAAAACAGGGACAGTCCCGGCTGAGCTGGGACAAGTCGGTCTCATGCTGAGGCACCAGACAGGAGCCTCCACGGGGAGCTTGCCAAGTTACTCCTTTCGTAGAAGTTGCCCAGGGGGCAAGGGCTGGGCGGCAGCTTGGTTTTGCTGCAACTTCCTGAAGGCTTTTGCTCCCCTGAGATGCTGCAGACATTTCTGTCTGCTGGCCCATGGCTCCTGCTCCTGGGGCGCTTCCTCTGGCTGGGTTTTGTGCATTACCTCGTGGAATCCTCCAGCCCGTTTATAGACAGGGGCACTGGGACCCAGAGAGGCTGAGCACTTGGTTCAAGGGTACACAGCCCCTTAGCGGCAGAGCTGGGATTGGGATGGGCCTGCCTCACCCTGCTTGTACCTCGGGAACTTTTCAGGGAGCTTGCGAGAGTGTTCATTTGTAAATCTGTAAAGAGAGCGTATTGGCTCCAAAGACGAGGAGACAACTGTGAAATCAAAACGGATAAGTGTTTAAACGTTTACAGAATGCAGCTTTATGTCAGCCTCCTTAATTGTTAAATTTAGCATTCATAAAAACCTCATTCCATTTGAAAACAATTTGCTGGCGGGATTTTCTCATGTCACACAATTCCTGATGATTGCCTAGAAATCGTAGCCAATCTGTAAAGTAAATGTTTCTTGGTGCCAAATGACTTCAAAAGCAGGTTTAGAAAAATCCTTGAAAAATTATTTTCAGGCCCAAACAGCATATTTAATGTAGGATGTGGGTGTATTTTAATATGTTTGCTGTGGTGTGGGATGCTAGGACCCGGGAGGTCTTAAAACAGCCCTGGAATTGGAATTCAGTTTTGCACATCTGGCAGGCGCCGAGTGCTAACCACTGTGCGGCACTGCCCTCCCCTTCCGGCTCCCGAAACCAGCTCCCAGCATGTGCCTGATTTCTAGTAGCCAGGCTGGCCTGGGTCAGATCCCAGCTTTGCGTCTTCCTAGCGGAGTGCTCTTGGACAAGCCTCTTAGCCTCTCTGTGCCTCACTTTCCACACCTGCAAAATAAAGCTAAAAACAATACCTTCCCTGTTAGATTATTTTGAGGATTCAGTGAGTTAATCACATAAAGTGCTTAGACTGGCACCTGGCACAGAGGAATTGCTCAGTAAATGCGACGGTTGTTATAATTCCTTATCTCCCGCACGAGGGATTCAAGGTGGCTCCAAATTACATGTGGTACGGAAGGCTGGAGAACCTGCAGGAGGTTTGGGGGCGCAGGGACAGTGAGATCAGGAAACAACCAGCAGGGGGTGGGGGGTAGGGTAGGGGGCGGGGTGGGGGGGGCGAATCCATGGAGTCCCGCCTCTGGAGTGTTCCGTTCCAGGTGAGGGTGACACGGGGTGATTTCCTTTGTGGTTTAGGTTCTTTGCTTGGAGCCTAGACCTGCCTGGGTCCGGGCTCTCGGAAACGGCTGCTTCTTCCCAGCTCGGCCCTTTCTGTGGCCTCAAGCCACACTCCCAAGCTCCACTGGTGCTCACGGCTGTGTGTGGGTTCTGAAGCGTGATGTGGGCTCTGCCCTAAGTGGTGAGTCCCCGGCCTGAGTTGGGAATGAGATGGGTCCCCTAGATGCTGAGATGTCAGTGGGTCTGAGAAATGCCTGGAGATGGGGAGCACGGGGTGTGCTGCTATGGGGCAGGATAGGAGGCAAGGATGTGTCCTGGGGCTTTGATGCGCTGGGAGGTGGGAGGTACCCTTTACGGGGATCGGGAGACTGGGGGAGGAGTCCCCAGTTGCCTAGGAAGATCAAGAATTCTCCTCTGATGCGGGAAGGCACTGTCTTTGGGGTGAACACTGGACTCCCCCATGGGTGGGTGGAGGGTGGAGCAGGATTGGCATGCCAGACGCTCCGTTCCTGGTCAGCTTTGGCAGTATTTAAAATGAGCAGTCAGGGGAGGGTGTGGAGCCAGTCAACAAGAGGGCTAATTAGCTTCTCCCTTTCTTTGAGCACCTACTGTGTACTGGGCACTGGTTCAGGTTCTGGGGACGCAGTGGGCTGGTGGCTCGAGGCACCGGCAGAGGAAAGAAAGCATCCATGGGCACATGTCAGGAGCCCTGGCCCCAAAGATGTGCAACTAACTTGTCCTCTTGGAGTCTCCGTTTCCATAACATGGTGGTGGGGGGAAGGGTCTGGCCCCGAAAGAATTCCTTTCTCACGGTGTAACCTAAGGCAAGTGCAAGCCCGTCTGTGCCCCAGGCTCTTCATCTGTTAAATGGGATTAAGGGGAGTGACCGCCTCTGGGTTGACCCTCAAGACGAGGAGGGAGATGGTGTAGCACCTGATATGCTGCGGGTCAATAAGAGGCATCTGTGGACATTGTCCTGGGGCTTCCCAAGTCATGGGCAGGGAGCCTCCCGAAGCCCTGGGTCCATTACCCCCCCGGAGTGTTCTGTCACCCAGTCCAGCTCTGCCTTTGCCACTGGCATCCCAGGTGGTTCTGGGTAGAGATGTTTTGTGGCTCCCTGAGTGCTGGGTGCCATTGGGGAGGTGGGTCACCTTGATGGGCATCACTGCCGCCCACTGATGTTCTAGTGAGGGACAGACGTTAAACCACACCCACTTATCAGGAGGGACCCCAAGGACCAGGAATCCTTGGTGCTGATTTTCCTGAGAGCAGTGGCGGGAAGGGAGGAGTTTGTTTCAGACTGTGGCAAGTGCAGCACTGGTATCATGCAAGGTCATGGGAGTATAAATGGATGAACATTGGTTGAGAGGATGCATGGGGGTGGGGAGTGGGGGCTGGGGGGCTACTTTAGGTTGTCCTCTGAGGAGCTGACTTGGGCACTGAGACTTAAAAAAGCCAGGACAGGGCCTTCCAGGGGGAGGAAGGAGCAAGTGCAAAGGCCCTGAGGTGGGGGCACGTAGTTTGTGAAAGGGCTAGCAAGGAGGCCAGCGTGGCTGGAGCACCAGCACGGGGGCTAGTGGGTGGGTGGAGGAGGTGAGGGGAGTGTGGCGGTGCAGCGGGACAGGGCTGTGTGTGCCTGTGCCTTCCTCCGGGAGGGGAGAAAATGGTGATTTGAGGTTTTCCCACAACTTGGTGGGATGTGGGGTAGGGGACTTACTTTTTAGGTGTCCAGGGTCAGCGTATTCCATGGTTAACTTGAGAATCCTGTTCTTGTTCTAACTTTAGGAGCCTCCCTGTGGGTCCTCCCTGTGGGAAGGGGGACAGGGATGGGCTGGCAGCCCAGACTGTGAGTGCCTCAGAAAGCCAGGTGGGCCCCAGATGCCTGCCGGGGTCCTCCCACGCTGCGGAGCGGGCGCCTGCTCGCCACCTGGGCCCCGCTGTGCCTCCCCTGCTGGCCCTGTGCAGCTGGGGGAGGCTGCTCCGGATGCCGCCTCTCGCATGGACAGCCGCCTACCCTGGCTGGGCTCTGTGCACACAGCCTTCCGGCTGCTGGCCTGGGGTCCCACGGGAGAGATTTTTCTTCCTCGAGTCAGCCAAGGCGTGACATCCGGAGGCCAGTGGCTCCCTCAGGCCCCGTGCTCTGAGTCCTGCAGCCCCTGGCATTTGTTTCTCCTTTAGCTGGGCAGGTCTCTCCCTGGCCCCTCGGTGGCTGGCAGAGTAGGTGGGGGACAGTCGAGGCGATGGCCTCTTGAAACCCCTTCTCGCTTCGGGAGTCCGTTCCATGAGCGGTTGTTGGGCCCCGTGGCCATCTGAGTGTAGCTGAAGCTCACTGACTGTGGCCACAAGCTCCTACATGATTTGGCCCCTGCTGACAGCAACTTTATTGAATCGCCAGATATTTATTGAGCACCCCTTGTATGCCAGGCCTGAATTCTAAGCCATTGGGATTCCACAGGGAACACAGCAGATCAAACACCTTGTCCTAATGGAGCGTACTCACCCCCTCCCTGGTGGCGAGGCTGCCTTTTGTGACGCAGGCTTTGTCTCCACCCCTGGACCTTTGTCCATGCTGTTTTTTCTGTCTGCGACCCAGCTGTTCCCCCCATCACCCTCATCCCTAACCGTGCCACACAACTCACATGGTTTCCCTGATGAACTGAGATTGTGGGGTTTGCACGGACCAGAAACAGATTCTGGCTAGCTAAAGGAAAGGGGGAAGAAAAGAGAAGATGGGAAAGGGTAAAGAGCACCCACAGAGTTAGGGGAGACCCAGGACCCAGCCTCAGAAAGCACTGGCACCAGGAAGTGCCCAGCATCTTGGGAGCGGGTGCCAAGGGCCCCTTCTTCGGGGCACTGTGGGGAGAACCACACCAGCTGGTCCCTGTCCTTGGGTTCCTCCTCCGGTTGTGTTCCTGAGGCAGAGGGCATCACCGTAGCTCCGCAGGGACCGTGTGTCCTCAACCCTGGCCTGGGTTGGTGGTGGTGGGGCAGTTGTGTGAGAAAAACTGAGGAGCTCTCCCACCAAGATGACATTCCACATGGGAGAGTAGGCCTCAAACACGGGCCCTAGGGGCCATGACCATCCATAACTTCAGTTTTGGGTTGGACGTCACTTCCTTGGAAAAGCCCTGAGAGGTGAAGCGGACTTCAGCTGTACTGGTTAGGAGTGTGTTCCTTTGCAACAACAGAAAACCCAACTAAACGGTGGCCTGAGCAGATAATTATGCCCCATACCAGTCATGCCACATGTCAAGAACCTTCCGTCCTTCACTCTGCTGTCCACAGCATCATCTGCCATCTTGGTCACTGGATAGCCCCTTAGACCTACATATATCAGTCACTTCCTCATGCGACTTTGTCCCCAGTAGGGGATGTGGTACTGCTTTCCTCTTTTTTCAGGGAGGAAGGTATTTTCCAGAATCCCCTGGTAGCCTTCCCCAGGTATCTCGCTGGCTATAGCTAGGTCAGTTAGGACTTAGACTTCATTGCTAGCATCAAAGATCCTAGCTACAGAGGCTGATATAAATTAGGAGTTGATTTTCCTTTGCTGTGAGAGAAGCCTAGAGGTGGGTGGGCTAGAGCTGCTAGGGCAGCCTCAGGAGACCTTTGGGTCTGTCTCTCTTCCTGCTCTGCCATCCTTAGCATATTTTGGTCCTTGGTATTGTGGTCTAGGATGACTGCAGGAGCTCCAGCCATCACATCTTTGTTCCAAGGAGGAGGAGGAAGAATAAAGAAGGACCAGGGACAACAGGTTTTTCCAGAGCTCCCTACCAGTGATTTCTGCTTATATCTCATTGGCCACCTCTCACTGCAAGGGAGCTGGGCTTTGTGAACCCCTAGATGGATATGTTGCTGGCTTCAACAGTGACAGCTTCATTGCTAGCGTGGTATTGGTGAAAGCGTTATTCCTAGGCAGCCAACAATATCTGTCACATCAGATCTTCATTTCTCCTTTGTGGTATTTATGGCACGATACACAATGGCTTTATCTCAGCTGCTATTGATTTTCTTGTGTGGGGTTTATTCCTAATAGTCATAGACGTGTTTGGTCAGTACCGCGGTATGCAGAACAGACACAGATCCCTGCCCCTGTGGCGCCTCCATTCTCGGGGTGATGGTGGGCTTTTCGCAGCCTCGCTCAGCCCCTCCAGTGTCGGTGCACCTAACACCTTCCCCTTCTTGTTCCATTCCAGGGTGACTGCCAGACGCGGGAGGAAGCGGTGGCGCTTGGCGTGGGCCTGTGTAACAATGGCTTCATGCACCACGGTAATTTGCCCCTTCTCTTCAGCCCAGCCTCCTGGGTTGGGGGCGGTTTGCCCTGGAACACAAAAGCTAGTAGGGACCCTGGTCCCTGGGGCATTTCATGGGGGCCCAGAGGCCCCGAGAGAGCAAGTGGTGGGCTGGAGGTGCTCAGCCTGCCCACGGAGGAGCCCAGGCTAGATGCCGGCTCTGTGGGCCTGTAGACCGAGGGGGGCTTGGAGTGGCTCAGGAAGCCCACCCCACGCCCCTCCCTCTTCTGCCCTGATGGCGACATCACCTCAGGGCTTCAGTAGGGACCAAGATGACTGGTAATGGTTGGCTGAGAAAATGGACTTGCTTTGAGGTCAAATCTATGGGCTTTCTGGGCCCTTCTCCTGGATAGGACATGACCTCCGGGTGGGCAGTGAGGTTAGATCATGCGGGGCTGGTCCACGGGCTTCCACACGGAGGAGAAGAGAGGGGTCTGTGGGGACAGAGTGCAGGCAGGTTGTAAGTGAGAGAGGAAGGGAGCCGGGCAGGGACGTTCACACCGCTTTTCTGGGCCTGACCCCTTAGATAAGTCGCTCTCCTTCTCACCAGAGAAGCATGGAGGAGGGGTAGAGAGGTGGGCAGTCCTGAGATGATCCTGAGGTGGGAAGGTGGGCAGGAGGGAGGAACGGGTTCCAGTGTCACCATTTCAAATTAACACAGCAGTCGATACGCCATGTGTCTGGCTTCCTCCTGAGCATTCCCCCTATGTTCGTTAGTTTAATCGTGAATTGAGCCTTTGATGTTGGTATTAATATCATCCTTATTTATAATTGAGGAAATGGAAGCCCTATTAGTTAAGACAGCGGCTCAAGTTCACACAGCAAGTAGGAGCTGGGATTTGAACCCAGGTTGGCGGGCTTCACGGACCGCACACTCTGTCACTGAGCTCTGTGACCTTCCCACTTGCTGGCCCTGGGGGAGCCCTGAGGCTCCTACCCTTTCAGCAGGGTGGGTAGACTTAACTCCGAGCAACCAGCCTTTCTTCTCCTTCTAGAACACTCCCCAGGGCCTTGGCTCTTGCAGTTTCCCTGGCCTGGGGTGCCCTACCTGCCTCACACCCCCGACTTACTCGGTATTTCTGTTTGGTTCACACCTCCCGAGGCCTCCCCCAGCACCAGGGCCACACAGCTCCTCTCCGTCCTCTCTCCATGCTTGGCCCAGATTCATGCTTCTTCACGGCGCTGTTCTCTCCCTGACAGACTAATTCCGCGCTTCCGTCGCGTCGTCCCTGCTGCTCGCCTCCAGCCCTTGCCTTCCCAGGGTGGGCACCGTGCTAGGCTCCCGGGACAGAGCGGTGAGCAGGGCAGACCGGAGTCCGTCCTCGGGAGCTCACAGCCTCGTGTGCGTGCACCAAGCACTGAAATCAGTCCGTGTTCCGGAGCAGTGTGGGCTTTCACTCCAGTGCGCTGGGAGTCCCGGCAGGGTTCTGAGCAGAGGAGGACCATGGAGCGTGTCTGTGGGGCTGAGGGTGGAAGTCGAGAGGCCAGTGCAGAAGCCATTCTGACCCCAGGGGAGGGTTGCCGTGGCTTGGGCCCTGGTGGTGGCAGCAGAGGGGTGAGATTCTAGAAGGTCTCTTGGTCATTCCTTCTCCCAACTTCTGCTTTGTGCTCCAGCTCAGAGGTTAGCAAACCCTCCCTGCGAAGGGCCAGATATTAAATATTTCAGGCTTTGTAGGCCACGGGGTCGGTCACCAGTTCAACTCTGCCATCACAGCATTGAAGCTGCTACAGGCAGTACTTCAATAAGTGGGCATGGCTGTGTGCCAATAAAACTTTATTTAGAAACACAGGCAGTGGGCCGTAGTTTTCCACCCCTAGTCTCGCTCTGGGTTTGCTGTCCCTTCAACAGGATGAGAGGTGTGCCAGCGTATCCCCTGCCTTGTAGCCGGCAGGCCTTGTTCCAGCCCTGACTCCGCTGACTCCCAGTAAACCTCTGTGCCTCTCTGGGCCTCTGTTTCCTCATCTTGCCACTGGATCCCCTCCTCCTCTGAGCTCAGCGTGCCCATGCCTCTGTGGGGTTAGGCATTAGGACGCACTCCCAGCTGCCTGTTTCGCCAGCGAAGATGGGCAGGTCAGGCCCAGCCAGAGTCATTCCCGTCCATCAGCTCCTGTCACCAAAGTCCCTCATTCCCAGAAGCCGCTCTATTCCCTGCGGGGCCCTCTGACAGCTCCATCCTTCCCGCCGATCAGCTGGGCAGAACCTCTCATTTGTGGGTGAAAGTAATTAGGGGTCCACCCCTGCCGCTATTCTGGGAAGGCTGCTGGCTGAGGACATTCTGCGGGTGGGGGTGTGGGGGAGGGTGACTCCCAGGCAGTGCCAACACCCTCGGGGCCCCTCAGGGACAGAAACTGCAGGGCGTAGTCCCTGCTCCCCCCGTTCCCTGCCACGAACTCAGAAATAAGCTAAAATAGAAAAGGGCCAAATCCCAGGGTTGTGGCTACTGCAAAATGCAGGTTAGGGGCAGAGCAGAGGGGGGCGGTGGGGCCCGGGTGGGGCCTCCTGTGGCGTCTGACCTGAGCTCCCGGTCCCTGAAGTGTCTTTAAGCACATATGGGGAAGCTGAAGCTACTGTCTCATCCCCCATCCCTCTGGAAGTTGGTGCTATCGGGGTCCCCCAGATGAGCATGTGGAGGCTCAGAGAGGCCCAGAGGATGTGAGATCGGGCAGGGGCTGGCAGGGGTCTGAGCCTGGCGGGTGGCCTTAAGGGAAACCTGCGTCAGTGGGTGGTGGGACCTCACCTGGCTGTGGTCCTGGACTCGGGGATTCCAGCTCTTTCCCCAGACATTTCAGCCAAGACGCAACATGGTACTTCCTCCTCCCACTCTCAGAGTCTGTCCGCCTCGTGTTTATAGTGGATGTGAAGCCAGCCGGCCCCTGGGGCCTGGCTCCCCTGTTCTGGGCAAAAACAGCAATTTGCGTGTCTGTTTTCTCCAAAGAGGTAGTGGGGGTGATGGGAGGAAGACGCAAACAGCTCGAGTTCCTGGGAAGGAAGGAGAAAGAAAGGATCGCCTCCTGCTTTTCATGTAGTCACCAAATCTGTAGACAGCCTCCGTCATCAGGGATGGTGGGGACATCTCGAACCTTAGGCAGCTGGTTTTCCTTCTTCCATGACTCCAAACACTGCCTTTCCCCCACTGAGCCTGGATTTCCCCCTTGCCGCAATTCTCCCCCACACCCATCCTGCCCGCACTGTGACCGTGCACAGTTTTTTTTTTAGCTTCTCTGGGCCTTAGTCTCCCTACCTATAAAAGGGGGTACAGCCAGTCCATCCTCGTCTGAGGATTAACCGAACCTAAGCCTGCATCCCTGCCGTGCCCAGCACTGGAAGAGACTTAGTTAAATTCTAACCCGCAGGGCCCAGACCACATGCTGGTTGTGACTGGTTTTTGTATCCATTTTCCCGCCTTCTAGAACAGAGGTCAGAAAACTTCTGTTTTCTCCTATTTTGGGCCTGTCAAGGCCCAAAATAGTAAATATTGTAGGCTTTGTGGGCCATACAGCCTTTCACAGTCATCTCTGTCGGTCACTGTGGAATGAAAGCAGCCCCAGCCCCAGTAAATAAATAGATGTGGTTGTGTTTTAATAAAACTTTATTGATAAAAAGAGGCAGTGGGCGGGCTCTGGTTTATAGGGCGTGAGCTTGCTAATCCTCCTTCTGAAGTGTCTCATTGTGGTTTCCCAGCTGCCTCTGGTGGATTTGTTGGTGTTTGTTTTATGTTCTAGATATTTATTCCTTTTTGGCTTTAGACATTATAGTTTTTTTTTTTTTTTTTTTGAATCTGCCATTTGCCTATGGTCTTGTCATTGAACTGAAGTCCTTATTTTCATGATACTGCTTTTTTGGGGGGCGGTTCATGTATGAAATCTTTTTCTGCCCTAGGACAAAGATGTTTTGCCTTTTGTTTTGGTGAGTGTTAGTTTCCCTGTTCATATTTAGGTCTTTAATCCATCAGGAATTTATTGTGATACATGGTTTGAGGTAGGGATACGATTTTATTTTTCTCCCCGCAGTGAGTCAGTTTTTCCCGACATGCTCCGCAGTCCTCCCCATGATCATCATCATCATAGTCTAAGTTCCCATAAACACACGGTCCTCTTATGTGATTTCCGTTTTCTTCCCCTGGCTCTTTATCTGTTTCTGCCATAATTCCACACTGTTTTTGTTCCTGCGGCTTTGTAATATGTGTTTTATAGCAGGTGGGGCAAGTTCAGACTTTTCAAGAGAAGTCAGAAAGCCAGACATCTGTGCGAAGTATCCTCACCCGTTAGGGTTGGCACATGATTCCCTTTAATAAAACACCATGCTTGCCAAAGCAAACTTGTCTCGGGGTTGGCTCTGGCCTGTGGTTGCCAGTTGGCAAATGCTGCTGAGCCTTCCCTCCGAGCCTGACCGTGTGCTGCGCGTCTGTGGGTTTGCAGTGCTGGAGAAGAGTGAGTTCAAGGATGAGTCCCAGTACTTCCGCTTCCACGCAGACGAGGAGATGGAGGGAACCAGCAGCAAGAACAAACAGCTTCGCAACGACTTCAGGCTGGTGGAGAACATCCTGGCCAAGCGCCTGCTGGTAGGAGCAGAGGACAAGGGCTACCTCTGTGTCCCTGGGCTTGGCTGCAGCCCGGGAGCGGGGCGACCTGCCGATTATGGCTAGAGAAGTTGGGCTCGACTTGGAGCACCTGAGGATGGGGCTTCTACACTTCATGGGCCAAGACCGCCTTCTTTATGGAGAGATCAGGCTTGCTGGCTCCCTTTCTTTTCCTTTCCTTCTTCCCCCATCTGCCCCCCCACCCCCATCCACCCCACGTCCCAGCTTAGCATCGTGCAGAGAGGTTGGCCCCTGAAATGACTCATCCCAGATCCTTTGCAAAGCCTTAGGTCTGCCGGCGGCGCCCTGTCCGTGTGCAATTGCTGTAAATACCCTTACAGCTGAGGGGAACGTTTACCAGCCTGCCCAGCTATCTGTCCAGCCTAGCCCTCCAAGTCCTGTTTCTCTGCCTTCTGGTGACCAGCAGCCTCTGCCTTCATGCCTGGTCCACAGGAGGTGGTGAAAGGAAGGCTCAGCAGCTTAGATCTCCTGCCACAGCCAGAGTTGGGGCTGATGTCTGACTCATAGGAAGACCGCACCATTAACTTCTCTCATGTGGTGCTTACAGGGATCCCGTAAATATGGGGATTCCCATTTCTCCCACTATAAAGCCCACCCGTGCTCCCTATCACACTTGGGATGAAATCCGGTCTCTCATCATGGTCTATAAGACTCTCCCTATCTCTCCAGCTTCATCTCCTGTGTTCTCCCCTCCTTCACCCGACCCCAGCCACTCTAATCTCCTGTCTTATCCTCGAGTATTATGGGCCTGACTCAGGGCCTTTGCACGTGCTGTGTCCTCTGCCCGGAACACTTTTTCCAGTTTCATAAAGTTCTGTTCCTCATTTCATTCAGGTCTCAGCTCAGATAACTCCTCCTCTGGGACCCCTGCCACACCAGTCTGTCCCTTTAAGAGCTTTATTTGAACTCAAACTCTTTACAGTTGTCAAAACCCTCCAGTTTAGGAGAATCCTACAATGCCTGGAGGCCACACCTATGTAGATACATTGCCTGCATCACATTCTGTATTTCCTCGCTCATTTGTCTGTAGTCTGTCTTCCCACTAGATTGTCGCCCGCAGCAGGGCAGGGACTGTGTGTCTTATCCAGCACTGTTTCCGGTGCCGCATAAAGCACCTGGCTCGTATCACAGGCAGCAGCTCAGCAAATATTTGTTGAACAAATAAATGCATTTCCCTGGCATTCCCCCTGCCCACAGAACCCCCAAACTTCCCAACCTGCCTGCCACCCTGCAGTGGGAAGGACTGTTCCTTCCTAAACTCCTTTCATGTCCCCAAGTTCTTGGTGGCTGGACATTGTTGGATCTGTTTTATTCGTAAAGCCAGTGGATTGTTACTGAGCACGTACAGTTTGCCTGCTGATGGGGGGACCGTGGTGGTATAATGGAGCAGACTTGGTGCTCGTGTTGGGAGGAGAAAGGGGAGACAGAAGTGAAAAGTAAAAAGGACATGATTAGCACCAGGCTGAGGTTCGAGCTAGGTGGCGTGTCCTCCCTGGACAGGTATGTATTGAGCACCTCCTGTGTACTGGGTGCTCTTTGTATTTAAGTTCATGCTGTCATGCACCCCTAGTCACTGGAGGGTTGGGGCACGCGGAGCTGGTAGGATCACTGTCTCGTGGGGACTGAGGGTGGCGCTGGCTGCTGGTCCCCCTCAGCATCTCACCGGGTCTCTCCTGCCTTGGGCCCTCAGATCCTGCCCCAGGAGGAGGACTATGGCTTTGACATCGAGGAGAAGAACAAAGCCGTGGTGGTGAAGTCAGTCCAGCGGGGCTCGCTGGCTGAGGTGAGGCCTCCAGGGGGCCACCCGCAGTGTCCGTGGTTCTTCCCTGTCGGTGGTCCTGTGCGCACGCTCAGGCCAAGGCGGGCTCCCCTGCGCTCCCTAGGGGGAGCCGCGAGTGAGCCCCCTGCTCGGGCTGGTCTCCCAGCCTGTACTCCACCGGCTCCCCTCGTTGCCCTGTGGGGAGGCGCAGGACAAAAGCTGGTTTCTTAACTGCTCACCACAGCGGGGAGCGGGGTTGCCCTGGGGGACTCACTCGGGGCGTGCTTGGTCCCTGGGCTGGCTGGGTGCTGCCAGAATGCAGCCAGGGCTCCGAGGTGAGGAGGAAGGGAGGCTAGTGATGTGGTGTGCTTGTCTCCTCCATCTCCTCCGCCAAGATGGCCGGCCTGCAGGTGGGGAGGAAGATCTACTCCATCAACGAGGATCTGGTGTTCCTGAGGCCCTTTGCGGAGGTGGAGTCCATCCTCAACCAGTCTTTCTGCTCCCGCCGCCCACTGCGCCTCCTGGTAGCCATCAAGGCCAAAGAGTGAGTGTCGCCATGATGGGGTGTCCGGCCCGTCTTCCTCTTGGCCTAAGGAGTTGCCTGAGCGCCAGGAGTGGTGGTGGGGGCCCGAGCTGTCCTGGTTCCCCGTGGATGGGGCCCATTCTAGGGCATGTGACACGAGGCTGCTACTTTCATCCATTCAGGAGATGTTTACTGAACACCTACTATGTGCTGACTGGCGTTCCAGGCCCTGGGGATGCAGGGATGTCTGGATGGACACATTCCTACCCTTCATACCTCTCAGTCTAGGTGGAGGGTGGGGCAGGAGACACACAAAAAAACAAAACAGAGAAGTGAGAGATATAGTGAACCAGGTGGTAGTAAGCCTGGGCCAGTCTCTCCAGCTGGGAAAGAAGAGCGCCTGTGTGGAGGGATGGCAGCCAGGGAGATGCTGTGGTGAACTGAGGTGAAAACCAAGAAGGGAAGGGAGGGAGTCAAGGGGAGGAAGAGTGTTCCGGGCAGAGGAGACAGCCAGTGCAAAGGTCCTGGGGTGGAACTGTGGCTTGTATCTTTGAGGAACAGTGAAGAGGCTGATGGGGTGGAACAGAGTGAGGGAGAGGGAAGGGTAGGTGATGAGGTCGACCAGACAAGGGAGGCCAGGCCTTGTAGGACTTTGTGCCCACGGTAAGGACCATGGAGCCGCTGGAAGGTTCTGAGCAGAGGCAAGGCATAATGTGACACAGCTTCTGGGAAGAGTCCTCCGGCTGCAGGTGGAGACTAGCTTGTCAGGGGCAAAGGTGGAAGTGGGGGAGTGGCGAGGAGGCTGTGTGGTGGCCGTGGAGGTGGTGAGAAGTGGTCGATGCCAGATGGAGGTGCAGGGAGAAGCATTTTCTATTTTAGAAATTGTGCATTTGGGTTTTATTTCTCTCTTCTATTTAAGGCAAAGGCTCCTGGTTTCCTATTGAGGGGAGTGATGGAAAGTTCTAACTGTGATTCTTTCAGTGAGAAAGGCGAGCCAATTTAGGGAAGATGATTGATAGTTTGGTATGTGGAAGTGGCAGAAATCACCCAGGGGAATGTGCCTGCGTCAAGTTCTGGAAGTGCCTCAGGTTCGAGAACAGGCTCCCGAGATGGTTTTATCTGGCAGGTGGGGATGGGAGGATGATCCAGAGCCCCACCGTGGGGCGCATTCCCTTGACGGGGAAGCACGTCGCTGCATCGAAGCCACTGGGACAGTGTCACCCACCGCACAGCCTCGGGCGGGTGCTGTTCACTGCTCTGGCCTCCCACTTGCGGAATGGCCCAGACCCGGCCTTTCGAACTGTGTTCTCTAGGGGACATTCGGCGTTTTTCTGGAGTCAGCACCAAGGTGTTCTGGGTCACTTCTCACCCTCCCATCTGTGATTGTTGAACAAAATATTCGCTGCCCGAGGGGCTGGTTTGAACACCCAGGGCCCCCCTCTCGCTGAGAAGGTGACAGAGAAGGCATTAGGAGGGTGACCTGGGATTTCTGTGTGTGGATTCATTCTCCAAGGGCAGGACGGGTGGTTCTGAGTCATTAAAGATCCGGGGAGGTATGGGCTCTGGTTAAATGAGGTTTGTCTGTCTCTTTGGGAGCCCAGAGTCTGGCATTGCTACACCTTTGGGCTGGATTTCCCCAAAGTCTGGGAGACAGGGGCTCCTAGGCTCCTAGGTAAAATGCTGCTTTCTCTTACTGCTGCTTCTGCCCGGCGCAGGATCATCAAAGTTCCCGACCACCCAGAGGCTTTGTGCTTCCAGATCCGTGGAGCTGCCCCGCCGTGCGTCTATGCTGTGGGCAGAGGTGAGCCCAGCAGACAGAGGGGGGCTCAGATAGCTGAGGGGAACACATAGGGAATGGTGGGGACTATGGCAAGGTGAGAAAAGACATGCTCACTTTCAAAGGGGTTCATTTTCCTTCAGCTCAAGCTCATTATGACCAGGTAGGAATGAGTTTTTAAAGGAAGCCAGAAGTGGGAATTTTGGCCACACTTCTGGGGTCAGATCCAGCCAGAGGGCCAACAGTCAGCCTGTTCTCGTGCTGCCTCCCCCTTGCATGCTGGTTAGAGGGCCACTCCCTCTGGGAGACAAGACCACATAGGTCTGAAGTTCTAGGCTCTGAACCCTCTTCGTATTTGACAGCCGCACTTTTATTTTATTTTATTTTTTTAGATTTTATTTATTTGACAGGGAGAGTGATCGCAAGTAGGCAGAGAGGCAGGCAGAGAGAGAGGGTGAAGCAGGCTCCCCACTGAGCAGAGAGCTCGATGTGGGGCTTGATCCCAGGACCCGAGCCGAAGGCAGAGAGGCTTAACCCACTGAGCCATCCAGGCGCCTCTGAGGGCCGCACTTTTTAAGTTGAAACATGAACTGTCCACTTTCATGGTCATAGTTGTACTTGTAACACGAGTTGATAAAAGAAAATGCATATCATGGCAGAAAGCTACCAAGAGTCTGTTAACTATTTTATATTTTAAAAGATTTTATTTATTTATTTGACAGAAAGAGACATAGCGCGAGAGGGAACACAAGCAGGGGGAGCTGCAGAGGGAGAGGGTGAAGCAGGTTTCCTGCTGAGCAGGGAGCCCAATGCAGGGCTCTATCCCAGGCAAACGCTTAATGACTGAGCCACCCAGGTGCCCCTCTGTTAACTATTTTATTATTTTTTATTTTTATTTTTTAAAATATTATTTATTTATTTATTTGACACAGGGAGAGAGAGAGAGAGATCACAAGTAGGCAGGCAGAGGGAGAGGGGGAAGCAGGCTCCCTGCTGAGCAGAGAGCCCGATGCGAGGCTCAATCCCAGGACTCTGGGATCAGGACCTGAGCCGAAGGCAGAGGATTAACCCACTGAGCCACTCAGGTGCCCCTATTTTATTTTATTTTTTAAAGATTTTATTTATTTGACAGACAGAGATCACAAGTAGAGAGGCAGGCAGAGAGAGAGGGGGAAGCAGGCTCCCCACTGAGCAGAGAGCTCGATGCTATGCGGAAGGCAGAGGCTCTAACCCACTGAGCCACCCAGGCATCCCACTGTTAAGTATTTTAAAGTGGGTTTTTATTTTTTCTTTAAAACAACAGTTCTTGACCACAGGGTACTTTCACCCTGCAGGGGGCGTCTGGCGCTCTCAGAAGACTCTTTGGTTGTCAGAACAAGGGGTTGGGGTCCTGCTGGGCTCTCATAGGTAGAGATCAGGGAGGCTGGCATCCGGAGCCTGCGTGGATGGGGAGGCGGGATGGGAGAGCACAGAAGAGACTCACCTGGCCGCAAACGTTGGCCTTGCAGCCGCAAGAGAAGAACAGGTGTTTATGGGTGAACCAGGCTAAAATCATAAAACAGCTAATATTTCTTGAGCACTTACTAAGAGCGGGGCCTGGAGCTACATGTTTTACACTTTTAACTCCCCGAATATCTCGAGAATCTGATGAGTACATATTATTAGCGTCCTCCTTTGACAGATGAGGAGACCAAGGCACAGAGAGGTTGGGGAGCGTGCCAGAGGTCACACAGTTGGTCAGTGGCAGAGCCAGGTTTTGAATATCATCCCCTGGGTCCAGGCCGGTACTTGTCACCATCACACCAAATAGGCCCGATCTTCTCCCAGGCACGGATGGGGCTTGGTATTCATTTGTATTTCCAGACTCTTCATATTAACCACATAAAGCTCTGGGGGCCAAGACCTGTAGTTTGGGAGTCGTGGTATGGCTGGAAAAGCATGCACTTGAAGTCTGGTTGACCTGTGTTTGGATCCTGGCTTCTCTTTATCAAGTGACCTTGAGAGAGTCACTTTTCCTCTCTACACCTTTGTTTCCCTGTCTACAAAATGGGGCTGATCCTGTCACAGTATCACAGGTTGTCGAGGGATTTTGAAGGCGATGAACCTTGAGAGTGGAGTGTACCAGGTTCACATCCAGCTTTCCTTGCTATGTTGACCTTGGCCTCGCTGCTACTTCTCTGAGCCTCAGTTCCCTCTTCTGTGAAATGGGAATGCTAGTCCCTGTCCTGCCTCTTGGAGTGGGTTGGAGAGTGGCTTGAGGGCAGGAGGGATGGGGTGGAATGTCTGGGGTGTGTTTGGGGGGTTGGGGCAGTGTGTGGGGTGGGGGACAGCGTTCATCTGGTTACTTGCCCTTGCCTGCTGCTGCCCCACCCTCTCTGCCTTGCATCTACCCTCACACCTCTGTCCCCTTAGGCTCCGAGGCTGCAGCCGCAGGGCTCTGTGCTGGCCAGTGCATCCTCAAGGTCAATGGCAACAACGTGGTGAGCGATGGTGCACAGGAGGTCCTAGAGCACTTCCAGGCATTCCGGAACCACCAAGAAGAGGCCCTGGTGAGCCAGCCAGCAGCTGAGGGGATCGGGGGAGCCCTGCTCTGTGGGACAGGGGGCTGAGGGCCACCTCCTTCCTTGCAGAGAAGCCCGAACGCACCACAGCGTTTGGGGCGGGTTGGGTGGGGCTGCCTACTGTGCAGGGCTGAGCTGGGCTCGGGGTCTTGCCCACGCTGTCTCCCTGAGCTGGAGGAGCTGGGCCGTGATACCTCACAGTCTTGATGGTCACAACTGTGACATGGGTGTGATAAGACCCTCCTCTCTTACCGCATAGGCACATTGGGCAGAGAGTTGATCGTAGAAGTTGATGTTCTAGTTGGGGTGGGGGCCAGGGTCCTGGGGAGAGTAGTAGGCCTTCACTGGTACATCTAGTAAGCGTTAATTGAACACCTGCTATGTGCCTGGCATGTCTGTGGGCCCTGGGGCTGTGGGAGAGATGGGGGTCTGCTACCATGGGTCTGACCTCTGTTTTCAGAGGCTCCCCTTGCCCCGGCTTCTCTGTGGAGCATAGAGTCTAGAGGGTGAGGGCTGAGCATGACTGGAGGTCCCTCAGGAGCGTTCCAGAGCGAAGTCTTGGAGGACTCCCAAAGGTGGTATCACCAGCAGGCTAGAAGCTCCTCCTGGGGCTCCTGGGGTCACAGCGTCCTCTTACTCTGCCCTTCTGGTAGGGTCTGTACCAGTGGGTCTACCACACCCATGAGGATGCCCAGGAGGCTCGAGCCAGCCAGGAGGCCCCCGGCGAGGACCCGCAGTCCGACTCAGGTAACGGGACAGGTGGGCCATGTGGCCAAGACTCCAGCGGGGACTGTCCTCTTCTGTGTCCATGCTTCCCCCTGCTCCTGGCCAGGCCATAGTGGTGCTGTCAGCAATGTCTTCCTGTCTGCTCGCCGCTGTAACACTGAGCCACACACACACATTCATAACCCCACAGCACTGGAGGCCAGACGTCGACACTGAGTCTTGCTGGGCCATCCGCCAGGTCTCCACGGAGCTCTGTTCCTTTCTGGGGCTTGAGGGGAGACGCCGTGTACTTGCCTGTTACAGCTTCTAGAAGCTGCCTGCATTCCTGGGCACATAGTCCCTTCTTCCATCTTTGGAGCTAGCGGCATTGGCCTGAGTCCCCCTCACACTGATCTCTGTCTAATTCTGACTCTCCTGCCTCACCTTCCCCGTGGAAGGACCATGTGGTCGCGTTGGGCTCATCTGGATAACCCAGGATAATCTCTTTAGTATAAAACCCGTCGTTTAATAAACTTAGTTCCATCTGCAACTATAATCTGCGCCCTGCTGCCATGGAACAGCATACTTACAGGGTCCAGGGCTTGGGGCACAGGTATCTGTCAGGAGCCAGTGTTCTGTCCACCACGAGCTCCCATCTTTATCCCTAGCCCAGCCTCAGCCCTGGGTTCCAGACCATCTTTCTACCTGCCAGCCCTGGGATGTCCATTAGGCACGGCACACTTAGCATGGCCCAAATTGAAATCCTAGCCTCCCCCTGAAACCCCGTCCTCCTCTAAGTGTCCCTGCTCCATCCTTCCCAGATTCTCAGGCCCCAAACCTCGGAATGTGTCTTGACTCTTCTCTCTCTCCTCTCGCCCTCCACCTTGATCCCAGCAGCACACCTGTTGCCCTGCCTTCCTCCTGCATCCAGAATCTGACCACTTCCCACCCCCTCCATCACTGCCTGGCCTAAGCCACCATCATTTCTTTCCTTTTTTTTTTTTTTTTTTAAAGATTTTATTTATTTATTTGACAGATCACAGTAGGCAGAGAGGCAGGCAGAGAGAGAGGGGGAAGTAGGCTCCCCACTGAGCAGAGAGCCCGTCGTGGGACTCGATCCCAGGACGCTGAGATCATGACCCAAGCCGAAGGCAGAGGCTTTAATCCACTGAGCCACCCAGGCACCCCGCCACCATCATTTCTTACCAGGACCCCTGCACTAGCCTGCTCACTGTTCTCCCTGTCCTGCCTTACTTCTTCTTCCTATAGGCTTTTCTCAAAAAACAGAACAGAATCTTCCAGTGGCTCCCACCCTACTCCAGGCAAAGACCCAGTCCTCTTCATGGTCTTCCAGCCCCAGCCGGGCTCTCCAGCCATACCTCCCAGCACTTTTTCTCTTGTGCTCTCTGCTCTATCCACTCCAGTCTCTTGCTCTCAAATACCAAGCATATTCCTGCACCAGGGCCTTTGCACTTGCAGTTCCACCTGCCTCAGATGCTCTCCTCCAGAGTACTTCTTACCTCATGCTCTTCATCTCACTCAGCTCTCTGTTCAAATGTCACCTCGTCAGGGAGGCCCCCTGAGCACCCTGGTTAAGCCCTTTCTTTTCCTCAGTGTCTCTTCATCCTATTTTATTTTCTTCACTGCAGGTATTGTTAACATATCATACAGCTGTTTGTCTTTTGTTTTCCCCACTAGTGCATAAAACCCAGGAGGGCAGGGTTTTGTTTGCTTTCTTCCTTGCTGGAACCTTGGAGCCCAGAACTGTGCCTGGCACATAGTAGGCACTCAGTGATTGTGTCATTTGAACAGTAGCCCGTTTTTGCCGATTGCTTCTCTGGATTCTGCCCTGTATTTCCACTGGGCTTGAGGTGGAGGCAGAGGCTGTGGGAAGAGTGGGGCTCTGGCTGCCTCTGCATCTGACATCTGTGGGCTCCTTACTGGTACATTCAGGATCAGTGAAGAATGGGGTTTAGGGCGTTGTTTGGGGAGCCATCCCCTTCCTGCTGAAGCACAGAGCCTGGCAGAGGGGTCCTGAAGGGGACAGGCTGATGCGGGGAGGAGAGGCTGAGCCTGTTTTATGCCCTCTGAGAGGCAAGGGCTGTGGGGCTTCTTCCCCAGCACAGGGGGGACCCCAATAATGACAGTCAAGTATGCTGAGAGGAGCTGGCTATTTCTAGTCTTCTGTTCAGCAAGGAGAAGCACCTGCTGTATGCCAGGCCCTGTTCTAGGAGCTGGGGGTCCATAAAAATATTGGTTTCTCTTTCACGTGCTTTGTTCTGCCAGTGGGTCTAGCGACTTAGAATCCGCAGTTGAAAAAGAGTCTATCTCCTCCTCGTAGATCCAACAGAAGTCCCAGACTTGACTCTCACTGGCCTGGCTCAGGTCACATGCTTGTTCCTTCAGTCTGGCTCCAAGGTGGACAGGGTTTCTGTCCTCGTGGCGCTGACACGAGGGGGAACAGACTGGGAACAGAAAAGCTGGCAGTCAGTGACACAGTATGGATCTGAGGGAGGACGGCCACCCTGGTGGGTGTGTTGAGAGGTGCTCTTTGGAGCAGGTATAAGGGAAAGCAGTTCAGTAAAGTGCCCGCTTCATTTTCTAGCTATGTCACTACCAAGCTTGTGGCCTCTGAGGAATCACTTAGACTCTGTGGGCCCACGTTAATCAGGACTGAAACTGGGCTACATAAAAACAGTGGCTCAGCCAACTAAACATTGAGTAGGGTCAAGCCAGCTTCAGGTCTGGCTCCATCCAGTTCTACATACAGTCTCGGGAAAAGTCTCCCTTTTGGTCCAGTTCTTGCCTGTGCTCCTTCTGTGTGTTCTGCATGCGGTGGTTCCAGCGGCTTGGAATCCCACTGAAAAAGGGAATGTCCGGTTCTCTTTGTAGATCCAATGGAAGTCCCAGACTTGACTCTCATTGGCCTGGCTCGGGTCACATGCTTGTTCCTGAACCAGTTGCCATGACTGAAGGGTTTGGTTAGGGCTTCCTTCTTCTGAGCCACAGAGACTGGGAATGGGGCACAAAGGTGTATTCCTAGAAGGAAAATCGAGGACAAGGGGTAAGCGAGAGTGGGCTGGCCAGAATGGGCAGAGCTGTAGCACAGGCTTCTCCCCACATGTCCCACGTGAGCCACTGCCGTGCTGGGTTGCGGGGGCGGGCTGGCTGGGGGGTGGTGCCCCCTCCTCAGGGCTGTCTGTCCCTTTGGCTTCCAGCCTTCCCCCTGATGTCCCTGGGGCCCCAGCTGAGCCTGCATGAAGACAGCCCTGTGGTCACCTTGACCGTGGACAACGTACACTTGGAGCATGGCGTGGTGTATGAGTATGTCAGCACCGCAGGCGTCAAGTGCCACGTACTGGAGAAGATCGTGGAACCCCGTGGCTGCTTCGGCCTAGCTGCCAAGGTCTCGCTGGGCGCTGCCCTGCCCTGGGGGGTGGGGCACCTCATTCTCATTTCCTACAACTTAGCCTGGAGCCCTGATGTCTAGTTGCTGCCCCACCACTTGGCAGTTTTGGGATTTGGGAGAATTGCTTTTTCCCCCTTTCCTCTTTTCTCTTTAGCCTCAGCTTATTTATCGGCCGGTAGCAGATCCCATCTCACGGGGCTATTACAAGCCTACAGGGATCACCATAGAGAAACTGCTTAAGACCCTCCTTGGTGCACAGTGTGTGCTCAGTGGTGGTTCGTATTTCTGCAGATCCTCAAGGCCTTTGCTGCCGATGACAGTGTCTTTGTGCAAAACTGTGGGCGGCTCATGGCCCTGAACAACAACATCAAAACCATGTCCCACTACGAGTTCCGCAACATCTGTGACACCAAATTGGAGAGCATCGGCCAGAGGATTGCCTGCTACCAGGAGGTACTTGCACCCCAGAGGGTATCAGCCTGGGCTGTTTTGGTTGTCAATGTTAAAATTCAACCCAACATAGGTTAAACAAATAGGAGTATTTATTGGTTTATGTTACTAAAAAGTCCAGAGGTGAACTTCAGGCATGGTTGTATCCAGGTGCTCAGCTATCACACCATCACAAGAAGGTGGCCTCTCTCCTTCTCACGCTTTTGGGGAGAGATGGTTCCTCAAGGATAGCTCAGAGCAGCTGAGGTGAAGAAATGAATGTGGGTGGGTAGTTGGAGGCCTCAGATTTCCCCATACCTTCCTTGAAATCTGGATGCAGTGAAAGGCAAGTGTAGGGGAATTCACTTTTCCATTTGAAGCTATTGGCATTTTGTCTAGTTTTGGAATGTCTGGCCTAGACTAGGGTGAAGTGGGTGCTGGAAGTGGGCCGGAATTCCCAGACCCCTGAATCATGACCCATATTCCCCACCTTTCTCAGTTTGCAGCCCAGTTGAAGAGCAGGGTCAGCCCACCCTTCAAACAAGCATCCCCGGAACCCCATCCACTGTGTGGCCTGGACTTCTGCCCCACCAATTGCCACGTCAACCTCATGGAAGTGTCCTACCCCAAGACTACTCCCTCAGTTGGCAGGTCCTTCAGTATTCGTTTTGGTCGTAAACCCTCCCTCATCGGCCTTGACCCCGAGCAAGGTAACTGTGTGTGTCTGTTAGATGTTGTGTTCAGATCTGTGGAAACATGTCCAGAGACCAGTAGTCTAGGACTAGAATGGTGGCTCCCCAGTTAGCCATCAGGGATCCAGGTTCCTTCTAGCCCACCATCTCTAGAGGTGGCTTCCTTCCTGAAGGATGCCTTATGATGTAAAACGGCTGTTGGAGTACCAGCCATCATGTCTGTGTTCCAGTCAGGAAAAGTTTCATGGTGGTTAAAAGCATCTCAAACTGAAACTTTCCTCTCCAAGTTATCTAGTCAATTAAAAGAATATTTAATAGAAAGTTTTTCTCATTCATTGGGATCCATGGAATAGGTTTGTATATTTCTAAGGGGTTTATGGGTGTCTGGAGGCTGTTTCCAAACGAGCTCCCCCTCTCCCCCCGCTGTAGGCCACCTGAACCCCATGTCCTACACCCAGCACTGTATCACCACCATGGCTGCCCCATCCTGGAAGTGCCTGCCTGCTGCGGATGGGGACCTCCAACAGCAGGGCCTCAACGACAGCGGCTTTGGGTCTGCCAGTGAAACGGCTAGCCAGGAGGACCGGGGCCTGAGCTTCCTACTCAGACAGGAGGACCGTGAGATCCAGGGAGCCTACCGGCAGCTCTTCACCAAACTGGACGTGGCCTTGAAGGAGATGAAGCAGTATGTCACCCAGATCAACAGGTGCGCCCGGCCCCAGAGGGAACGGGGGAGGGAGTGGGAAGGTTGGCATTTGCCAGCCTCAGCAATGCCAATGTTTTGGGTAGAATAACCCTTTGTATTGGGGAGGGGGGCGCTGTGGGGTTACCTCATAGGTGACTTAGTGATGTCCCTGGTCTCTATCCTCGAGATGCTATGGCTCCCCTGGTCCAAGGTTGTGACAGCCGGAAATGTCCTCAGACATTGCCAGATGCTCCCTGCGGGGGGTGGTGGGGGGTGGGTGGAGCCCCCCCCCCCACCCGGATGGAGAACCACTGCTCTGATGAAATAATGGATGTGGGCAGCAGTCACTAGGAGATGCTGATGCTATTTGGAGAAATGTTTGGAGGGAACTTTCTTTGCAGAAGGAGAGACAGCTGGACTTGTCCTTCTTGGTGTCATGCCACAGGACACACAGTGGAAATGCGCGTCCTCCGGCCAGAGGCTGGGTCTAACTACTCAGCGACGGGATGTGGGGGATAGAGGATGCTGAAGTGGTACTCTGGGAAGGCAGGTGGCCAAATCCATAGGGTGGGTGATTCTAGAAGACAAGTGACCCAGTCTCTTTAACACACAAGTGGGGGTGGGTGGGGGGCAGCAGGTACAGGGAGGAAGAAGAGAGACTTGAGACACACATCAGCCACATACGACATCTGGACCTGGTCAAGATTGTGTTTTCAACACACCATCTGTGAAAAGACACCTTCAAGACTGTCAGGGACATTTGAATGTGGGTGGGCATACGAGATAGTATTGGGAATTACTGATTTTGTTAGGTGTGGTAATAGCAGTCTGGTTATGTTTGCAAGACGGTTTCTTGGCCTTGACACTACTGGTATTTCGGGCTGGGTCGTTCTCTTCTGTGGGGCCGTCCTGTGTGCTGTGAGACATTTAGTGGCCCTGTGGGCCTCTACTCACCAGAGCCCAGAAGTGCCCCCCTCCTCCCCCACGTCAGTTGTGACAAATAGAAACATATCTGGGCATTGCTAAATGTTTGCCTCGCAGGAAATGTGCTAAATTGCTAAACGTTTCTGGGGAGTGGGGGTGGGGTGACATGAAGAACGTTGCTTTAAAAGAAAGTCCTTACATGCTAGAGACGCACGTGGAAGTCGTTATGGGGGAAATTACATGATATCTTAGAATCATCTTAAGTACTCCAGCGGAGGTAAAAGCAGTGGGAACAAGTGAGGAGACAGAGGTGGGCCCTGAGTTGCCAGGGCTGCAGTGGCCTGCTGGGTCCCTGGGGCTTCTCATGCTGTTCCTTCTACTTTTGTGGGAGTTGGAAATTGTCCATGATAAAGGAAAAATAATGTAGGCTCTGGAGGCGAGAGTCGTGCGACTGAGGTGCTTTGCCTGTCTGAGCCTCACCTGCAGGGTGGGGCAAATGCCAACGCGGAGCCCACTGAGGGGAGGTGGGGTAGGTCAGCCGGGGTCCGATGGCCACCTGCAAGGCACCAGATGCTTTTCTGAACATTGTACGTTTTACATTTTAAGTCCCTTAATCTTTTTTTTTTTTTTTAAAGATTTTATTTCTTTGACAGACAGATCACAAGTAGGCAGAGAGGCAGGTGGTGGGGGTGGCGGGGTGGGGGGGATGCAGGCTCCCTGCCGAGCAGAGACCCCGATGCAGGGCTCAATGCGGGGCTCGATGCGGGGCTCGATCCCAGGACCCCGGGATGATGACCTGAGCCAAAGGCAGAGGCTTAACCCACTGAACCACCCAGGCGCCCCTTAGTCCCTTAATCTTGACAGCTGCCTAGGACACAGTTACTGGTATGACTCCATTTTGCAGCTGAAGAAACTGAGCCTCAGAGAGGTTAAATAGTTGCTTTAGGTCTCTAAGCTACGAAATGGTAGCATTGTGATTTGAATCTGGGCCCGTCTTAGAACCCTGTGCGCTTAACCATTGTATTCTGGGCCAGGGACTGACGAACTATGACCTGTGGCCCAAATCCAGCTCAGCCCACTGCTTGTTTTTTTTTTTTTTTTTAAATAAAGTTTTATTGGAACATAGCCATGCCCATTTGTTTATATCTTGTCTGTGATGCTTTCCCACCACAGCAGTAGCATGGAGGAGTTGAGTAGTAGCAGACTGCGAGGGCCTGCAAAGCTGAAGAGATTTGCTCTCTGGGCCTTTTATGTGGAGTTTCCAAGTTGTGTTCGGTGCTTTTGAGCCTCCTGTGGCTTCGCATGAAATAAACCTCCTGCCCCCTACGTCATGCCCTCTACGGGAGGGATGGTGTATGGGTATCTGCAGAGTTGCTGGCCGGATTTTCAGGGAAGGGATAGGAAGCAGTTGATGGCTCCCTGTGTTTTGGGTCAGAGGCCAGGCCCAAGGTTAGGGCCTTATCTGAGACCTTCCTGGAAGAGAATGAAGCTGGGGGGCCTGCGCCTTTAAGCTGACACTCTTTGGTCCCACAGGTTGCTATCCACCATCACGGAGCCCACCTCCGGTGGGTCCTGTGATCCCCCCTTGGCCGAGGAGGCTTCATCCCCCCCTCTGGTCAGTGACGAGAGCGAGATGGACAGGGCCGACCATGGGGGCATCAAGAAGGTGTGTTTCAAGGTGTCTGAGGAGGAACAGGAGGACTCGGGCCATGACACCATGAGCTACCGTGACTCCTACAGGTGAGGTCATCATGTGCGGATCATGTGGGGTTGGATGTGGATGGCCGGGGGAGAGTTGAGGACGCTGGTCCATTGGAAGTCAGAAGCAGTGGGACATTTCCTAGAAAACAGTGGGATGGAGCAGCGTTTTAAACAGTTGGTTCTGGGAGATTCTCTGAGCTCCCCAGAGCACATCCCAGATGCCCCCTTTGGCTCTCCTGCCCTGAGGCCAGCGTTGCAGGGCCTGGTCCCTTGTGGTCCCCTGTGGCCCCCATCTGCCTTTTTGGCCACAGTTCCGCTCTGCACTTGTTCATGGAATGTGGGCAAAGAAAAGGTCAAGGTCTGTGGTATGTTTTAAAACTCAACATAAGACATATGGTTCCTACAACGAACACCAGTTATTTTTACTTGATGCAGGGAGGAAAAGAGTGTTTTTCCCCCTTCTAACTCTGAGAGATTCTGAATTGTTTTCTTGCTGGTTATGTTAATTATAACCAGATCAGCAAAGTCCTAATTAGTGGGTTAAATAACACTAAAAACTCAGTTTCCCATCGTAAACTATATAGCGGGTAAATCGAATTTCTTGCCTTGAGTAAACAAGCCTTGTGGTCTCCAGCGAAAGGTTATGTAATGTTCAACCATCGTAAATAAAATAGAATCTTACAGGGTGCGTCCGAAAACACAGAACTGGCCACATGGGACGAGAAAACCCTTCGCCCCAGTCCAGCCTTTTTCATTTTCTTTCTGTCTTCACGGGAGCCACTGGTCAGTGTTTCTGGCTTGGTGTTAACACATTGGGATGCTCTGGCTAACTGGGCGCTCTGTGTCCTTGGGGCCTCCTGTCCATAGTCTTGAGAGTTCCATTCTTACATTTTGGGGTCCTGCGATTTTTCCCTTAATTGTCAAAAAGGTGAAGGGAAGATCTGTGAGATTTGATCCCCTGTCCTTTCTGAGCTTACCCACCCGGACAGCCCTCCCTGTTTCTGCCACTGGGGGTCAAGGGGCCAGGAGAATGTGGGATCTGGGAGCTGGGACCCGAAGGTGTGCCCCGGAGGGTGACGCATCCCTTCCTCTCTGCCCCTTTGCAGCGAGTGTAACAGTAACCGGGACTCAGTCCTGTCCTACACCAGCGTGAGAAGTAACAGCTCCTACCTGGGCAGTGACGAGATGGGGTCTGGTGAGTGCAGTGGCTAGTGCTCCCGGAGAGCCGCCTCCCCGCACCGGGATTCTGTTTTGCTTATTTCGCTTTTATTCTATTACTTCGCGTAGAGTGGTGGCCTATTCCCTTTCAATCACGTAGTCAGAAGCTGTTTTTTGAGCACCCACTGTGTGCTGGGACCTCAGCCGTGTAGGGAAAGATGAAGGTCCTGGCGCTCGTGGAGCCCATGTTCTCCATGAACGTCACAGACCCAGAACAGTAGAGACATACGGGATGCGCTGACGGATGGGGGTGTTGGACAGTGATGTCACTCGAGTAGGGTGACCTGACGCTCTCTGTAAAAATGACGCATGCTCAAACCAACATTTCTGATGACCCAGAAAAGTGCAGAAGAAGTACACGAAAGTAAGTCAGAGTCTCACCCCGTCCCCCGGAAGTGACCGAGAGTGGTATTTGGAGATGACTGGTGAGCGCGAATTTCTGCACAGATGGATGTGTGGGTGGATGGCCAGCTGGACACACAGACAGAAACAATCGTTTATAAATGAGACTAGACTGCACTTGCAGCTTTCCCTGAAGGGCTGAAATTTGTTTTTATTTTAGTTTCATTGATTACGGCCTTTAAAAAAATCTGTTTTGTGCTTAGGTCATATATCCACACGGTTCCCATTTCAGAAGGCATGAGAGGGCGGGCGATGACAAGCCTCTTTCCCGCCCTGGTCACCCGGCCGCGGGTTCCCCAGCTCCCACTGTCCCTGCTGCCTTCTGGCCTCTTCCCGAGCTAGTCCATGCCTACAGATTTCATTGTAATTATACTTCAGTTCGACAGAAGAAAAAGAAGCTGGAGTATAATTGACGATATTGCTAAACTTCAGATAAATGTTTCATCACGTAAGATGTTTAGCCACATAAAGTGTCCCTGGGGAGGTTTTAGGCAGGAGCTTATGTGTGGGAGGTGATTAACTCAAACAGCTGGGAGATGAATCTGGAGACTTGACATCCAGCTCCTTTTTCTCTGGCCCTCTGGCTCCTCATTTGCAGAATGGAATAATGACAATGACTTGCCATTGTGTAATGCTTTAGTTCCTGGTGTCTGTTTTGCGGATGAAGAAATTGAGGCTCAGAGAGGGCAGGTGATCTGCCCAGTGTCACACAGCCAGGATCTGAGTCTGCCGACTCCAGATATGCCTGGGGTTTTGGAACTCTGTTGCTATACCGCCTTCTTGGCAAAGAGGTTGGGAAGTGTGGATGAATGGGACAGGGATAGTTGGTGGCCATGGCTTCTTCCTTCTTCCAGGGGATGAGCTGCCCTGTGACATGCGGATCCCGTCAGATAAGCAGGACAAGCTTCACGGTTGCCTGGAGCATCTCTTTAACCAGGTAGGACCTTTGTCCCCGCCCCCGGCCTGACCTCGGGGTCCTCCCATCACCCCTGGTGAGAACAGAAGAGCCAGGAGCTGGGGTAGGGGCTGTGGGTCACGTCCCCTGGAGGGCTGAAGGGGCCAGACTAACTCGGAGCTTCCTGCTGCCCAGGTGGACTCCATCCATGCACTTCTCAAGGGGCCAGTCATGAGCAGGGCTTTTGAAGAGACCAAGCATTTCCCCATGGACCACAGCCTGCAAGGTGAGCGGACAGGAGTCCCGAGGCTGGGAATGGCGTCTCGCCCCCGGCCCGGAGACAGCCTGCCATGGGGAATGCGTGCCGGATGGGGCAGGACACCTGGGTCATAATCCCAGCTTTGTCCCTCTCCTGCCCCCTGGCTGTGGGCTAGTCCTGGGGTCAGCAAGTTCAAATTCAGCTCCTGGGCGATATCCACCCATAGCTTGTTTTATTCTCAGGAGCTGAGACTGATTTTTTTTTTTTTTATGAAGAGTTGTAAAAATAAAGACAGAAACTATTTGTAACAGACCACATGCCTGCAGAGCCTAAAACAGTTCCTATGAGGCTCTTTCCAAAAAAGTTTGCAGACCCCTGGACTGGTCCTGAGCCTTTCTGGGGCCTTTGTGTGTTTGTAACATGAAGGGAAGGACCAGAGCAGCTTGCTAAATTCCCACATCCCCTCCTTCATCATTTTAGCTGCACTCACAGATCCTACCTACATCTTCATGTTTTTTAAAACCATATTCATTTGCTGTCTTTGTTAGCATTGACATAACTTTTCGTGAAAATATTTCCCTTTTAAAAATTTAATCTTGAAAAGAGCTTCTTTAACTTCCCCGTGTATGAAGAAAACCAGCATAACATACTATGAAGTCATGATTACCATGATGCTAAATCCACTGGAAGCATCAACAAAAAAAGGTCATTATACTGTCATTAGGTATGCCGTGGCCCGCCCAGAGCTCTTCGTGCTTTCCTGAGAGGGATCAGTGAGTTAAAGAAGCATTAAGGATTTACTGGAACCAAATCGACACTTTATTCTTGAGAATAAAGAATAAATGATTGAGAGAGAGAGAATTGACATTTGTGTCCTCCCACCAGCCTTTTCTCCCATTTGCCCAACCACCTATCATCTGTGTACTTGCCCACCCACTCGTCCACATACCATACATCAACCACCCATCCACTGTCCATCCATCCACTGACTCATCAACATGCCCCCATCGACCCACGCATCCACCCACCATCCATCCACCTACCCACCATCCACCCACTCGTACTTTCTTATCCACATACTAACCCACCCACTTACCACCTATCCACTGTCCCTTCATTCATCCGTCCATCCACTGACTTATCTGCATGCCCGCCCAACCACCCACGCACCCACCCACCATCCATCTACCAACTCATCCATGTGCCTATCCACCCACTCGAGCGCCATGCGTCCATCCATCTACCTACCTGTATACACACCCACCCACCCACCACTCATCCACATGCCTACCCATCACCCACCACCCATCCACTGTCCATCCATCCATCTGTCCATCCACCTACTCATTCACATGCCCACCTGCCTACCATCTACCCATCCATCCGTCCACCCACTTGTCTACACGCCCACCCACCCCCACCCATCCACTGTCCATCCATCCATCCATCCATCCACCCACTCATCCACACACCCACTCACCAACCCACAATCCATCCATCCATCCATCCATGCATCTATCCATCCATTAATTCCCAGGAACCAGCTCATGCCAGGCCTTGTGCTGGGTGCTTGGGACCCTGAGATGGATGTGATACTGCCCTGACCTCAAGGAGCTCTTGGTTGAGTGCAAGAGTTGCTCCTTAAATAAGGGTGGGAAGTGGTGAGGCGTGGGAGTGTTGTGGATCCTCTTTCCCTCCTGTTGTCTCATGATCATCTCTCCCAGGGATGGGCCTCAACAAGGAGAAATGTCAAACTCAGAAAAACCACAGATATCTCAGAAACCTGAGACCTCATAGGAAGAAAGAGGAAAAGGATAGGGGCCTGGCCTTTGAATGGTCCTGCTGGGGCCAGGTTCAAATCCCATCTCTGTCATTACCAAGCTGTGTGATTTTAGGCAAGTTTCTGTGCCAAGAATTCCCTCTCTATATAGGGAAAATGTTATAACTCATGTGCTAGCTTGATTGTGGCTATGAGGAGGTAGTACCTGAGAATTTTTCCATGACCATGTCCGGGCTTGGGAGAAAAGTATGCGGTGATTGATTTGTGATGTCTGCATTGGATTGGTTATAACTGTGAGAAGCTGCAGGCTCAGACTAGAGGGAAGGAATGTGGAGATTGATTAGTGATGTCTGCCACGAGTGCGGTACTATAAATCAGTAGCGTACTTCCCATAGATTTGCCCCCCATGGACCAGTTAATTCTAAGGAGTCCTGCCAGAATCCTTTTTTTTTTTTTTTGAGATATTCATTTATTTGACAGAGAGAGATCACAAGTAGGCAGAGAGGCAGGCAGAGAGAGGGGTGGGGAAGCAGGCTCCCTGCTGAGCAGTGAGCCTGATGCAGGGCTCTATCCCAGGACCCTGAGATCATGACCTGAGCCAAAGGCAGAGGCTTAACCCACTGAGCCACCCAGGCACCCCCTGCCAGTATCCTTGATCTAGGATCCTGAGCTTTGGAATCTGGTGATGGGCTAGAGGCATTTGTGCCATCATTCTTCAAAGCTACCTCTGTCACTTTCCTGCCCCAGAGTTCAAACAGAAAGAAGAGTGTACAGTCCGTGGCCGTAGCTTGATCCAGATCAGCATCCAGGAGGACCCTTGGAACCTTCCCAACTCCATAAAGACCCTCGTGGACAACATTCAGAGATACGTGGAAGGTGAGTTGGTCAGGGAAGGATGTTTTGTGGCCTTCGGTTCTTAATGTGGGATGTAGAAAGATCAGGAATGGGTCTGTCTCATGTCCCATGTCTGTCCATGCCCAGGGGAACAAGGAGAGCGGGTGCCCCTTTCTCAGCTGAGTGTCCTGCCCTGGGCATGGCCCTGGGCCTTGTATGACCTGGGGACTGCTGGGGCTTCCTTGCGGGCAGGAGGCTGAGAAGGCTGAACTGGTTTTTTCTTCTCTGGCTCCGAAATGATGGATTTAATTCAATTCCTTTTATTTGTTGTTAAGGTCACAAGCTGGGGGCCCACAGGTAGGTTTGGATACTGTAGCATTAGATGTGAATCCACTGCCAGTACTTATAATCCAAGAAATCACATAAAAATCTAGATATCTAGGGGTGCCTGGGTGACTTAGTCAGTTAAGCATCTGGCTCTTGGCTTCGGCTCAGGTCGTGATCTCAGGGTCATGAGATTGAGTCCTGCATAGGGCTCCCTGCTGAGCATGGAGCCTGCTTGGGATTCTCACTCTCCCCGCCCCCAACCACTCACATGCTCTCTCTCTCTTTCAAAAAAAAAAAAAAAAATGTAGCTTTCCGACTGCTCTCGAACAGTCAGAAGATCTGGCAGGTAATAGGCCTGTAGTCCCACATTCACATTCAGCTAGAGACGGGGGCCGAGGGTGCCGTCCGGATCCTCCCACTCCCCGGTCCTTCCTGCCGCCTGCTGTGTGCTCAGACTTCTGATTTGACCTCTCGGGTCCTTGGTGGTATTTGAGCCTGGGCCTCCTGGGTTGGAGAAACCCCAGGCCAGCAGGACGTGTGCTAGGCCTCATGGCCGCCTGCCCCGGGAAGAGCAGCCTCTGAGTTGGAAGTCTGCGTTCGCCCCCAGCTGTCCCGTTTTCCAAACTATAGTCAGTTGAGAGCACAGATTCTGCAGCCGGATCGCCGAGTCTCCGCTCTCCACGCCGGGCTGCTTGGTTTCGGCAGGTTCTTTGATCTCTCTCTGCCTCTGCGCCTTCACGTGTAAAATGGGCTCATCCCACCGCCTCGCTCCCATGTGCCACGACAGTGTGGCACACGGGAAGCCGCCAGGAAGTGGGTGCCCCGCGGTAGTAACAGTGGCTGTTACTCCCACGCCAGCCTGTGCCTCGGGTCTCTCCAGGACAGCAAGGCTCCAAGAAGCTGACTCCGAAGGCCTTAGTTTCCTCGTGAGCCCCTTCTGGGCCCAAGAGCCTCTTTCTGCAGGAAAGAGAGGATGTGAGGCCGGTCTCTGGAAGGTCTGGGCTTTGTCCATGCGTGTGCCAGGCCGTGGCTGTGTGGGATGTGTACAAGGACCCGAGGACACGCCTGTGCATATGTCCACGTGCGAGTGTGCACCCACGTGAGTGTGCGCCCACACCTGGGCTCTGGCCCACAAGTCGGAGGGGCCGGCTTCAGTCTCTTTTTGGTGGGCACATGGAAACAGATGTGGCTAGCACTTGGGGTTCCGTTGCCTGGACGTCTGGGGTTCCTAGAACTCATCCGGTATTCAGCGGAAGCTTCCTTAGCACAGCAGGTGTGTGCTGGGGGAAGGGGGCGCTTTGCTGTGGGGGGTTCCGAGCACCTGGGCCATGGGGAGCGCCCAGCTACATGGTACCTTTTTTTTTTTTTTTTTTTAAAGATTCTTTTTATTTATTAGAGACAGAGAGAGATCATAGCTGGGGAGGAGGGGCAGAGAGAGAAGCAGACTCTCCACTGAGCAGGGAGCCTGACATGGGGCTGGATCCCAGGACCCCAAGATCATGACCTGAGCCGAAGGCTGATGCTCAACCGACTGAGCCCCCCAGGAGCTCCTGCATTGCACCTTCTGCTGACTTCTCTCAGCCTGTCTTTTTTCTGCCTTCTCCTTCCAGATGGGAAGAACCAGCTGCTTCTGGCCTTGCTGAAATGCACAGGTGAGGCCTTTGACGGGGCAGTATCTGTGATTGGCACATACCAGTGTGTCCAGGAGAGGCTGTCCTGGCTGGGGCTTTCTTGATTGCAGTCCAGGGAGACCTCTTCTGCCGGCCAAGGTCAACTTTCCCATGGTCATTGGGGCCCGCATCACGGCCTCTGGACCCTCTAAGAACCGTTTAGACCTCATTTCTTCCTCTTGTCTCCAGGGACAAGTCTCAGGGCCCTGGTGCCAGGAGCCCTGGCTCTTGCCATCTCCTGGGCCTGGGTGGATCTTGATGGAGGCTCAGGATAGAGGGTGATGAGGAGGGAGGCTCCTTGCCTGTGGTGTCCTCAGCTCCAGCCTGGGACTCCCTGCCCAGCAGACAGGGGGAAGAAGAAAGGGCCGATGGTGGGCTGGAGGAGGGGAGGGGTGGTTGGAGGTGTTCTCTGTCCCTCCCTCCTTTCCTCAGCCAGGGGGCAGCTAAAATAGGATCTAGTTCAAAATCAGACACTGAAAACCAGTTGGCAGAAGCCAGTATCAAAAGTAATCTTTCCCAGAAGATTGGGACCGTGTACAATGGATTGATTGAAATTGGCCAGTTCTGCAAACCACGTCTAAAGCAGGGCTGGGGAAATTGGTGGGGTGTGGGGGGTGGCAGGGGGCAGAAGGACGAAGGTCGACTTCTCAGAAACAGAGAAAATGGTAGAGTGCGTGGAGCTTGGCAGACATGCTTGGTGTCCTTGTCATCCCCCATCAAGGCCAAGAAATCCCGTAACCCGTGGAGGAACAGCTGAGGGGAAGGGTGTTTGGGAAAGCCTTAGGAGAATGAAAAAGTTTTTGTTGTTGTTTTTTGAATAGGCAGATGGATCATTGAGAGAATTAAGTCTGTTGGCAAATTGGCTTGTTTTCAGAGAATTGGATTTTGTGAACTTGGCTTTGCTTGGCTGGGCTTAATTAACGTCTGGCCAGCCGGCCTCCGAGGGTCTGGTGGGAGGTTGGTTTTGGGGGCCCCGGGCTTTGGGGTCTCCGGGCTTTGGGACGGGGGAGCCCGTGGCTGGCACCAGAGCGCCCAGCCCAGCAGGGCCTGTCCCCGGCCTCCCTCCAGACACCGAGCTGCAGCTGCGGCGGGACGCCGTCTTCTGCCAGGCCCTGGTGGCCGCCGTGTGCACCTTCTCCGAGCAGCTGCTGGCGGCCCTCAGCTTCCGCTACAACAACAACGGCGAGTACGAGGACAGCAGCCGGGATGCCAGCCGCAAGTGGCTGGAGCAGGTGGCGGCCACCGGCATCCTTCTGCACTGCCAGTCCCTGCTGTCGCCAGCTGCCGTGGTGAGTGAGGTGGCCAGGAGGCGCCTCCCCGGGACAGGGTACGGGACGGCCCGTGGTTGCTCGCTCAGGCTCACACACACCTCGTCATTCAGTCAGCATTTATTGAGCACTGACTGTATGCCATCATTACAGGCACGGGGATCCCATGGTGAACAGAACAGTGTCCTTGTAGTCAGGAATCTTCTATCTGTGTGTGTGTGTGTGTGTGTAGGGGGAGGGACAGGTGTAAATAAGGAAAATCGATGGTATAGACCAGTGGTTCTCTGCCAGGGCAGTTTTATCTCTGAGGAGACACGTCATGATGTCTGGATGTATTTGAGATGGTCACAGCTGAGGGCAGAGGTGGATGCTTCTGGTGGTCGGTGTATGAGATTGAGGTTGCTGCTAACATTCTACAAGGTCCAGGGTGCCCTTCCCCAACAGATCATTCTCTGGCCCCAAATGTCAACAGGGCCCCTTTTGAGGAACCTTCATAAATAGTGAGGAAGGCTAAGGAGAGAAAGGCTAAGGAGGGAAGCAGGTGGGAGTGTCTAAGGTGGCAGCCATTGAAAGTTTTGATAAGGTGGCCAACGAAGCCCTCACTGAGAAGTTGACATCTGACTGAAGAACGAAGCAAGGGAGGGAGGGAGACATGAGGATATTGGGGAGGAACTTCCAGGCAGAAAGCACAGCAGGTGCAAAGGCTCTGAGGCAGGAGCCTGCATGTCTGAGAAACAAGGTGCCCCATGTGGCTGGAGCAGAGTGAACCAGGGGAGGGTGGGGGAGGTGAGTCCTAATAAGAATTCTCTGCCTCACATTGTGCAGGGTCTTGCAGGCTGTGGTAGGGGCGTTGGCTGTTACTCTGTGTGGTGGTAAGCCCTGGGAGGGTTTAGAGTAGAGGAGGGAACAGGGTCTGACTTCTCCACTGAACCAGTCATCCGTGTTGCTGGGTGGGGATGAGACTACTGAAGAGCAAGAGGGCGCTGGGAGGTTGGAGAGCAGACTTCGGCAGTAATCAGGCAAATAGCATCTCATTTAATCCTCGCAGTAGCCCTGAGATGGGTCCTTTCCAGCCCACATTTTAAAGATGAGAACCCTGAGGCCCAGGGACGCAGGTTGGAACCCTGGGAGTCTGACTCTCCCTGGGTAACCCGTGGGTGCCCTGCTTTCTCTGCACCTCCTCTTTTATCTCTGACTGCCCTGTCCATCCACTCTCAGGGCTCAGAATCGGGTGGGTTCCTCTGTCAGCCCCAGGGAGGCAGAGCCAAGGCCACAGCTGTTGTGGGCACTGGTGCCCAGAGCTGACGTCCCCCAGAAGTGCAGCACACAGTGGACCTTGCTCTATGCTCTTTGCTCGTCCATATCCACCCCGTGTGCCTGTTGCTGGAGCTCCCCCCACATCTGCAGCTCCAAGCCTCCTAGACATTGTCCCAGGCCAAGCTGGAAGCCCCAGGCTGCTGGCCAGATGGGGAAGTGTGGCCGTGGCGCGCCCTCTGCTGGCCAGTGTTGTCTGTGGCTGTCTGCCAGGCGGGAGATCTGCGCTCATTTGGTTTCTGGGAAAACCGGAATAGGGCGTGGGGCCTGGTGCATCATTTTATCAGCTGCCACGGTGTGCCAGGTTTTGAGCTGGGAGCTGTGGGTCTGAAGCTCACTTTCTAGCAGGGGTTGGGAGTGGGGAGAAGAAGCGGCCTGAGCACAGGGGATAGGGGAAGGAGTGGGGATGGAAAGAAGGGGAGTTCTGCAGAAGATGGAATGGGGCTGAGTTTCTTCGGGTTCAGTGGTCAGAGCCCGCTTCTCTGAGGAGGGGACATTTGAACTAAAACCTGGGTAGCACACAGCTGGTGTGGTGAATGGTCTGAGGAAGAGTGTGCTGGGCAGAGGGAACAGCATGTGCAAAGGCTCTGAGCAGAGGCCAGTATGGCCAGAGGCTAGCAGGCTGGGGGGATTTAGGGGATCAGGTTAGCCACGTCTGTAGGGATTGGGACTGTTCTAGAAACAGAGGGAGGACTCAGAGGCTTTGAGGCAGGTGGGAGATAGAGTTCAAATTAAGTTTTTGGAAGATAACTCGTAGTCACAGGGGAACCTAGGCCTGGTAAACCCTCAGCTTCCCTGCTCTTCCTGCATCTCCAGGGTTGTCCCTGTCTGCCCTTTGCTCAGGGCAAGGGTGGCAGAAGGAGACCCGCAGAGAGGCAGGTGTGGTCCTTATAGTTGGGGAGCTGAGGAGGGTGGGGGAAGTGGGTGGGTCAGGGGAAGGTTTTGGTGGCTGGGCCAGCAGGACCTGGTGATGGTCTGTACAAGGTGAGGGGACGGAGATGCTGAGGAGTCCTTAAAGGTTTAGGTCTTGGGCACCTGGGCCAGTGCAGGTGCGCTTTGCTGCTGGAGGTGGGTGAGAGGGGAAATGGGGACTTTTGTTGGGCGTGTTAGGTTTGAAATGGCTAAGAAGGGTCATTGCACATTGGAACAGAGATGGGTTCTGACCTTGGGAGGCACAACATGATCCAGGAGCAAATGTGATTTCCCATCCAGCCCCGGATAGCCCAGCATAGGACCTTGTGCCTGGTAGGCCCACAGCCTGGTGTGTTACCTGGGGTCGAATCACAGCATCTTTAAGTGAAATCCCCGGGTAGGGATGGCATTTGAGACTCTTCCACCCTGTCTCCCTCCTGCAGAAGGAGGAACGGACCATGCTGGAGGACATCTGGGTGACCCTGTCAGAGCTGGACAATGTCACCTTTTCCTTTAAGCAGCTGGATGAGAACTACGTGGCCAGTGAGTGATTCTTACCACCCCGGTCATGAGAGGTGGTGTTCTGGGATGGAGGGGACTTGCTTTGGGGCCACCCTGCCACCAGGGTGTCCAAGGTTAAATTGGGATCTAGCACTTTCAGACCTCTTGCTCCCAACATGAGTCTCAAGGCTGAACCTTGGAGCAAGTATGGAAAAGAGGGATTTTTTTTTGTATAAACCCAGCCATCTCCAACAACTCTTAGAAGGCAATAAGAGCCAATACCCAATTCTTACTAAAATTCTACGAGAAGCTCTTCTTTGGAGTGAAGACTTGAGAAGACTTCCTAAGGGTTTATACCATAATTTTCTTCCTTTCCCCCTCCCTCCCCTCCCACCTACTCTTTCACCTATCCAACCCCCCATCCATCCATCGTCCATTCCTCCATTTGTCCATCCATCCCGTCTCCTTATCTATTCATCCATCCATCCATCCGTTCATCTCCTCTACTTCTCCATCTATCCATCCGTCTATCTGTCTATCCACCCATCCATCCATCCATCCACCCACCTGTCCACCAATCCATCTGTTCTGCCCGTCTGCCCATCCGTCCGTCCATCCATCCATCCCATCTACCTACCCATCCACCCACTTGTCCATCCATCCATCCGTCCCATTCACCTGTCCATCTATCTGTCTGTCCATCCATCCATCCATCCATCCCATCTACCTATCCACCCACCCACCTGTCCACTAGTCCATCCGTCCATCCATCCATCCATCCATCCGTCCGACCGTCCTTGCATCCATCCATCCCATCTACTTACCCATCCATTCATCCATCCATCCATCCATGAACCAATGTCTACCTCCTTGGGGGTAATATCATCCGTTCAGAAGGCACTGACTACAGTCTAGAGGGACAACAGGTGTGTTCTCGGGTACCAGCTGGACCCGGCCGGCAGCGGCTGCCTGGCTGTAGACAGATTTGGGCTCTGGGGCACTGGTTAGTGGTTTTTGCTGTGGGTGCAGGATGGGGCGTGCGTGCCACAATTCCGCCACCCCTGCCGCAGGCTCTCCCTTACGGCTGTAAATAAGCTGCGGGTCCTATTCGAGGACAGATTTTGCTGGGTAGAGGCCCTGGGCTACCAGGTGAGGGGTACAAGGAACGTGGCAATGCTCTGAAGCCATGACTGCCCAGTGGGGCAGAATCAGCGCCGGGTCCAAGAACGAAGTAGTGGAAACTAGGACCTACGGAAGGAGGTGAAAAGTTAGAGGCTGCCCTGAGTGCGGGAGGACGGGGCTGTCCGAGGCTAGCCCTGGCGGGTGGGAGGACGGGGCTGTCCGAGGCTAGCCCTGGCGGGCAGGAGGACGGGGGTGGCTGACCAGTGCTCTGGGGTGGGCGGACAGGGAATTCCTGGGATGCATCTCGGAAGGTAGGAGGGGATTCTGAGGCTGCTCCTTTGAGGGGGTGAGAACAGGGAGGCCCCGGGACGCCATCTGGGGGTCAGAAGGCAGGGGGAAGCTGCCCGGGTGACGGGGGGCAGGGCTCCCTTCTGGCCTAGGTGGTGAGCCCCCCTCCCTGCCGTGTCCTCCCGCAGACACCAGCGTCGTCTACCATGTTGAGGGCAGTCGGCAGGCGCTGAAGGTCGTCTTCTACCTCGACAGCTACCACTTCTCCAAGCTGCCCTCCCGCCTGGAGGGCGGAGCCAGCCTGAGGCTGCACACCGTGCTCTTCACCAGAGGTGAGCTGGGCGGTGCCCAGTGGGGCCCACCGGGATGGCCAAGGCCTCTGAGCACACTGGGACCCAAACACCTGCCCTCCCACTTCTTCTCTCACAGCGCTGGAGAATGTGGAGGGCCCGCCTCCTCCAGGCAGCCAGGCTGCGGAAGAGTTGCAGCAGGAGATCAACGCCCAGTCTCTGGAGAAGGTTCAGCAGTATTACCGCAAACTCAGGTAGCTGCCTGGGCTACGTGTTGGGGACGGGAGTGTGGACACGGCCATGGCAGGGCGGACGTTAGCATGTGTGGGAGTGGCCTTTCCTTAAGCACCTGCTCTGTGCCAGCCCCTCTGTGTACACGGCCTCTTCACATCCTTCCAGTGGTCACAGGAGGCCATTCTGACCCACTTGACAGATGAGAAAACTGAGGCCCCGAGGGCATACCCAGCTGGCCCAGGGTCCCACAGGGAGACGGTGGCTGAGCTGAGCTTTGAACTGGCTCTGTTTGGCTCCAAAGCAGATTTTTCTAATTGAGAGGAGCTGCCTGTTTGGTTCAGTGTGGGGGAGGGACCTGGGGGAGGGGTCCTGGGATTCTTGATCCTGGGGGGTAAGGGAGGAACGGGGGGTGGTTCCCAGGGCCTTGGCCTTGCTCAGAAGAGGACTTCCAGAGAGAAGTGGAGAGCAGGGACCACCTCTGCCAGAAGGAAGCTTCAGGCCCAGGAAGGCAGCTCCCACTCCCCGCCCTCAGCCCAGCTCCTTCCTACCCCTGCCCCACCTTCTTGCCCTGTGAAGAAGGGAGGCTGCAACTCAGATCAGGGTTTCGGGGTGTATAAGGGCTTTACTGTTTTGGGGGCCTGGCTTTACCATTTGGAAATGGGAGAATGGTGCCTTCATTAGTTTGGAAAATATTCATTATTTGGAAAATATCCAAATATTTTGGATATTTTGGAAAATATCCAGCTGTATTTTTAAAACTGGTGTCTCCCTGAATTGATCAATGCCATCAATCCGTCCTGTGCCCTTTGTGGAATGTTTTAATTTTTTTAAAAAGATTTTATTTATTTATGGCAGAGAGATAGTGAAAGAGGGAACATAAGCAGGGGAAAGCAGCAGGCAGAGGGAGAAGCAGATATCCTGCTGAGCAGGGAGCCCGATATGGAACTCGATCCCAGGACATTGGGATCATGACCTGAGCTGAAGGCAGATGCTTAACGACTGAGCCACCCAGGCGCCCCAATTGTGGAATATTTTAAATGTTGCCTCTGAGAGCGTTCCCTCATCCATCCTTCTTTGTTCAGCACATGCTAAATGAGAGCTTTTGTGGGCCAGGCTCTGTTCTGGATGCTTGCTCCAGAGTCAGCAGTGGCCAAGCAGAGCCTCTCTTTCGTGGGATGCAGATCCAGAGTGGCAGGTGCCCTGCTTTGTCAATAAAGTTTTATTAGCACTGAGCCATGTTTGCTTGCATATGTACCGATAGCAGCAGCTGAGAGCATCTTGATAGAGACTGTCTGGTCCATTAAATATTTACTGTTCTACCCTTTACAGAAAAAATTGAGCTGAGCCCTATTTTCAGAGGAGGGGAATGAGCAATAAGCCAGTAGACAAAGAGCACTGTAACGTGTCCAGTGGTGACAAGTGCTCAGAGGAAAGATCCACTAGGACAAGGGGACAGACAGTGGGGAGGTTGGGTGCTGATTCTGATGACAGGCAGGGAGAGGTGGCATTTGAGGAGTGCCTAGAGGGTTACCCAGGAGTCCCCTTGTCCTCCCCCTCCCCCCTCCCACTGTTGGAGGACTAGGGACCCCCCCCCCACTGTTGGAGGCCTAGAGGATGCCTCCCCTCTTCCACTGTTGGAGGACTAAGGGAACCCCTCTGCCTCCCACTGTTGGAGGACCAGGGGACCCCCTCCCCCCCACTGTTGGAGGACCAGGGGACCCCCTTCCCCCTCCCGCTGTTGGGGGACTAGGGGCTGTGGACAGGGAGAGCAGTGCGAGGCGCCCTCAGGGAGAATCAGGAGGAGCAGAGGGCAGCAGCCACCACACCCTCACCCCGTCTTTCTCTTCCAGGGCATTTTACCTGGAACGGTCCAACCTGCCCACGGACGCCAGCACCACGGCGGTGAAGATAGACCAGGTGTGCCCCACCTTCCCTCCCCCCCGCCCGCCGCAGAGCTGGGGCAGAGCTGGTGGGTGTCGGGGTCCAGATGCAGCCAATGGGGCCCGGGGTCCCTCCCCAGCCGGAATCCTGGCAGAGAATTCCCTGAGGCCTGTGGAGTCCCTCCTCCAGGAATATCCCTCCTGGGAGAACCCCTTCTCCGTCAGGAATTCCAGCTTCTTCCCCACCGGCTTGGGAATTCCTGCCATGGTTTCCCCCCAGCCAGTGCCCACGCACCTGAGCCTTCCCGCTGCCCCCCATTCACCCAAGCCTACCTCCGAAGCGGCAGTCTACGCCAGATGTGGCCACAATGCTTTTCGTTTGATCGGGATTTGTTGCCAACATTCGAAAATCAAAAGGTTTCCAATGAAATGGGGGCTTCTCGCTTTTCTGGAGAAGCGGAGGGGTCTGGCTGTTTGGGGCCCTCGTCCCCATGTGGCGCAGGTGGCTTTCCAGGCGCGTGTGCTCCAGGCCTTCCATCCTTTCCCAGGCTCAGGCAGGTCTCGAATTTGACGGTGCTCTGGGGGTGCCGGCCTCGGGACTAGAGGCTGGGGCTCCCAGAGAAGCGGTGGGCACAGCCTCTGAAAGTTTGTAGTCTGCCTGACAGAATCATCAGATGACAAAGAACTGGCCGACCACCATGTAATGCCTGCACAGGGGATTGAGGAAAGCTGAAGGCCCGGGTTGGGGGTGGGTACAAGGTGGGTGGTTCTTCCTGGGAAAGTCCTGTTTGGAGAGGACAGCAGGGGACACCTCTCTCAGGCTTCACTGGGAGCACTCTGGGCAGGTAGAAGGTTAGGTCTGAAATGCGGTATAAACACCGGATACCAGCTTGCGGGCCAGTGGGGAGCCACAGATGGTCCTTGGGCGGGTGTCATGGAAGGTTGACTGGGCTGTAGCCCTGGGAGAGGTGAGCCAGGAGGACAGCTGCAACAACATGGCTGGATGGGGGAGGAAGGCCGGGTGGGGGTCTCTGCCAAACGTCCGGTGTGTGCGCGCCCCCCCTTGCAGCTGATACGCCCCATCAACGCCCTGGACGAGCTCTGCCGCCTCATGAAGTCCTTTGTCCACCCCAAGCCTGGTGCCAGCGGGAGCTTGGGCGCCGGCCTCATCCCCATCTCCTCTGAGCTCTGCTACCGCCTGGGCGCTTGCCAGATCGCCATGTGTGGCACGGGCATGCAGAGGTGAGCTGCTGTGACATCGGGCCAGGACGGGGCTGGACAGGGAGGCAGGAGTCTGGGTTTGAATCCTGGTTCTGGCACTGCCGGCTGAGCCCAGTCGCGGCCTTGGCCCTCCCTCGGCCTCCATTTGGGAAGTGGGACTGTGGGAGTAGGGGGTCCCAGGAGGCCCGTGGAACTGCCTGGCTCCCTGACTCTGGGGTTGATGTCAGTGAGAGTCTGTGCGGTGTGATTCTGCTTGACTCTCTGGTCAGCATGAGCTCACTCCTCTCCACTGGGGCAGGACTCCACTGGGGCCTCTGTGTCCCACTGGACACCCTCCCACTCTCTGCCCTTTGTCCCCGCTGCTGATCCCCTGGTGGAGGGTCAGCCTTCTCCGATTGGCCTTCCCTGACTTCCTGACTCAGCACCACACCCTCTCCGCACCCCACCGGGCTGCCCTACTCGTTTGCTTGGCAGCCACCCCGCCACCCGACACAGGAAGCGCTTGGCTCGTGTGTTCATTTATTCCCAGTAACCACCCCCAGTGTCGGCCAGCTCTGTGAGTCTAGGGACTCGCTCTCTTTCTCTGCCCTACCCTGGCACTGAACAACACTTGGCACACAGCAGGTGCTCAATAAATGCTTGTTGAGAATGCTTACTGTGCACAAGGCACCGTTGTTTAGGGATTGACTCAGCTCTTCATAGCAAGCCAGTCAGTGTGTGTGGGCTTTTCCAGGCACTTCCGTGCAGGGCCATTTTGGCCCCCCAGGGGACCCTGGGCAATGTCTGGAGGTATTTCTGATGGTCGCAATGAGGAAAGGAGGGCCGGCGCCTGTTGGCATCTAGTGGTCAGAGGCCAGAGATGCTGCTAGAACATCCTACCAAACACAGGACAGGCTCCCACCCTTCCCCTGCCCCAGTCAGTAGTGCTCTAGGAACGGTCTACCCCTGTCTCACGGTCAAGGATGACATCCCAAGGGTCACAGAGTCATTCTGTGGCTGAGACTTGAAACCAAGAGGTCTGGCTGCAGAGCCCATGTTCTAGAATTGTTAGAACAGATGGGAGGGTTGACTAGATGGGTCTGTGTCAAGCCTTGCCAGCAAGCTGGCAGGCATTAGGGCGGTCACTTCATTTATTCCTTCAGCAAAAATACTTACCCAGCACCTCTCCTGAGCTGTCCCACTGGGAATATCAGAACAAAACAGACGAAGGAAAGCTCCCGCCGCGTGGTGCTGACGTATCAGGGGGTGCCCAGAGTAAAGCTGTAAAATGCCTACTGTGTGCAGGGTGCTGGCTGGTGGGAGGAAGGACAGGCAGGTGTGGGGTGTAGACAAGAGGGAAAGGGGTGGTGCGGGGGGCTCTGAGGGAGAAGAAGCCGGGGATGGGGGCAGCACATCCAGCAGTTACCTGGGGGCAGGAGAGGCCGTTCTTGGGGCCTAGGGTGGGGGAGAGGGCAGGGCATGAGGCCCCCCCGCAACAGCAATGGTCCCTCCTGCCCTGCCCCTGCAGGAGCACCTTGAGTGTCTCCCTGGAGCAGGCAGCCATCTTGGCTCGGAGCCACGGGTTGCTGCCCAAGTGCATCATGCAGGCCACGGACATCATGCGGAAGCAGGTGAGGCAGCCCCCCTTCCAGGGACTCTCCAGGGCCTTGTGGGCTGGGGGCACAGGGGGTTCTGAGCTCCATGTGGGTGGTCTGGGTGGTCACCAGTCCCAGACTTGCACCTTCTCCTGATTTGCTGGGGTCCCGGGTTTCAGCTTCTGGGGCCTCTGGTTACTCCCCATGCCCCACCCACCTGCACCTACATGTTTGCCCTTGAACTCCGTATAGAAGCAGGTTCTGGGTCTCATGGTTCTTTCTCCCCAGGGCCCCAGGGTGGAGATTCTGGCCAAAAACCTCCGAGTCAAGGATCAGATGCCCCAGGGTGCACCGCGGTGAGTGGCTGCTCTCCCCCCCGAGCCCCGCAAAAGGCCAGGACCTGGGCTTGGTATGAAAGTCCTGGCCTCACGCCAGGCAGCCCCTGTGGTGTTCCTGTGGGGCTTCACCTCTCATTTATGGGGCCCACTGTGGGGAGTGACGAGTACCACTCCAGGCACCGTTCTTACTTCTTTACCAAACAACCCTGTGAGCCTTCTCTCCAGGTGGTGGTGGGGACACTGAGGCACAGAGAGGTTAAGTATCTTGTCCCAGGTCATACAGCTAGTAGATGGCAGAGCTGGGATCCTGGCAGACTGTGGAGCTCAGGGGCCGAGCTCCCGACCACTGGGCTGCCTTGCTTCTCTGTCCTGCCCCTGTCCCCGCGGCAGTCTCCTAGCTGGTCCCCCTGCCAGTCTTTTCCTGACAGCAGAGCTGCCAAGACTCTCCTGAGAACCATGAGTGGCTCCGTCTTCCTTGCAGATGAAGCTCAGAACCTTGCCACTGTAGATGTTAGGGAAACCCGGGCTGTCCGTGGGGTGCTGGAGAGGTCCCCAAGATCTCTGTTAAGTGAAAAAACTCCAGGGGCTGAGCACTGGGTCTGACCTGCCATTAAGTGTGGAAGACTGCAGCCCCCTGTCGTGTACCCATGCCCCCTCCCCCATGTATCTGAACGCCCAAACACACTCGTGCAGATGTGTCTGTGTTTGCAAACCCAGCGCCAGGCTGGAGCGGGCCAGACCGCCGGGGGAAGGTGTGCGCAGCCTGGATGCATTTCACATACATCTTCTTATACTTTTTTGGGTTTTGTTTTCTGGAGGGGGATTATGTGTTCAAAACAACGGCCTGCCCGGCTGTGCCTCATCCTCTTCCCCTCTGTCCGTCAGGCTCTACCGCCTCTGCCAGCCGCCGGTGGACGGAGACCTCTGAACAGGCTGATACAGCTGCCTGGTGCTCGGCTGCGCCCTCTGGAGCCGGGGCTTCAGAAGGCCCAGGGGGCCGCGCTGCCCTCCAGAGCTGGCCGAGGCTTCTTCCTGCTCTGGGACCCGCCAGCCTTCTCCATCTCCTCCTGTGGGGACAAGCGGTGCCCCCACTCTTGGAGGAGGCGGTCGACTGGCTCTGGGCCGGCCCATTCCCCGCGCTTCTGCCAGAAGCCCGAGGGGTGCTGGGGACCCACAGAGCTAGCTGATGGGTGCGGCCAGGACCTGGGCTCCTACCCACAAGTCCCCGAGACACAGGGGAGAAGTCATGGGCGCTGGAGCTGGAGGCCTGCGGACCCAGCTGCCTCAGGATGGCTCAACCTGCACTTTTGAAACCCCTGGTTTCCTTCTAAGTCCACATTCCAGGCGACACACATGTCTCCTCGTCTTCTCACCTTAGCTTCCCATTCACCCCTAACCCTGTACTAACCTGCTTGGTGGACTCGGGAAAGCCAGGCCTCTGCCGGGAAAGACCGAGGGACAGGGCACAGCCCCTGGCACCAAGAGGAAACTCGAAAGCCACACCAGCTTCCCACATGACCGCCATGGAACTCGAGCCATCAGCCCCGGGCACGAGATTTGCTCCGACTTTATTTATATGGCGTGAAATCTCTATGGTTTATTTTGGGGTTTTTATGTTGTTGGTGTTGTCGAGATTTTTTTTTCCCCTCACTCCGGGTTGTGTGATTATATATTTGACATTTTAAATTTCAAAGAAAGGTATATTGTCTAACGGGACCAACATAAGGTAGTGTTGACGACTTCCCACTTCTACTAAAAAAGAGAAAAACTAAATTATTGAAAATACAAAAAATGTATTTCATCTTTTTTTAATATTAGGGTCTTACAGTATCACTTATAGGTATTGACTACAATTCCTTTTCCCACCCACCTCCATTCCCCAGCAGTTGGTCAGTGTCCGCATGAATGACTTTGTTCTCTTTGGACTTCGGGCTGCGAGGATTGGAGCCTGGAGGGGGTTGAACCGCCCACCTGAGATGCTGTCCTGCACAGGTGTCTATCCTGCAGGGAGGAGGACCACTGGGAAACACGGGGTGGTGGCTTCTGTAACTTATTGTTTTGATGTTAGCCCAGTGCAGGGCATTTGGGACTTCTCAGCCGGCCAGAGAGACAGGAAGCCAGCCTGGTCACCACCTGGGCACGGGGACCCACACTGGGATCTCCTCAGCAGTTTGTCCCCTCTAGCTTCTGTGTGCCAGCAAGGAAGCATCCTAGCTGAGGTAGCAGGGGGAAGGGGAGGGTTTCTACACTTGTCTGGTGGCTGAGGTTGGGAATGGGTTCCCCACTGCCCTGGAGGCTTAAAGCCCCACCAGCATCTTGGCCCCTTGGGCCTCCCTCTCTTGCCACTGTGGCTTAGGTTGCAGGAGATGGTCTTGTTGCTGGACACAGGTGACACGGATACAAACGAAGACTTACTTTAGCTCACTGGTGGGAGATGGAGAGGAGCCCCCGAGAGCAAGGACCTTGTGCACTGGTTTACTTTAAAATGTACAGAGCTCATTAAATTCATGATAGATTTTTTTTATTATTATTAAAAGTCAGTTTATAATACAAAGATCCTGATCTGTGGAGGGTTCCTTTGGGGGCTGCCCGCGGTGGGCGGGGGTGGCCAGCGACACGGGTGCAGTGAGCGCCTGCTCTGAAGGCCGCAGGGGGACAGGGACGGTTCCCATCGATACTGTCCTAGTCCCTGAGCCAGCGACGCCCGCAGTGATGTCACCGCTTGGAACCTGCCTCTTCCTCCAAAATGGGGGCAGTATATGCGTCCTCCTGTAGGAGAAGATGGGTGAGGACTCCCTGAGGTCGCACCGTGGGCTCGTGGCTCTCGCGTGCGGGAAAAGAATGGTCTTAATATTGCGTTCTCCTTTGCACTCCTTTCTGAGCTCCCCTTTCACCGCAATGGTGGAACATGGGACTATTTTCCCAGGCATTCCTGGGCTGCTCCTGGGTGTCGTGCCAGCGGTCCCAGTCATACTTGTACCCAGGGGCCAGGGTAGGACAGAGCGATGCCACCGAACTACCCTCCGCTCCAGCCTGCAAGGCCCACCGGGGTCTGGGATGGGGCCGGAGAGGAGTTCCGCTCAGCACGTGGGCTGGTTCCCGGCCAATCAGAATGCAGGCTGCCGCAAGCGGGCCAATCAGAGTAGACGCGAGCGCAGACTCTGCGCAGGCGCACCTGGATCTGTCACCTGCCTGGGCCGGGGCAGCCTACCCAGCCAGAGAAATCTCATTCCCGGGGCCGGTTTGGAGCTGCAGCCCAGTCTCGCTGGGCTTGTTCTAGTCCTGCCTCTCTGCCTTCTTCCTACCTCCCCCCAACCCCCTTTCCTCTTCCCTCCTTCCTGTCTTTCCCTCTTCCCGCGCTCTGGAAGAGGCTGACATGGATGAAACCCCCTGGGGGTGCCCTCCTCCTGAAGCCTGCCACCCCTGGGAACGCCCTGAGCCGTGAGGTCTCCACCCAGTCCGGCGTTTCAGGCCAGCGCTCCTTCTTTTAGTTTCTTCTCCTTCCAAGCTAACCTGCCCCAGAGCGCCTTCTCTCAAGGGCCGCATTGGGTCCTTCCCAGGGAGAAGCCCTCGTGCCTTTCAGCGACAGGTTTCAAAGCCTCCATCCTGTAACAGTTAGGAATGGGTCCTAGTGGGATCTGAGGCACAGTGACGGGCTGATTGTTCGGAATTATCTGCGCCCGTGTTTGGATCCAGGGAAGAACCCTCTGAGGGGAGGGCTGGGACCTCAGTCTCTGTTTGGGGTCAACACGGGCGATTTGATGCCTTCTTCAGGCAGGCGCTTGTATTCTGCCTGTTCGATGCCCGGGGACCAGAACCGGGAGGAGCGAAATCTCAGGCAATGATAGGGACAGTTTTGGTTTGGAGCCGAGAGGTAGGGTCTCTGTGGCCTTGAGCAAGTCACATCCCTTCTCAGATACAGAGCTTTGTCTGCAAACTGTGTGTGTGGGGCGGGGGGTGTGTGCGGTGGGGGACAGGACCTGGTTTTGTCTCAGGAAGGCCTTTTTCTTTTCTTTCTTTCTTTCTTTCTCTCTCTCTTTTTTAAAAGATTTTATTTATTTGACAGAGAGAGAGACCACAAGTAGGCAGAGAGGCAGGCGGAGAGAGAGGAGAAAGCAGGCTCTCCGCTGAGCAGAGAGCTGGATGCGGAGCTCGATTCCAGGACCCCGGGATCATGACCTGAGCCGAAGGCAGAGGCTTTAACCCACTGAGCCACCCAGGTGCCCCAGAAAGGCCTTTTTCACTGTACAAAATGGAGCACCATGCACTGCCCAGAGCAAGGGGGCATTTTATGGGAGATCTCCAGCTGGTGGCCCGTGGGTTGAAACTTGGAAATAGACGTGGGTTTTGTTTTTGGGTTTTCATAATTTTGAATTAGACCCTTGAGAATCAGCAGATTTCATTTCCAAATTCTGATGTTTTGTTTCTTGTGAAAATTCAGAAGTTCTGGTCCCACTGGCCCACATCTCTGCCCGGCCATGTGTGGCGGTAGCTGAGGAGGGCCACTAACTTTGGGCAAGGTGCCAGCTCTCCCGTCCCCCGCAGCCCCACCTGGCCCAGCACATTCCTTTACCTGAACTTCTCGGCTCTGGGCTGGCCTTGCTCAGGCAAGCCTGGCCAGTGTCTGCCTCATAACTGTCCAGTTCCTCAGCTCTGGAGTCACCATGGTGATGTGGGCTGAGGAAGGACCAGGTGACTGGGGTGGGTGGGCCGGTCAATGGATCATCAAGGGGAGGGCAAAACCCTGTAGCTGACGAGTCTCTTGAACCTCCCAGCTGGCTTCCAGAATCCCTGTGAGCCTCAGTTTCTTCCAACTGTCAAATGGAATGGACTCTGAAATGGCCCCTTGGTGTGGCTGGTGTCAGGGACTACTCAGGGAGCCAAAGGTGGGATGGGCTGTGCTGGCCACTTTATGATTTTATCTAAATTTAAATGTCTGCATATTTCCCACATTCCTTTCCCACCTTTTCTTTCTCAAGAACAGGAGCCATATCCCTCCTGCATGCTGTGTCCCCAGTGTCCAGCCCAGTGCTGGGCATCAGTGAACCATGGCTAAATAAGAGAAGGATCACGACTGTCAGAGCCAGGATCCCATGCCACAGCTGCCTGCAGCCAAAGGTCGTGTCTCTAACCATGTGGTCTGCGCCTGGCTTTGTTCTGGGGCCAGAATGGATTGTGGAGGGCTGTGAGGATCTGCCCAGAGACCTTTGAAGTCGAATAACTTCAGCCTTCCTCCTGGATCTAGGTATTCTGTGCTTGCTGTATGCCCTCTCCTGAGAGGTCACCACCTCTCTTGGAGCCTCAGTTTCCTTCTCTGAGAAACGGAGAGGTTTACCCACCTGACTGTGTTGTTGGGAGACCAACGGTCTCCAGGGTTCCCAAATTTGACTTCCAGGGTATAAATGTGGTTCTCCATTCTTCCAGCAGGTGGCGCCAGAGACCGGGCAGTGACCGGAGGTGTTGGTTACCTGGGCTCCTGTCCTGCCAGGTCCTGCCTACTAGCTTCCAGCACACAACGCCCGTTGCTGGGTGCCCACATTTGGGCCAGAGGTGGCCTGGAGGCATGTGCTGGGACTGTCTGCATGATGGGCACCGGCCCCTGCCCTTCTGGCCTGGGCTTGGCCTTATGTGGCGTGGATATTTTCTTTTTATTTTTCTATTTTTCATTATTTCTCTTCCTTTAAAAAAATTTTAAATTTAATTTTTATTTATTTTTAAATTTTAATGAATTAACGAATTTATTTATTTTATTTTATTTTATTTTTTTACATAGCTCCTCTTTCTTATTTCTGTCTCTTTCCCTTCCATTTCTTTCTTTCCTAGATTTTCTATTTTCTCTTTGTCCCAAAACATACCTGTGAGCTAGACTCCATATTCTTTCCTTTTTTTGTTTTTTAAATTTTGTGCGTTTCCTCCTCCCTCTTCTTTCATCCCTTGCAATTAGATGTATGAGAAGGATGTGAAAGACCCTTGTACACTGTAAAATGAAATGCTCCTGAAAGCTGTGGCTAGGAACCCGCCAATTACTAACAGGCA